GAACGAGCTACGCTTCCGCTGCTAAAGCAGATTTGGGTGTGGCCTTAACGTGTGCGCGTTCAGGTCACATTACGAAGGAAGTAGCAGACGACATCCTCGTAGCAATACAGAGGAAGATGATCAGCGAGGCCTGGAGTAGCCAGGACCCTGATGCGTCGGGCCCAGTTTTTAGGGGCAAACCCGTTTATACGGAAGGTGTCCTGAAACTGTGGTGCGACGATCAGAAGGCTCTGGACTGGTTGAAGGGGAACATTGCTACCCTCGACCTTAAATCCAGCACCTTGCTGACAATAAAGAAACAGTCAGAGATACCACAAAGAGTCAAATGTGGTATCCTTATCCCTGATGCCCAGGGGGCCTGGAAAGACTCACGCGACATTGGTCGCGTGTTGGCGTACCAGAACCGCTGGGTTAACATCAGGGACTGGCTGTTACTCAAGGCAGATAAGCAGACGGACGGGTGGTTCCTCGTTGTTTCGGTGCCGGAGGATCATATCCCGACCCTGATGAAGGCCGGACGCCGTCTCGCATGTGTATGCGGGGCGGTATACGTAAAATTCCAGGGTCGTGGAGGCAAATTCTTTGATACTCCACCGAGCAAAAAGGTAGAAAACAACCCGGAAGTTATGGATACCGGAGCCATAGTTACCGGTACAGCGGAATCACTGGAGGCCAAGTCCAGTGAAGAAACGGCCTGCACAATTGAGCCGAAGCCCCCAGTGGAGATTGGGCTCAGCGGCAGCTCACTGAGTGACGAGGAGGACTGCATTTTGCCGACCACCTCCGACTCGGTGGCTGACGATAAAACCCGAGATCTTCTGGCAGGCCTATTTTTGGGCGGGGACGGGGAGGACGCGATCAATGATGGCGTGCCCTTCGTCCAAAACTAGCCTAGTGCAGGCCAACCTCCACCACAGCGAAACTGCGTCGGCTCAATTACGCAAGTGGTTGGAGGTTCAAAGGACTGCCATAGCCTTAATCCAGGAGCCATGGGTTGGGGCTGGTAAAATTAAAGGCCTAAACAACCTAAAAGGTAAGTTATTTTACAGCTCTGAACACGACAAGCCTAGAGCGTGTATTTACACTACTAAAGATATCTGTGCACAACCTTTAACAGATTTCTGTTCTAGAGACATGTATGCCGTAGCAATACAGTACACACAGGAGAGTAGATTAGTCGTCGCCTCGGTCTACATGCCGGAGGAAGACACTCCTCCCCCTCATGACCTCAGCAGGCTGGTGAACTTCTGCGAGAGGACCGGACTAGAGGTTGTGATCGGGACGGACTCCAACGCACATCATCCCCTTTGGGGAATGGAAAAACCAAATGAACGAGGTAAAGTTTTAGTTGAATATTTATTTAGTACTAACCTAACCATTTTAAACATAGGTTCTGAACCTACTTTCATAAACAAACGCTGTCGCACTATAATCGACCTCACACTTGCAACAGAAGGAGCAGCCAAACTAATTACGGGATGGCATGTGTCGAGAGAGGCCTCATGCTCAGACCATAGATGGATCTGCTTCGCACTACAGGTCGATATCCCCTCTACACCACCATGGAGAAATCCCCGCAAGACAGATAAAACAAAATACCTAAATAGGCTGACGTCTTTGCTAGCGGATTTTGAGGGGATAAATACTATAGCAGATCAGTCGCTCCTAGAAGAACAGGTAGCAGCTGTTACTAAGGCCATGATAGACAGCTACCATGAATCATGTCCAGAAATCACTCCACCAAGACATGCCGAGGTAAAACAACCGTGGTGGGGTAAAGAACTCGATAGAAAACGTAAGAAGGTAAGAAAAGCTCTAAATAGGGCCATTAATACCTCAATGGATGAAGACTGGCTATTATATAAGAAAGCTAAGTCTGAATACAAAAAATGTATCAGGTATCGACGCTCGATTGGGTGGCGTAAATTCTGTGGCAACATAGAAACCTGCAAACAAGCAAATAGGATTAGGAATATTCTAGCTAAACAGAACACGTCGGGATCCATGTCTCTAAAGAAACCCGACGGTAGCTACTCAACATCGCCGGATGAAGCCCAACGCATCCTAATTGAAACGCACTTCCCAGGTTGCTGCGTAACCCAGGAGGCAAACCGGCATGACGACATACTGACATCAACAGCAGAAGACTGGAATTTAGCACAGAGAGTGGTAACGATGGACAAAATCCATTGGGCCATTCACAGTTTCCTCCCCTATAAGGCGGCAGGACCCGACGGCATATTCCCGGCACTCCTACAGTGGGGGGTAAAGCCCTAATAGTCAGACTTGCTGCCATAATGCGAGCCTGTCTTGCTCTTAAATATGTTCCTAGGGGATGGAGGGAAGTGAAAGTTACATTCATACCCAAACCAGGTAAGAGCGACTACACTGACCCTAAATCCTACAGGCCCATTAGCCTCACATCCTTTCTCCTAAAGACGATGGAGAGGATGTGTGAAAGGGAATTAAGGGGGTCGGCGCTAATGAACTTACCACTACACGACAAGCAACACGCCTACAGTCTAGGCAAATCAACAGAATCGGCCCTTCATAAGGTAATTACAAAGATTGAAGAGGCCATCCAAAACAAAGAAATATGTCTAGGTTCCTTCATAGATATAGAAGGTGCTTTTGACCGAACGAACTTCTCCAGCATAAAAGGTGCACTCGGTAGACACAAAGTTGAACCGGCACTGATCGACTGGATAGTTTACATGCTCAGTACACGAATAATAAAGATTGCTGGTGAATCTCAACCAATCCAAATTAAGAAAGGCTGCCCGCAGGGTGGGGTTCTCTCACCTCTCCTGTGGAATATGGTCATTAATGAACTCATCAGCAAATTAAATGACAATCACTTCTATACAGTAGGTTATGCTGATGACCTGACAATACTGGTCTCTGGAAAGACAGCAAGCATAGTGTGCGACCTGACCCAAGCGGCTCTCCGTATAGTGGAGAGATGGTGCAGGGAACACGACTTAACCGTCAATCCAAATAAAACGGTTTTAGTTATGTTCACACAAAAACGAAAGCTGAATAACTATCATCCTCCAAGTCTTTTTAGCACAAAACTCCAGCTATCCTCTGAGGTAAAATATTTAGGTCTTACCTTGGACAGCAAACTTAACTGGAATAAACACATAGAAAACAAAATCAACAAAGCTAGCATAACTTTCTGGCAATGCAGAAACATGATTGGCAAAAGATGGGGATTGACGCCAAAAATCATACTGTGGCTTTACAAAACTGTAATTCGGCCCATGATCACATACGGCGCTCTGGTATGGTGGACCAAGACAAATGAAGCCACCATAATTAAAAAGCTTCAGAGCTACCAGAGACTGGCATGTATGGCTGCCACAGGCTGCATGAGAACTACGCCAACAGCAGCCTTAGAAGCGATGCTGGAGCTAACTCCGCTTCATCTACATATACAACAAGAAGCGACTTTAGCTGCCATCAGACTCAAGACCCTAAATCTTTGGAGTAAGAATAGTGTCCCTCATACAGGCATAATTGATAGAATTCACTCAAAAATTCCTATCCTACAAGCCAAATACGATAGGATTCCTAAACAATTTGTTTTCGATAAGAAATACAAGATACAGTTAAATGAAAACAGCCAGCCGGAAGGATTAAGCCCAAAAGAGCTTAGAATTTTCACCGATGGTTCTAAAACAAATGAAGGTGTAGGTTCTGGAGCTTTCTCTGAAGACCTCAATATTCACATATGCACACCGCTGGGTACCTATAACACGGTCTTTCAGGCGGAATGTATGGGTATCATTCAAGCGGCCATAGCAATAGATGCTAGGAAGGTTAATGACTTCCCCATCAGAATACTGACCGACAGTAGGGCGGTACTCCAAGCCCTGAGATGCAATGTGGTGAACTCGGGACTAATATATGAATGCCATCAACGATTAAATGAGGTATGTGAAAACAACAATGTGACCCTGCAATGGATAAAGGGACACAGTGGATCCAGAGGCAACGATGCAGCAGACGAACTGGCTAGAAGAGGATCGGCTTTGGCCACTATAGGGCCGGAACCAATCATACCAATCCCCTTTGGTAACGTTTGTTCACTGGTACGTAGACACTTCACTAATCAACATGCTCAGCTTTGGAAAAATCTAGTAGACTGTAGACAAGCTAGAGATGCCCTGCCTGAAATTAACAGTCGCTTAACAAAAGTTTTAATGAGACTGAACAAGCCGCAGATTAGGATAGTAACAAGTGCTATCACAGGACACGGCACCTTTAACAAACATTTATTTACTATAGGTGTTACAGATAGTCCCCTGTGCAGGGCATGTATGGGGGAGGAAGAAACGGCGGCCCACGTGCTACTGAAATGTCCGGAGGTCGCTACATACAGGGCTAAACATCTCGGCACGCCGGGATCACTCTCCGAAGTTGCATGCAACATCAAGGGCCTGTTGAGCTTCTTCGGAGAGATCTCATGGCTCGAATAATCACATTATTCCTGCCCACACGCAAAATACGCGCATAGACGTGGAGTTGCGGAAAACAGCCCGTCGTCAACTAAACTAAACTAAACTAATCATTAATAATTTGCTATCATTTGAATTTGTACTTTTAGTAGTGCCTTGAAACTAAACTATTACTCATCATCATCATCACCATCGTCATTACAGCCGTTCACAAGTGTACTGCTGAATATATGCTTCCTCCAAGGAATGTCACGAAGTATGATCCACCGTGTCACCATTATCGTGCCACCTTCATCCATCTACTTTCTGCATATCTTACCAGGTCGTCACTTCATCTAGTGGGTGGTCGCCCTAAAATTCGCCTACCAGTGCGAGGCTGCCATTCGAGAACCCTTTTTCCCCATCGGTTGTCGGTATTTCGAGCTATATGGCCTGCCCATTACCACTTCACACACACGCTAAACTATTAACTATTACTACTGGTCTTAAAATACTTAAAGAGGTCAGTATTCAACAAAAAAATCTTTTAACAGAACATACCTGCATAAATTCATGACAATGCAATGCACTGGCATTTTTTACTATAGCCTTGAAACACTCCGCCAGCGTAGTGAAGTCATTGCAAGCCATTATTGAAGCTCGATTTGTTTTTATTAATGTTATACACACTCTGAATAAAATTTTGGAACCTTCGTAAAACAGGCAGTCCCATATTCGCAAAACTGTTTCAATGGGTAATACTTCGGCAAAGAGACATACAAACCATTTTGTAGTTATTACTGCCCATGGCAACCCTAAAAGAAGAAATGTGTACATAATTTTAAGTTATTTGATTTTTTATTATAAAAGAAATAGTACAGTGCATAATTAAATGCATTAAAAATAAAACATCTTAATTTGGGTTATGCTAAATGAGAGATTAAAGCAACAAAATTTCTTCTCTATGAAATTATTGACTGCTTAGAGCCTTAATATATGATAAAATTTTCAAAACTTGTTATTCAGACCGGAGAAGAAAGGGTATGTTAAAAAAGATAAAACTAAAACAAGCTTTACATGTGTTCTAGTTGGGACCAGAACTATTTGATTCCGCCCTTTTTCCGACCTTGGTATCGTTCCAATCCTGGGTTTGATTCCAGCCAAACCCAACAGTTGTGTAACAACCCAAATTGTCGATTTTCGCGTCTGTCTGTGTTGTTGACTGGAGCCTTCTAGACTAATCATCCAAGTGTTACACTAAGCGTGGGTTAGGGTTGTTTATATTCACACACATTCTTACTATCTTGAAGTACAATATATGTATGAAAGTTGAGAAAATAAAGTAATTATAAATTTGGATTAAGACAATTTTCTGTAGAGAATAACATTTAGCCCGCCGTGCTGCCGTCCCTTGCACTTTAGCGGACTTCACATGTCTTTGAAATTATAATATTCCTCAGATATGAAGGTATCACCGCTGACCATGTGGTAAATTAGCACATAAAATTGCGAATCAACCAGTGGCCAAGCAGTCGCCATAAACTACGGAGTGTGCGAGCAAGCCGGGTTTATTCCCACTAGCACCAATGAGATAAAGTTGTGTAATTTAAAAATTATCAGAGATTGTTAGATTAATATATGCAATTAATACCTAAGTTTATCACATGTTGATGTACATCAGGGGCTTTAGATTTGACAAGTTCTGATAATACTTCAATGTCAACTATCAATCCGTCCATGGTCTTAGTGTAATAGTCTGGTAAAATTTTTTCTACCAATGCTTTTAGTAACCAAAACGATGTTTCTTCACTTTTAGTGGCTAAGAGTAGTAAACCTAAAAAAAAACACATTATTTCATTTGTTATATGAAATTTAATTATAATATTTTAAATAATTAAAATTATTATTAGCCGACACCAAAAAAAGGAGGTTCTTAATTGAACTTTATTTTTTTTGTATGTAAATATATTCGAGCGTGATAAATTTGCCAATTTAACAATGCAGTTGCAGTTACAGCCTATATACGTCCCAACCCAGCGGCACAGGCCTCCTTTCACTTCCGAGATGGATTTAGGGCAAGGAAGGTCTGAGCTACGCTGTCTGCCCCAATGTGTGTTGGCGGACTTCACATGTCTTTGAAATTTTGATTTCACAGACATGCAGGTTTTCCCACGATGTTTTCCTTCACCGCCGAGCGCATGGTAAATCGGCATTTAAAATTGCAATAATCAATTTCCTTGGTACCGGCGGGGATTGAATCCGGGTTGCTCGCGTACTGTGAAATTTACAGCGAACATTTAGTCCCTAAGCTACTACAGCTCTCCACGGCATGGGAATTTAGCATTCGTCCATATTTTTTTGTATTATCATAAAAACGTTAATCCCACAATAGGATTTTCTTCTTTATGTGGCAGCAGTTTACAAACATAAATTACAAAAGGACAACATAAGTACCCACCACAATTTATTTTAGGCCACATAAATACGTACATGTTCCGTGCGGGATTCGAACCCGCGACCCTCAGCGCTGCAATTCAATGCTAAACCACTGCGCCACGGCACCGTCATATTTGCTTAGATAATTTGTTGATTCAAGATGATGAATTGATTTTTTTTTATTGAATAGGTTTTTTAGTAACTAATACTTTGAGGGTAGTCCCTTTTACATTTGAAATAATTTTGGAAAAATAGGTGTTCCTAACAATTGTTTAACTACATTCTACTGAAGAGTAATATTCTATTTGTTACCCTGTGTTTGTGGCATTCTTTAGTCCACTCAAAATTAAAATTAATTAAAAATTAAACATTTAAGTAATAAATAGCAACACTGACTTGAAAGAAATAAAAAGAGTAAAATAATAGCATCTCAAGTGTTTATTTTATTGATACACTGTCTCACATTTTAGAAGCTAATAAATAAAAATTGTTTTATCCATTTTAGTTCTTTGATTTAAATTTAAAAAAAATATAATCGTACTGTATCTGAGTAAATTTGGATGACAATGTTAAATGCTAGAAAAAATTACCTGCTATATAGTTAAGCCCTTGACAATATCCAACTACTCGGTTATTATGTGCGTATGCTATTAGGACATTAAATAAGTGCGTTTGATGGTTAGCCTCTTTAGTAAAGTAGATGTTGTCAGGAAATGTGCGTGGCAGGTCTGTTTTAACAAGGTCCACAAGTTCTTTTTCAAAAGGACCGTCTAATATTTTTTGGTAAAGATCTGGGCATTGGTCTCTCATCTGTTCTGCTTCAGATATTGCCATCCAGACTGATGGCCGGTGCTCGCCTAAAAATAGTAATAAGAACATGAATTTGAGAATAAACATTAAAATACATTTGTTGTAAAATTTTCAATAGAAATACTTTAGATTCATATCATCATCATCATTACAGCCCATTAAAAGCCCACTGCTAACATAGGCTTCTTCCAAAGAATGCTAAAAAACATGGTCCTGAGCTTTTTGCAGATCCATAGAGCAATAAAATATGATATTAGAATATAATCAATCCTATCTAAAATATAAATGGAGGAGGAGAAAGGAGGTCGAATTCAATATAGTTTACTTCTGGAGTTGTCGGCATCACCAATAAGAGAGTTGGGATCTGAATGGATGCCAGGCTCTATCCTTGTCCTTTAACAATAGCTATAAAAATATCCTATATTCTTGAATCAGGTGGGGTGAAAGTAGCTCGAAATGGCTCATGTAAATATATACATTGCCTCATATGTCACATACTTGATGTGTAAGACACATTATTTCATTTGTTAACTGGTAGAGGTATTTAATCAATAAATTGTTTTACCTTAATAATAATAGTTTATTTTTAATTATTTTAAAAATATATCATTCAATAAAACTTTCTTGATGCAATTTTGTGGCAATAAGCAAAAATAAAAAACAGGAAAAAATTGAGAATATCAAATTTTTGATATAAAAAAAAATCGGATTTTTTTGTGCAAAATGTGTGCATGTATGCACAAACACACGCCCACACAAACACACGCCCACACAAACACACGCGCACACACAAACACACACACTCACCCACCCAGCAGCAGCAGTCTTTATATCCCTCATAACAGGCACAATGGAGAGGGCCTATGTTCAGCAGTGGATTTTGATAGGCTGTATATAATAATGAATGAATGACCAAAGTTATTTCTCAAGTGGTAGCCTTAAAAAGGCAAGTACAGTGTATCATATTTTTATTTTATAAAATAAGGGTGACGAACAAGCACAACAAACAACATGTAATTTTTGAGAAATAAATTAATAAAAATCACTTATTTTAACAATATTTTTTTAATTGGCTTTACGGCTCTGGGTTCTAGCCCTTTTGAGCGTATATTATTACGAATTTCCATTGACATTCGTCGAATTGAGGGGGAGGGGGGAGAGGAGGTGTAGGGGGACTAATTCAGAGGAATTTCTGTATCTATTTTGAGACTGCAACGTCTCCGCCGCTGCGGGAAGAGCAGCCTCTACGCCTTTGCGTAACCAATCGCAGGCATCCTCCTCGCCTCAGCCGCACCGGCTCGTCCGATGCCTACGATTTGTTACAGCAGGCGGAGGCTGCTCCCTCTACGCACCTCCGGTTCTATATAACCACTCTAGGGGTAGGACAGACTCGTACCACGTGGAGTCGGGGTCAATAAATTTGGTTCTTTGACATAAGTAGAACCAAACCAGAATCAAACCATTAAAACTGATTTTACTGATAAGAGGTCATTTATTGCATTATCTTTCTTTTTTCCATAAGAAATCATTTATTATGGTATCTTATAAATGCAAACAGGAAAATATAACTATATTTTAGAATACCATTTTTCGTGAATTCACGATAGCTTATGATTCGAATCGATTTAAAAATCTATCTTTTTCGGAAAGAATCGACATCCATACTGACGATGACAATGACATTACAAAATGGCGCCAGTTTTACGCTAGGAATGTAACATAAACATTGCAAAAATAATTAATTTTCAAATAATTTTTTTTCTCAAATGTATCCGTTTCCACATTTTGAAACTTTGTGTGTGTGCTTATAATAGTGTAACTTTTCTGTAAAAATACGTATCAACACCCAACTCGACGGAAGTCAATGGAAAGCTAAGCCACTATTTGTTGGAACAACATAGAGCTAACATCATAGGTGCACTCTGGGGTTTTTTTTCTAGAAGTGCAATAGTTGCTGAACAAATGTTGTGATATCTAGTTTGCATTAGTACAAGCAAATACCGTTTTTGTTTTAGAGATGACTAGAAATCGTAATAAACAAAATATTCTTCATTGTCATATGTAACAGAAAAAAAATTGTGATGTTTACTTACTGGGAACACCTTTCCGAACATATCGTTTAACTGTGTTAGTGCGTTTGACCGACTTTCCTTCGCCGAGTAAAGAAGCCCATTTCTGTGCTCGTGATGCTAGGACTTTTAAATATACGGACATAAAGTGTTCATAGCTCTCATAGTCAAAATCTTCGTGCCTTTCAAATCCGTATTCATCTACAGCGCTACAATAAAAAAAAAAAAGATAATTATCGAAAATCGATACGGTTTATTGTCATCCTGTGACCTATTGCTTACCTGAAGTTTGAATGAGCCATTGTGGGTAAAATATTTAGCGATATAGTGTCATGATTATTAAAATATTAGAAGAATACTCTTGTAAGCTACCTACAGTTAAATAAACGTTGATTTATAAACTCTTTGCAAGATAATAAAACGCCCCCAATCCAAATCCACCAATTTTTAACATCACCCCGGACCACCCCAAATGTCATGACTGATAAGTATAAACAAATTTGTTATCGTTACGATTTGCCATTTAAGGCAGGCTAAGTTCTTAAACCATACAGGCTAGTCTGATGTCTATTTTATATACTACATTCTTCACAATATGCTGATGCAAAATACCAGTTAATACTACTGCGTTTCTTATGGTGAGTGTAGAGAACCGGAGACCCTTATTACAGAAAATGACGCATAATTTTTTTTAAATATTCTAAGCCAGCGCTTGACTACTGTCCCACTTGATGATAAGTAGTAATGCAGCCGAAGATGATAAAGCGCACTGACTTAATAAAATTATATTCACTCTTACTTTTAAGACATTGTAATCAGATGGAAAAATTGGTATTGGTAACTTATTCCACTCCTTTGCTGTACGTATGACAACCATGAAGCAAACCATTTGGTTTAAATGCGCGGTAATTCAACAGCGTAGGAGTGCAGACTTGCCGAGCGTCTGGTTATGCTTGGAAGGGCGAGGGAGGAATTAAGTTATATAATTCCTGCGCACACTCTCCAAAATGAGTCCTATAAAAAATCGAAAGGTTGGCTACTTTGAGCCTGTGTTCGAGACATGTCAGATTGGTTTTAACTAGATTAGGGTCATCAATAAGCCTCTTAGCGCGCATTTCCATTGAGTCCAAAGTTACTAAGCGGTATTTTGCAGCACCAGTAGATATATGACAGCTATACTCCATGCACGATCGAACTTGGAATGTATATAGAATAAGCAGCAGACCCGGCATAAAGTACCACCACACCTGTGCAAGAATCCTAACTTCCTTGCAGCTGCTTTGGCCTTGAACTCATAAACTACTCAAAGTTCAGGTGTGAGGAAATATCAACCCTCAACAACTGAAGGTGGTCGGTATTCCAGTGATTCGTTTCGGAAAGAAGGAGCCAAGATGAGCTTTTTGCAGTGAAGAGACCCGCTTTTATTTTTGAGGCGTTGAATTACACAAGATTTACATCAAATCGTTCGGAGACTGCCCTTAGTGTGTGAGTCACACGCTCAATCGTAGCTTCTCTACTGGACTGGATTTGATCCCGATTGTTCCGAGCACTCGGTTGGTATCTCTTAACAATTGTGTTGTCTTTTGCATGCATACGTATAGATACCGGGGATATGTAAGACATAAATATGCAGCTAGAAGATAGTTGCGAAGAGAACGGACTCATTTTTTAATTCATTTTTTTTATAGAATATGGGTGACAAAAGAGCCCACAGTCCACCTGATGGTAAGTGGACGCTGCGGCCCATAGACATCTACAATTATCCTCGATAAAGATTCATGATGCAGATGCGTTGGCACCCCTAAGTACTAATAAAGATGGAATGCCCCGTTTCCAGTAAAAAGGGTCTCTGGTTCTCTGCACTCACCATACGAAACACAGCAGCATTACACTGGTATTTTACGCTGGAATTCTGTGAGAACGTGGTACTACCCCAGACGAGCCGCCTCATTCGTGCTACAACCATAATATAGCTGCAACGTGGCTCTACCACGTCAAACATGCGGAATTCCGGCGTTAGTCGTTATAAAATCAGATAAGCAGCCATCAACGATGACGCGGAGACACCGTTTACTCAGAAAGTCGTTTACCCAGTCAATCGCTTGGTCTTCTCTGTTAAGGGCTTCTATCTTCTTGGGTTTTAATTAATTAATTTATTTTACATTGGTATTATATTTTTTTATAGGATGGGGTGACAAACGAGCACACAGTCCACCTGATGGTAAGTGGTTGCTGTGGCCCATAAACATCTACATTTATCTTCGAATTCAAAGTATTATATTGTGGCGGCGCTGTCGTCGTGCCACAAGCGAAACACATCGAAGCCTAAATCGCGCTAACAAAGTTCCGAAATCAAAGCAATATATATGGAATAGCTCCGAACTACCACTCTAAACACCTTGCTCGGCGGGAGATCTCCCCTTTTCCTTCCACCCACCACAGTGGTGACCACCCGACGTGATATGAACACGCAACCAACAACAATCGGAAACTACAACTTCAAAACCTTCATCATCGTCCTCAAGTACCCCATTCATTAGCTCCCGAGAGGATATTGTCTGCAGTCTTCCCATTCTGCAAGCCATCTAGCTTTACAAAGGTTCATCGCAGCACTGGAATAATAATGCTTTCTGTTCCTTCAAGCTACTCTCTGCGCTACAGTGTTCGGCACGACTCTGAGCCTTACTGCTCGCCTCTGCTTTACGGCACTCTCGCAGATCACTTGCCTTCTTCTCGACTCACCGCAGACTTACAAGGCAACTTTCTGGCACTTGCAAATTCGTCGTCATCTGGACTGCACTATCGACCTCCGGTCTGAGCAGGGGGGTGATGTGGCGGCGCTGTCGTCGCGCCACAAGCGAAATACATCGAAGCCTAAATCGCGCTAACAAAGTTTCGAAATTAAAGCAATATATATGGAATAGCTCCGAACTACCTAACTACTCGGAGCGTTGACCGCTCCCCGGGCTAAACACCTTGCCCGGCGGGAGATCTCACCTTTTCCTTCCACCTACCACAATATTTTTCATCTTAATTATTATTTATAATATATATATTTATAAGTCCCAACCAGAGCAGAATACTACAATATACAATCCATATTACTACAATTAGTATTTAACTTTAATAAGTACCTAAATAATAAGCTTCTCAAAAATCTTATTTTAAGCATTGGACTGTGTGGGTTAGTAATACAAAGAACTTTAATTTCTAATACTAAGATGCATTAGACCATTCAACCAAAGGACGAGAATTGCGCCTAATGCTACGAACAAAAAAGTCTTTCTTGGTAAACCTACTTTTGGTGCGGGGCGAGAAAACACTACATATACAGTATTGTACACCTACTCAATAAAGTTTTGTGTCATTATGGCAGATCCAAATTTAAATCTCCAAAACTGTACGCACACTTATAAGTTAAATACATCAACATAGAAAAAGTTATGGACAGACAAATTAATTGCGATGCTACCATATCGATAGTTTTCCTAAGCAAAAAAAACAAGCATAAGCAAAACGCACTCGAACAGTTAATATCATCTGAACTCTTTAGTTTGGTAAGCGCAACAAGTTTTTTTAGGGTTCCGTAGTAAAAAAAAAACAAGGAACTCTTATAGTTTAGCACGTGGTAGAGCCATGCTATAGCTATATTACTGGTATAATTGTAGCACGAATGCAACAGCTTGACCGGGGAACGACCACACTCTCACAGAATACCAGCGTAAAATAGCAGCTCAATGCTGCTGTGTTTTGTATCGTGAGTGTAGAGAACCGGAGACTAGAAACGAGGCATTCCTTCTTAGTCCTCACGGGTGAAAACGCATCTACAATTTGATTATATCTCGAGGTTTGATGTAGATGTGTATTGATGGGCTACAGCAACCACTTACCATCAGGTAGACTGTGCTCGTTTGTGACCCTAATCCTATAAAAAAAAATCACCAAGTCTATTCATCTGTCTGAGGCTTAGCGTAGAGACTATTGGTACTCTTAAGAGCTGTAATTTTACATGGTTATACGTGAACACCAGAAATAAAAAAGGCTCTAAGTACCAAAACAAAAGTTGGTGGAAGTGGGTTGCTTCAAAAAACAATCCCTTTTACAAGTACATAACATGAATAATACTTACATCATCTGTTAACAGTAATGTTGGTTTTGCATTACAGACTAATTTGCGACGTTTACTTGGTTATCATTGAAATTGGAATAAATAAAAGTGCACCGAATAGATAGTACTTGTACTTTTTCGATTGCACAATTGTGCCTACGTCATTTTTAAGTGAGGGCCTTTTGTAAATAGATGTGTCATCAAAATAGAAAATGAATATTTTGTCATTTGATCCAGTGAACCTGAAGAGTCATAAATGGACCAATTTAATTACACAGGAGCTTCAGGCAACATTTCGGGAGTTGAATACCTCACCTCAGATTATTTGGAATCAGATTAATAATCAAAATATAATAACTAAAATGCTAGGGCGTGTAACATCATCAGTGGATGCGGCAGTTTTAAAAGCCTTTGAAGGGCAGACTATCAAAGATATCGCAAAGAACCTAGCGATGGGATTTGATAACGCTGTAAAAAACATAATTCAAACCTGTAACTCGAATTTGTTAAGTCCCAGTATGTATTCTCGGCCAAATAATTCTAGTATATACTTTCAAAAAGCAACCTGTGACAAGGTTAATAAAATAATCAAAAAACTTAGCTCTAAAAAGGCACCAGGCTCTGATAATATTGGGGTTTCAAAAAAAAAAAAAAATTTTTTTTGGTTTATTTTTGCGACTTGAGTGTCTGTTGTCTGTAAAGACTCGTCTTGTGTAAAGCCTCCTTTCACTAATTACTTGTAGGATACAAAGTCAAATTGTCACAATTATTAGGTATGTGAATTTAGCTAATTACTGTTGCTGGGATTTACAAGGGTCAAGGGTTACGTATACCCATAAAAGTACGTACTTGAAAAAATATAACAGTAAAGGGACTATAACAATAAAATAAAAATAAAAAGAATCAAAAATTTTCGGTTGAAGTATATAGAGATGCCGTATAAAAGATAGTGACGCCCTCCTTTTTTTTATAGTCATCAACTGTCCACTGGGCTATCGTCAAAATCTCATAACTTAGAGATGTGACTAGGCTGTGTGGACATGGATTCCTATGTCTTGAGGTAAAAAAGTTGGGAAAATTTGGCATTTCTTAGTCTGTGATCTGTGTTTCTTAATTTGTTTGTTGTTGTAAATTGTACATAATAAAAATATAATATTATTCGTGATTAATATATTGCCTGTCTTTTGTATTATCTTGTAAATTTTATCAGTAAATATTTACTTATTTTAATATGGGTCCACCTCCCGTTGTCACTGGCATATCACCAAAAGAAGGTCCTCCAGGAACTAGAGTAACAATTCGTGGGGAGTTTCTAGGTATTAGTGCAACGGATTTAATTGGTAAGTGTTGTATAGTACATTCTTGAAAGGGTGGGGTGTCCATGTCAAAATTTAAAATTATCTATAATCATTTAATTCATCATAATATGGTGCAGACAGTAGGTATATAAAAACACTACGCTGCTGCTTCCTCCTTCTTAGTGATACGCATATGCGAAGGATATAAAATAAAAAGTAAGTTATGAAATAAAATCTTGAAGTAAAATAAAACAGGGTAGGTTTTATTTTATTTCATAACTCACTTTAATTTTAATAGTCCTGTGATTGGGTAAGGACCGTTTTTGAGATTATAACTGCTACAAATACAGAAACTAATTTGGTCAAAAAAAATTTGTGTTAAGTGAATTACTTCCAGTATCTGTTTATTAGAGTTGGTAGCCCCAGTCATTTATCTAAAATAGCCTTAAACTCATAGATATAATAATAGAAGGAGATATGCCCGGTAGTTGAAAATGTATCGGAACCCGGTGTCTCCAGTTGGCCCGCCACTTTTCGCCACCCGCCTACTCCTACACTTGTAGATCAGTAAAAGCAATATATACACAGTTGCGCACGCACTTGCATTTTATAAATCAGAACGTACTACACAATCAATTATAAACCCTATCCCTACAAACACAGCATGCATTTACTATGCACTCACACAAAAATATCGGGTGCTATTGTTGTGCTGTGCAAAAGTTATTTTTTACATATACATTAGTGATTGACTAAATTGGAAAGTTATTGATTCTCTTCTTTTTATTGTACTAAAATTGAAAATAAAATAAATAAAAAAGGATATGCACAGGAAATTATATAATAAAAATAAACAATATGTAGCTAAACATAAATTATTAAGTACCTAATCTACCTAACATATACAATAAAAAAAATCCAGTTATGTTGGTTTAGATTGTCATAGCGTATTGAAAAAGTAGGTATTTTGGCATATGGTACTAGTTTTGTAGGGAACCAGTTTGGTGGCCTTCCTGTGGCATCAATTTATTTCTTTTTTAAATTAGCATCTTTTGGGAAGCTGAAAATGTACGATAATAATTTATTTATCATTTACATATATCCTACGTAACTTCTTAACCTCACCATGTACCTGGCAAGCTTCTGTTAAAAATAGATATGAGCGCCGAAGGCCAATTCCACGGCGGCGGCGTGGCCTCAAAATTTCCTCGGCGGCGGCGGCGTCGCGGCGGCGCGGCGTAGTACTTAAATATTTTTTTAAAAAGAAAAAACATCTTAAAAAAAACTTAAAGGAAACCATTTTGTTGTTACCAAACAGCTTTATATTTTTTAATAAAGCCCTGGGGAGCCCCAGCCCATAGATAAGGACAACCCACCACCTCCCATGGCCCCACCGACCCTCAGGTCATACGGGCCGAATCTCGGGAGATGCGCGCGGTACTTGCACGTGGCTCTTTCCCGCGCGCACTTTCTTGACTCCCTACAAATATTTAATCTGTTCCTTGTCCCAGTTTAACGTCATTCTCCCCCTTCTGGGCCTGACGACACACTTATGCCTACGTCGTCGGGCCTTCCTACCAGCCCTCTGTCATGCCATTTTCTGCGATCGTACCACCTATGCGCAAACTCGCGCAACAGCCTGTAGTTAACCACATCGCTGACGAGTTCCGAGTAGTAGATCGGTCCCTGAACCGGACGAACTAGTCCATCCATCATTTTCACTCTTAGGTCGTCATACAGAGGACATTCCCATAACACATGGTGAACATCCTCCTCAGTCATACCGCACTCACACATACTAATTTCACACAGTCTCATATCGCTCAGTCTCTTTCGAAAGCATCCATGCCCGGTGAGAATCTGGGAAGTTTGGTAGTCCGGTGAGACCCAGGTATACCTTAGTCTCAACGCCACGTCCGGGAAAAACCGATGTAGCTCACGTCCTTTTGTATCATTCGTCCATCGTTCCTGCCAGGCGCCGATCACCTCAGTCCAGATTTCGCGCTTCCGTCTGCTCAACTCCTCTTTGGGCGCGGTCAAACGTGCTGTACCCATCCTACCAGCACGGATGACCTCCAGGTCAGCAGGGAGAACACCAGCCAGCACTGGTAAGGCCGCCGTGCTGGCTGATCGATACGCTTTTGTCAACAGTATGAGAGCTGATCGCTGCGATCTCAGTAACACGCTACGGACTGTGTACATGTTCGCACGCTCGTACCAGCATTCCGCCGCGTACGTGAGCGTGGATACAAATACTCCTCTGTATATTATTTTTAGGCTCGGATATCGGACACCCCATGAGGATGTCGATACGCGAGTCATCTTGCCAAATCCCTTGGGTATACCATATGAGGCCGAACCTACACCTTGTAAAGTGGCAGGTGGAGTGCCGGCATGAAATACTGTCCCGCTCTGCTGAACGCGCCAAGCTTTTTAGATTCCAATTTGGCATTCTCTTCCAAGTGAACACGAAATTGCACATTACTCGATATGTCGACGCCGAGGATTGCGATACTGGCTGAGGCAAAAAGGGGAATGCTTTGAAACTGAAGAAATGCTCCGATCTGCAAGAAAGCTGGTGATCCAATTGTACAATTACTCGGGAAGCCCATAGGAAGGGAGCTTCGAAAGAAGTGCTTTGTGCCAAACCAGATCGAAGGCCTTCGCAATATCCAAACTAACGGCCAATGCCTCTCCCTTGGACTCTACTACCTCCGCACATCTGGTGATCGACCCCAACGAAAACCGTATTGGCGGTCTCTAATCAGCTGGTGGTCCTCAAGGTACCGTATGAGCTGGCAGTTTATAATGGATTCCATTATTTTGGAGAACAAAGAGGTGATGGCGATATTCTTGTACTTAGACGGGTCTGAGTGGTCGCCTTTTTTAGGGATCGGGTGGACGAAAACCGTCTTCCGTGAATTCGAGACTACGCCTAGGGAGTAGGAGTAGTTAGAACCGGTGCCAACTCTGGATCACACGTCATCAGCTCAATTGGAGGGATTTTCAGGCCCACTCGACTTGTGAATGTCCAGAGAGAGGAGTGCTTTTTGAACCGAGGGCTGTGTGAACTGCACATCCGGTATGGAGCACTCACACCACGGGATGGTCGGCGGTGTGCTCCCCCCGTCATCGTGAGTCGAGTTGGACGCAAAGAAAGAGCCTAGCAGATCGGCTTTCTCCTTTGCGGCATGGGCCAGTGAGTCGTCCTCCCTGTGCAGAGATGGAAGAGATGGCTGACAAAAGTTTCCTTGGACAGCCTTGGCGAGAGACCAGAATGCAAGGGTTTTCGAAGGAAGGCGAACTAGTTTCTCGACAATTCTGTTGTGTGCTCTGACTTTGCCTTTGCAATGACTCTTTTGAAGGACCTGGAGGCGGAATTATAATTCTTTTTAAGGGCGCTAGTCGTTACATCCCGGTACGTTGAATCGTCAGCCCAGGCCCGGTAGCACTCCTGCTTATAGCGTGATCCTATTTTACAGGAGCGATCAAATCATGGCTGAGATCTGCCTCCGATGGGCACTACAGAGGAAGGAATAAAAAGTTCCATAGCCTGAAGTACCACATCAGCGACAGAATTAGCAACAACGTAGGGATCGTCCGGGAGAGATGGGCCGGCCATATAGCTCGAAGAACCGACAACCGATGGGGAAGAAAGGTTCTCGAGTGGCAGCCTCGTACCGGCAGGCGAAGTGTAGGGCATCCCCCCACTAGATGGAGTGACGACCTGGTAAGATATGCAGGAAGTCGATGGATGCAGGTGGCTCAGGACCGTGCTTTGTGGCATTATTTGGGGGAGGCCTATGTTCAGCAGTGGACTTGTGAAGGGCTGTAATGATGAGGGATCGTCCGGCAAGAAGAAAACTTGCCCACAAGGGTAAGATGTAAAGAAGGACCGCATCCTATAACAATCGGCCGCTTATGGTGCCAAACACGGCGACGGCGCCTGCAGAATGCAACCGCGATGTTAGTGTGAATGACACCACACTCCATACTAGACAATGGTCTAAGGAGCCAAGAAGGGCGTAGGCGGAGACCTGATATCTATCCAGATAAGAGGTCAGCAGAAGGTTCAACAGGGAAGGCGCATGATCATCCACATCTGGAATCCGCGTAAGCGAAGTAACCAGTTGTGTCAGAGCATATGCCAAGACAAAAACATGAACAGATCTTATCGCATGAGCGGTTAAACGTTAACCGAGCCATTTGGCGTGGTGGGCGTTACAATCACCGAGGATCACGATCTCTACGGATGGGCTCTGTTGTTGCAAGGAATCTATAGCCATTTGGACGTGGTCGATGAATCGGTCTGTTTCAGCATTACAGCTATGGGACCTATAGAGGCGAGGCAACCGTAGACGCGCGGATGGTCGTCGCTCTCTACGCGTAGCCAAAGGCTGGACAGGTCCGAACCTTCAAAACTACCGTGGCGTCGAGAATAGATGTCCTCTCTGATGTATACGCAAACTCCAGCCCAAGGCACAAAGGGGTGTTCCAATTTGTACCCCGGATAGGAGATATACGAAATATCAACTGGAGAGGATGCCTGTGTTTCGGTCAGTAAGAGCAAGGCCGGCTTCGCCATCTCGAGATGGTAGTGGACAGCATTTAGGTTCGAGGGAAGTCTCCTGATGTTGCAGAAATTCACGGATAGCGTGGCTGGGGTCGCCTTGGCATTGTTGTTCAGGTTGCCCCGAGCAGTTATTATCTTGAACGGAATTTTGCCAGATGAAATGCAGAAGCAGAACTTCCACTTTACGCCGGTATTCTGTGTTAACACCACACAACAATACATGTTCACTCGATGAAATATTCGACTCAACTGAGTGAGCGATAGGCGTGGCGAGGCGACAAGGCAAACTAATGCAGTGGAGGTGGGCAAAGTGTATCATTTTTGGGATTGGAACATTTGCATCTTGATCACTGAAATGTTCCGAAACACTGATATGTTTCATTTGTCTCATTTGTATCATCGACTCCAAAAGATATAAAAGAAAGAATGTTCCGAATACATTAAGTTGCGTCGCGGGCATTTATTACTGACTGATCCGTGAAATGTTATGTGGCAAAAATGCTGAATAATATAAGTGCTTAGATTATTTATTGTGTACTATAATACGATTGTATATAAAATCGATTCTCCTTCATACTTTAACAAAAATGTCACTATGTCAATTCATTATTTACAAAAATGTCCATTTACACAAAACAGCAATGTCTATGTACACAGAATTTACTCGTAAAGTAACTCTAAACTTTATGATGAAAAGGAAAAAAGTAAATTCACAATAATCACTACGCAAAGAAATCCTAAACATTACTCAGTATGTTTTCGTAAACAGTCGCTAATGAATATAAACAATTTGACAAGTGCCGCATCAACGTAAAATGACAACTTGTTACATACAAAACGTTACATACAAAAAACGACCGTATAGTATTTGACACATAAGCGCCTTAGTGGTAATTTTTACTTGCATGAATAACGTCAGCGAAAATCCGTACGAGATGAGTGATACACTTCTTATTTTTTATCTCTATCTGACTTGTGTGAATTATAATTATTTCGCCCGCTCACTCGCCACTCGTGACTCAATAGTTAAGTTAATCATTGTCTCAGTCTCTCTCTCTCGCTCGTGGCTCAGTCGCCTCGCAAGCGACGCGTCGCGCGAAATGAGCAAAGAGCAAAGTAATGTTTCACTGTTCCAGATACAAATGATACATTTAAAACGTTGTTACTGAACCAATCTTTTGTGTCACTTCAGTGATTCGTATCAGTGAGTCGTTTCCGTAAAGAGATACACACGCCTATAATGCAGTCGCGCCGCGCATGTGGGCGGGAAAGGAAGTTGTGACTCGTCGCGACAGCGCGCCGCGTTTTTCACGCGGCGGCGACGTGCCGACATGAACTGACGGCGACGGCGGCGCGCCGGCGCGGCGCTCATATCTAGTTAAAAAACCCCTGGTTGGTCAAGATATTGCTAAACATATGAAAACAAATACACACTCATGCATAACAAATAAATAGCCAGGAGAATTATGTTGACTTATTTTTAGCAAAAGTCACTATTATAATATTATCTGAATTCTGAACCATCCCAATTAGGTATAATAACGCATTCGAAGCTTTTGAAAACATAAAAGTATGGAATTAGCACAAAGATAAGGCTATATACTATAATTCAACCCAAAACACTTCACCCATGATTAACCTAATTATTTAAGCAACTTACTTTATGATCGCTAGTTACGAATTCAGTGTAGTAAACGGTGAAAATAATCAAAATAATTAAATACCATTATGTCACATCAGCCTTCCAACCGGTCTGAAACGATTGACAAATTGAAAGAATAGACTATAATAGCAATACGCCATTCGACATTGTTGTCGATAGCATATGTTAGTGGATTTGCACAAGTACAACACTAACTCAACGCAAGATACAGTGGCCGTACTACACGATGCAACCTCATAAATAAAGTATTGTTTTCTCATATTTAAATTGTTTGTTCAGTCGCTTAGCGACATACATAAGTAGTGGTTAAGGAGCAATGTATTTACTACAAAATAGCAGGGTTGGCTGATTTAAATCAGACTGATTTAAATCATGATTTAAATCACGATTTAAATCGCCTGATTTTAATTAAAAAAATCATTGATTTAAATCAACATGTATAACTTAATGTAATAGACAGAAAATTAAATAAAACTGGCTTAAAATAAGGTAAAATCTTTTGGTGTTTTATGTTATTCTTATTATTCTACTACAATAGTCTCAGAAACTTTAGAAAATCAACAAAGACGTAGCGATGAGGTCTGTCAGTTTTAAAATCATTTATTTTTATTTTTTAGAAATTCACTCTTAATATGTATATGAACTGTAATTAATACAGTATGTATTAATTATTTTACTCTTAATCAGTTTCATACATATCTATACAAATAAATAAAATTGAAGTGTCTGTTTGTAATTTAAAAATTACGGCTTTTTAATAAATGCATATGAAAGTATATACCTACGATACGTATAACAAAAATACATTTTTTTAAATTTTTGTCTGTCTGTCTGTCTGTTTGTTCCGGCTAATCTTTGAAACTGCTGGACCGATTTTGACGGGACTTTCAATGGCAGATAGCTGATGTCATAAGGAGTAACCTAGGCTACTTTTATTTTAGAAAAAGAATTAGGGTTCCGTGCAAAAAAACTAAAACCCCAAATAACACGCAGGCGAAATCGCGAGGAATAGCTAGTGTATTCATAAACTTTTAATCCTACTATGTTAAAAAGTGTTACCAACTCGAGTATTTCCAAATATACAAAAAAATCAAAAAATTCAAAAAAAAAAAAAATCAAAAAAATCATGATATTTTTAAAAAAATCAGCATGATTTGATTAAAATTAAAAAATCATGATTTTTTCCATCCCTGCAAAATAGTACCGTCACAGTGATATTTGAAAACAAAAATAACGCATTAAGAGCAAAAAATATTTTACGAGTTGTTGTTTTTCATGATTTTAAAGATAAAGATAGTAAAATACTTGTTCTTACATATGGTAAGTGATTCCATGATCTACAAAGATTTTGTTTTGGCTTCGGTTTTTACAAGAAACCACTGAATGACACGGCATTCTGATATTGTTTCACGATTACGGTTGAAAGTATATTAATACGCAGAGATGGTCGTTTGAATAGAACCTGAGCATTTTGAAGGACACACACGCCCCCTTGCTACTTCTCCTCTATTTAATATTTCTATGCTTAAACTCCTTGCCCCTCCTACTGATTTTAATAATGTTTCTGTTCCTTATTCAACTACAGTCATAGACCTTGGGCTAATTAAAGACAATGCACTCTATTGGCAACCTCAAGTCTCTGAAGTCCCTAAAAAAGCTTGTAACTTTTTAGAGCCTTTGCTTCTATCTTTTTAAGTATATTTAGTACTCTATTGTTATCTTAATGATTTGTAAAACCTATACCCTTTTACTTTAAGTCTGCCTTTTTCTATGTATTTGAGTGCAAAATAAATGAAAATAAAATAGCAGTTGGAACTTATTATGGTGAAATTATTTTAATAAGAAATAAGACACAATGTTGTTTTAGTTAGTCGTCTATTGAAAAGCCACAGTTACTTTTAATTTTAAAATAGGTAATAATTAATTTCAAAAAATTATATGTTGAATAATTTTTATAAAACAAATTTTATAGGACTCAAAATATGCGGCTGTGATTGTCTCTTGTCAGCGGAATGGAAGAGTAAGAACAAAATAGTGGCTCGATCAGGACCTTGCAAGGGTAGAGGTGATATCATAGTTACTACAAAGTCTGGTGGAGAAGGCACTTCTACTGTGCAGTTTAGAGGTATGCTTATTATCATCAATCAATAATAAATAAGAAATTTTTTGAAATATGTGTAGATATGTGTATTTAACCCACAATCACTTGCTTTAGGTGGCCACCCCCACATATTCAAATTCTAGCTTAGGATGTATGGTAACTATGAGAAAAATGTCAACTTATTTAAATAATCAGTATCATTTAAATGAATTAAATTAAAGACATACACTGATTTTGAAAATTATCATTAGTATTTGGTAATGTCATAAGTTTATGAGACCTTAAATTTACTGTTTATGTAAATAAAACATAAATAATCTCTTTTAATGCTCTGTGGTGATTCCGTACTGTGTGTCATAAGAGCCAACTATGGGAAGTGGTAGAAAAACCTAATGGATCCCACACTCACAGAATATTCAGTAATCTCACTTAAGATAGTGTAAAGTTACCGCCTACATATGTTCCACAGTTTAGTACATACCACCTCTCATCACCGAGAAGTTTATAGACCTATAATTCCGCCACCCCGCAGACCCTGATGGCAGATTTTACAAGTTTTCTATATATTTTTATTCCTCAGATGTGCAGGTTTTAGCTTTTAAAACATTTAAATAATTCTTTGGTAGGTATTGAATCTAAATTGAACATACTTTTTATTGGTATATGCTGGACATAAATTACTCAGACCCATGCTTTTATTTTATAGAATAAGGATGACAAACGAGCACACAGTCCACCTGATGGTAAGTGGTTACTGTGGCCCATAGACATCTACATCTATCTTCGTTCGCGAATTAAAGAGGTGTAAGGTAAGAGGTTAAGGTGTAAGTGAGGACTAAGATAGAATGCCTCTTTTCCAGTAAAATGGGTCTCCGGTTCTCTACACTCACCATACGAAACACAGCAGCGTTAAGCTGCTAATTTACGCTGGTATTCTGTGAGAGCGTGGTCCTTCCCCGGTCAAGCCGACCCATTCGTACTACAACTATACTATTAATATAGCTGCAGCATGGCTCTACCACATAGAAATTGCTGGGCAGCAGCATCAAAGGTCTTACATCTGGTACTTTGATTGTTAATCCATGCCAAGTCTGTCGATTAAGGAAAATGCTCTCTACAATAAGAGAGACCCATGAACAGCAGTGAATTATAATGCCTTAGGCATGAGTCCGATATAACAAAACATAACTAAACATATCGTATCAATATGTTACACAAAGACTACAGTTAGTACAGTAATGTTCAATAAAAGTGAATCCAAACACAAGACACCTAATGTAACTTGTCATAACGTAAAACCATATCCATTCAGTTCTGCAACAAAGCATTATAACTATTAGTAACTATCTATCTACTAGATATTCGTCGTCTCTCTAATTGATGACCTTGCTGGTCGTGAAAATGTCTGTCATGGTCTGATTATGATGAAAAAGAAGAATGAAGTAAAAAGTATTCAATTTTAGAAGTGACAAACTAAATTTCAGTCCTTTATAATCTGATCACAGCAGTGGGTAAATTGCTGATTCTGAAAATTTTAATAAAATAAAGTAAAATGAGGTTATGACTATTCATTAATTAATTTATCATTAAAATAGCATTGATAATAGTAACATACAGTGTATTGACGACATTAGAGAATCCATCACTACATTTAGTTCAGTCGCAGTGGTAAAGGTGACTTTGGAAAATGCCAGAAATTCACATCTCTTCTGAGATATGACTGTAAAATCTATGTTAATGTTAATGTTTAGGACATGTTAATGTTTAGGACTGACACAAAATACCCAACTGGCAAATGGGAGCAGCAACAAAGGTGCAAGACGTCTGATAACAACATTATCTTATTTCAGGGTGACAACTTTATATTTGACCTTTTTTGTTTGGGATTGATTCTAGGAGCTTCCACAACCACATTTCATGGATTTTTCGTTAATTTAATACTAAAAAACCACTCTAAGTGACCTACACTAATAAATAAGGCAATGTTTAACTATTTTCTCTTTGCAGGATACCATGAATCCGTAGGGCCTATGAAAGAAAGTGCCGTCTGGGTAGAAGAAGCTGCACCACCATCAGTGCCATGGGGTCGTCGCCCCATGTCCCCCACTGCTTATACACCACCCGACCCGTTAGGTTTGTCCACGGAAGGTGATGATTGTAAGTTTCCTGAGGAGGAATTACATGAGCTGTTTCCTGATGGGTATGTGTATATTTAGATTTCTTTTTCTTAAACTATGTTGTTTTTTGTGTCAGTGTGTTATTAACACATTTTTACTTTTTTTTTCTTACATTTATATTTGAGACTATTTTTAGTTTTTTACACATACTTTTAAAAACTAATTGCTTTAAATCCAATTTATAAAAACTAAAAGTAACAGAACATCTTAATCTGCCAAGTCGAGCAAAATGCGGCACGGCCGTACCATCCTTTTCTCGAAGCAGTTCAGGCCATTTTCGAAACCCTATAACTTCGTTGTGGATAAAACTAGAAGCCTGAATTCAGTTACCAATGTTTATGTTTTAAATAAATAAATTGACTTGGCAATCGCACTAAACAATCTAATTTAATATAATATGTATTACTTGAGAGATACATTGCGTTTTCATGCGATGGCCAAGTCAATCTATTTATTTAAAATATAAAAGATTTTTAGTATTGATATGGTCACTATAAGATGTTGTTAGGTTAGCTAATTACGTAAAACTTAAGACAGAAGGACCCTTAAGTAGGGACTGAATAAATTAACCAACTTGCTATTATATGGATCTCACAACTTTTTACAGTAGAAGAACTGAGTTGCGAGACTTGGTTTTTTTTACAAGTTATGTTTTTGATGGCATGCTTTTTTTTAGATCAGGAAAGCTTTCCGATGAAAATTTTCAACCAGGCTGGTACCTTTTGGAACACCACAGCAATACATCTTATGAAGATTTAAAAGCTGGTATGATTTTTCTTCAAAGAAAGGTTAGATTATTTTTTATAACTTTGCTTTTTTAATATATTATTCATATTTTTATTTCTAACAGCTTTTTGCTTTTAAGTTCTTAACATACTTTCATGAGAGAGCTGTGAAGTGCTATTAGAGCAAAGATGAAATGTATATTATTATTATTGTAGGTTGAGGGCCAAAAGGAAGGTCAATTGAGTTTTCTCAAAGCTAACACAGGGGCGGTGATGGACCAATTAGATCGTTTGGTGCTTTTAAAAAACATGTATGAAGAAGATCACAGGAAAAATGGTAGAGAGCCTCTACCAAGCTTGCAATCCGCTATTGAAGGTGAGATTCAGCAAGTGATACAACTAATAATCAATATCTCGGAAACTTAGTGAGATATCGAAAAATTTTATTCTTACTTTTCGGCGTATCTCGTCGAGATCTATGTGAATTCGCATTCAGATCATGGTGCCTTAAGAACCGTTGTCGTGCGGTGTTGCTGGCCATCCGTATCATTTGTCTCTGTCGCTTATTACGACACCCTCGGGATACATACCCAAACACAAATGTATTTTAATGGCATCCTAAACCAAAACGCAAATGTTTTAGTTTAGGATGGCATTAAATGTTAAACTTAACAGGTTAATCCAAATTTTATTTTAGTACAATTAAGAGTTTACTTTAACTGATGTTTGAAGCTGTTACGGTAATCTTAAGTTGCTTTTTAGGTGATGTTTAAAAAAATTATGTTGATTAAAAATTAATACATCCACCATTACGTTATGTGGTAGAGACATGCTGCAGCTATATCAGTTGTATAGTTGTAGCACGAATGGGTAGGCTCGACCGGGGAAGGACCACGCTGTCACAGAATACCAGCATAATATAGCAGCTGAATGCTGCTGTGTTTTATATGGTGAGTAGAGAAACGGAGACCCTTTATACTTCCCTTTTTGCTTGCAAATTGTAAATTTTGTTCCACCTCATTGCGGTACCTCTATGTTGGAGTTACGTACACCAACGTTGTGGTTTTTCCAACTTTTCGGTATCTAGACGTGTACACGTCCCTAGCTGTCCCGACAAAGCTCAAATATCCCGGGGCCCATCAGCGGTAGATTCGACGACCAACTAAGGGTGGGGCCCAACGGCCTATGGAGACTTATTTTTCTACACAATAGATATAAGGCTAGGTAATTAATAAGAACGTACCTGGTTCCGAAGCTAAGACTGAACCCAAGGCTCGGTCAGGTGGTAAGTAGGTGCATGTGAGTAGTGTGTAGTAGTGTTTATATATGTGACCTGACCCAACTGAGGTGGTCGGGCAGCGGCCTGATCCGATGCTGCCCCACAATGTGGTATCACTCCAGCGGACGTCACCAATTGACAACTTTTTCTTCATTTCACTATTTCAGTCTATCAACTCCATTGTACATTTTATTAACTTCAAAGTCAACCAATTCAACGTTCATTGAAATCAAACACGTGACACCCGACATAAGTAACGAATAGTCGTTCAAAGTTCAATATTCAAGGTTAAGGTTCACGTAGCACAAATTTACAAACACGGGATCGAACGTGACCTCTTCTCGAGTCTCAAAGTTCAGTGTTCCCAAACAACAAACTAAATTCCTTCGTACGATATTAAATACTACGCCGCAATAAGAATTCAAAATCAGCCTAGCTGACACGCAAACTAACTACAGAGTCAACACACAAAAGGCTCTTAACGCGACGGTACAATTAAACAATGACTTCCAAAAACAATGAACCGGGCCACGCCCTCGAAATGGAATGCGAGCATCAAATTTCAGACCGTATGTCCACTCGGCGTGCGCGCAATGTTCCACGTCACACAAGCAAGTTAAATATTGCAAAATGCACTTCAACATGCAATCACTATACAAATTGACGTGATTTCTTACAAACGAAATTACTTTAATCACTCAAATTCAATACTAGCCTCTTGTCACGAAACGTACAACTTAGACAAACTAATTCGAGGCGGTCTACACGAAACCCAAATTCAATAGTAAATTAAACGCGCACAAAGACTCCAATTCTAAACCACAAAACCCAAAAAACTGTTCGCGTGAAATCGATGCAGCGGTCACCAAAATACGCTAATCGACCGCACCGCTGCTGTCAAGCTACTGACTTCGCACTCGCGTCCTGCGCCCGCGCCCTCTGCCGAGCGACCCACACGGGAGTGGGGCGACGGTGACCTTTACAAAGTCAGCGGGAGGACACGAGTGTTGAATGCAAATTTCAAATGTTAATTGTTTGGCCTAAACAAGACGTATACCACGCTGATGGACTTGATGGTATACAGTTGTATACCGTGGTACTTAGTCCTATGTTGACACGCTTGTTCTCCCTCTCATTTAGGACTAGGTAGTCAATGCAGCTCGTTCCCAAAAAAAGCAGCCGCGCCAACTCTGTTAATTACGGCCAATTTCAATTCCCTCCAAAATATTATTATATACTTTATTGTACACCACAAAAATGATGGAATGAAAAAAAAAACAGATTACAGGGAGTAAACATAAGAGGTACGTAAAGGTACGTATTACGAGATACAATAAGGTAGTCTTATGGCTAAAAAGCGATCCCTTCCAGACAACCTTAAGATTAATATGTTAGATATATGATTATGGAGCATATATTGGATGCCCACCTCATGGCCTACCTCGAACCTACTTAGCAACCGCCAGTTAGGGTTTCGCTGCAGTTGTTTGATCGGGGACTCAACCGACTGCATTACTGCTCACATTTGGGGTGCGGAAAGCATTGCGGAAGCGTTTGCTGTTTCCTTTGATGTCATGTAGGCCTTTGCCAGTGTTTGGAACGCTAGCCTAAGTAGCATTAGTTCTTTTGGGCAAGCTTTTAGTGTTCGACTTATCCCCTATTTTGATCGACTGAATGAATGGTCTTTCTGAGTCGTTGTTATGAGCTGCTCGTCCGACTCTATGATGACTACCGCCGGAGTTCCTCAAACGTCTGTTCTCTTCGCAACTCTCTTCGTGCTGTTTATTTATAATCCGCTTATGCCTGACATGGGGGTATGTAGATGATATCATAGGTATGAAGAGATGGCAGGCGAATGTTCGAGCTAGTCGGTCGATCAAATCCAGTTCGAAAGAGAAACGTATGTGTTGGGGGTTTTGTATAAGTGGTGAACAACTTATTTAATTGTTTTATTGTATAATTTAAACACTGTACAAATTATGTATAATTGCGTCTGTACTGTACACGGCTCGCTAATAGAAGAGACAGAAAATGTCGATTTGACAGCTATATAAAAGGTTACAATAGGGTTGTACCATGTAAATAGTGATGTACTACAATCGGTGCTGTGAGTGTCTCGAACAGTATGTCTTTATGATAAAAGGGAGCCCTCTCACCCTGGTTAGTATCTTCCGGAATGTATCTTTGCAGTATATCGACTGCCTTCAGATTCTTTGAGTCCAAGACCAACACAACCGCAAGAAAACTAGGTGTCTCCGCAAAATTGCGACGAAACTTCACGACGGGATAAATTCTTGCACTACATAAAGCGGAAGACCAGTCGTGTAGGGAGTACTGCTGTCACATATTGACTAGTACTGCAAAATGCAACCTATCAGTGGTTGAACTTAGTGTAGAAGCGTGCTAAAAGGTTTATACCTTGATATATATGAAACCAATCTTGTCAGCCTCGTGCACAGGGGCAAAGTAGCCAGCCTCTACGTGTTCTATAGGATACGTTCCGGAGAGTGTATGCAGAAATTCCATGATTTAATTCCTCCCATCTCTTTCCACCATTGCACAACCAGACGGTCAGAGGGTCTCTGTGTCCGATGTTGATATTCCACGCATTCAAATCGGCTTGGTCCAAACGGCTTGCTTCGCCATTTCTAATGCGTACAGCAAAGTCTTCAAGGTGAGAGTGAGTAGGTGTTTGTTTCGCTAAAATAGTGTGGTTTATTATCTAGAGTCTAAATCTAATTATCACTTACCACAAGGTGGGATTACATTCAAAAATTCGTTGATAATAAGTAAAAAAAAGTTCGTAGCTTCGTGTAAGTTAATATAATAATTAATATCACGAGCGTGCACCATGCACACTGCCGCTATCGTATCCCGTCGCCATAGATCCGCCGGAAATATAAATTTAACTCAAGAAAAAAAATCGTTTCACCGGTTAATCTTAACATCTTTAATAATTAATGATATTTGCAAATTTTGTGATTTATGAATGAGAACAATAAAAAGCTGAAGGTATTTCGGGTTTGACATCGGGACGTCAATCACCTCAGTCCCCCCGTGACCATGGGTGCCTTCAAGCACCCGAAACGTCAGGAATTAAAAATAAGTAAAAGTTAAACGCGATAAAATTAGTAAAAATATTTTTATTCAATGTGTTCATGTAAACATAAGAAATTATTATGAGAACAATAAAATTAAAAAATCTCGCAACTACGATTCATGTCTAAACGCAGTGTATATTATAAGGAGATTGAGGTTGAATCGGTACACAGCGGGTTTTGAAGTATCTTCTAAGGTTTGTTTCTACGAGTATATACATTATATAATTTTTTTTGTGGTAAGACTAAGTGGGCATCTCCATATTTGCGTGTACATTTGTGGCTCCTTAACACTTTTTGCATAGTTGATAACTTCTGATGATTTGGAAGTGGTCGCAGATCTAAAGTCGTCGAGTAGTATATCAACAACGCATTATTTTGGTAATAATGAAATAAAAAAAATTGTAATATTTTTTTATTTTCAGAATCAATTTCATTGGCTGATTCCTTGTTCTCCGAGATTTTATCGCGGAAAGAGAACGCGGATAACACTCGAGAGGCATTGTCTCTACTTACGCGCCACAAGTTCCTTTTTCAACTTCCTTCGTCCATCGACAAGAATATTAAAAAAAAGGAATATGATTTGGTTGTTAACGATTATACAAGAGCGAAAAATTTATTTGGAAATACTGATGTCAAGGTATTTTATTATTCTCCCTTATGGAAGTAAAAACTTCTTTAGGCATATTGGCCACTTTTGAAATGGGGGAAAAAACACTCTTTTTCATATAAAACACCGCAATAAATGAAATTTTTATAGCAATATTAATACATTGATAGATACGTTGATAATAATTTAAAAAATAAAATTTTGTACAACCGACTTCAATATATATTATTAAGAATAACTCAAAAACTATTGGTCAGACCTTGATCAAATTTATATGGGACCACATGTGAAGCACCAGTTTTCAAATAAAAAAAAAATGATCATCGAAATCGGTCCACTCGGTAAAAGTTATGAGGTAATATACATAAAAAAAAAAACGAACAGTCGAATTGGGTACCGTCTACTTATTGAAGTCAGTAGAAAATAATTTCTAATAAAAAATATTTCCAAAAAAAAATTTTTTTTAAAACGTTACCGTGGAGGCAGTTTACAAACATAAATTGCACAAGGACAAACATCCAGACCCGGAACAATTATTTGTAGGCAATACAAATACTTGTTCCGTGCAGGATTCGAACCCGCGGCCCCCAACGCAACAACTGATTGCTAAGCCACTGCGCCACCCAAAAATAATGTCTACAAGTTTGTGAAGCTAAGAAGATTTCACTTCTGACGTGCAGTTCTACGACTGACAGTTTTTTCTCTTTTCTTCTCTTTTCCTCCATTTGTTTTAATTTGTCAATTTATCATTAACAACCATAGACATAGAGAGATGAACTGAGCGTAAGTCTCACAAAAGTGACCATTCTCTAGAAAGAGACAAAGCGACTGGTCGGCCAATACCTGTCACTTTCCTGCAAGCCTGATTGGTCCACGTCCTGCACGCCAGTAAGTGGACCAATCAGAATTCTAGATAGAGACAACTACTAGCCGCACATTCGTTTTATCTCTCTCGCACTTTTCTGTCTGTATTCGCTCCACAACTAAATACAGAACGCACAGTCCATTCTATGTCTATGTTAACAACTTTGATTGCTTTATTTTTTTAATCTAGTGTGGTTTGTGTTTATTCTACACTCACAAACACACCTGTCCAATGTGGTTTTGTCTTTTTTTTATAGGATAAGGGTGACAAACGAGCACACAGTCCACCTGATGGTAAGTGGTTGCTGTGGCCCATAGACATCTACATCTATCTTCGATTAAGAATCAAAATTCAGATGCGTTGTCACCCGTGAGGACTAAAATGGAATGCCTCGTTTCCAGTAAAAAGAGTCTCCGGTTCTCTACACTCACCATACGAAACACAGCAGCGTTAAGCTGCTATTTTACTCTGGTATTCTGTGAGAGCGTGGTCCTTTCCCGGTCGAGCCGACCCATTCGTGCTACAACCATAATATAGCTGCAGCATGGCTCTACCACGTATAAAATATATGTTGTCTACCTTTCTAGTGTGATTTGTATCTTCCTTAGTGCTGCTTTGTTAGTGTAGTGGTCTTAAATGTGACTGCCGATCATATAGTCCTGTGTCCGAATCTCAGATCAGGCCAAAATCTGTTATTGGGTTTTTCTGTCAAAAATTCTCAGTAGCAGGCCGGAGTCAGGAATTTGGCGGTGTTTCACTCCTGTGCCTCGGAAAGCAAGTAAAGTTGGTCGTATCCAATCATCTCTCTTTAGTCGTGTCGGATTGTCCTCCCATCGCACTATGAGAGTGAGGGAATAGAGAGTGCATCTGTGTTTGCGTATGCTCGTGCACTATAATCCTGTCCTGCGCAGATGGCTAGTCTCCGTAGAGTAACAGTCGTGACCAAAATTCGGTGTCTATGATACACTCACCATGCAAACTACACTTGACAGGTGGATACCTGTCAAGTGTAGTTTGCATCTATTCTACAAATATCGATCCACCTGTTTGTGTGGTTGAATAAGTTTTACAAAATACACAAGACAGCCGCTCATCGTTCGAAAGGCCTGCGTTTAGCTTGTGGATTTCAATATGCTAAGAAGATATTCTATTATTTTTGTATATTCTCTTTTTAACCGACTTCAAAAAATTAGAGTTTCTCAATTCGAGTTTAGTTTAATTTGTATGTATATCGCGTATTATACGCGATATCAGATTGTGAACCAATTTGGATGATTCTTTTTTCATTAAATAGGTTATACTTCAAGAGCGGTCCCATAGAAATTTTGAGAAAAAAAATCACCCCTAAGGGTAGCAATACCTTCTTTTTTAGCAATTTGAAATCGGTTTTTACTTTTTGTTAAAAGGTATTATTATTCAGTTTATTATTATATATACGCAAAATTTTAAGTATACTAACACGATTTCTAGATAATGTATTGCGTGTAAACTAACTATTACAGCTCTTTCAAAAAATATTGGCCGAGATAGACAAGAAAATAGAAGAGTTAAAAGAAAATCTGTATAATAGAATGAAAACCATGCCAATTAATGTTCAGGAACAAACCAAATATATCAGGTGAAAATTATTTCTTTGATAAATTAAGTTACATTTGCCGTACACTCCGTTGGTGTTATATGAAACGACAGAGGGGTGTTGAAACAGGAGATTAGCATCGGAATATTCCTATGTCCGTTCAAAATAACAAGAACACCACAGTTTTGAACCCTCTGCCAAATGTGGCAACTATGGCAAATGTTGCTCCAATCTCTGCGGGAGGCTTTTGTTCAGCAGTGGAATTTTGGTGAGCTAAAATTAATTAATGATTGAGTGTAATAACGATGTTAATAAATTAATCAGTTAAGGTCCGAGTAATAAAATAAAATGATGTGTCTTACCTAGTTTGAAGAGCCCTCCCTCAATGAGGGCATCCACGACTTCTTCTGCCACCAGGGCGGCGCCACTAGAGAGGTTTAATATTTAACAGATTTCATAGCGGGGAAGTTAATTTGTTCGATAAATGTAAAGGTTATTGTTTCTTTCTGTACTATTAGCTATATTTTATATTAATAAGATAAAAAATAAATAAACCAAATCAAACAGATATTCATAAAAGTAGAAAAATTAAAAAATGTGCAAAAGATTAAAGAGCAAACCGCTAAGACATTGTTTTGTGTATTAATATAATACTTTAGAAACTGATAAACTATTATTAAAAAGCAACATCTCAATTAAATTACATTGTGTAACAATGCCGTGAGCCGTGGTAGCTCAGATGGTTAGCGCTCGCTGTAAGCTTCACAGTACTCGATCAACCCGGGTTCGATCCCCGCCGGCACCAATGAAATTGTTAATTGCAATTTTAAGTGCTGATTTACCACGTGCTCGGCGGTGAAGGAAAACATCGTGAGGAAACCTGCATGTCTGAGAAATAAGAAAAAAAATATTTCGAAGACATGTGAAGTTCGCCAACACGCATTGGGGCAGCACGGCGGACATTTCCTTGCCCTAAAACCCTCTCAGAAATGAGAGGAGGCCTGTGCCCAGCAGTGGGATGTAAATAGGTTGCAACTTTACTTTACTGTGTAACAAAAAACTTTACCCCAACGTCAACTAGCGACATCTGGTGAGCAGAAAATTATTAGCCCTCATTGCGTGCACTATGCCCGTCACTATTAATCCCAGCACCACTACTCCCACTACCACTATACTAGGAAAGACACGACACGTGTTTCGCTTTTACACGACCCGAGTGTGGAAGCGAAACACGTGTCGTATTATCGATGTTTTTTTTTATAGGATAAGGGTGACAAACGAGCAAACAGTCCACCTGATGGTAAGTGGTTGCTGTGATCCATAGATATTTACATCTATTCTCGATTACGAATCAAAATGCAGATGGGTTGTCACCCGTGAGGACTAAGATGTAATGTCTCGTTTCCAGTAAAAAGGGTCTTCGGTTCTCCACACTCACCATACGAAACACAGCAGCATTAAGCCGCTATTTTACGCTGGTATTCTGTGAGAGCGTGGTCCTTCCCCGGTCGAGCCGACCCATTCGTGCTACAACTACACCAGAAATATAGCTGCAGCATGGCTGTTTATTTTATTACACTGATCTTAGCTGATTCATTTTTTAATATCGTTATTATAATGAATTTCCGCAAAGTAACTCCTGATTCTATTAATGATTGACTGAAATTAAGACTGAGCAAACATTTTTTGAATAAAACTACTTTTACGGATTTTATCGCTTGTAAAAGTAGTTTTATTCAATGTGTAGTGTTCGCGTAAATATAAAAAAAATCAAAACTTTTTTTATTACGTTTCTGTAATTCCAGGCTGCTGATAAGTTTAAATTGGGAAGGTGATGCTGCTTGGACAGCTATTTTAAGTCGAAAGGATTATTTGATGGCACTTATGAACAAAGTGAAAGATCATTTCAAACAAAAGGAGGAGCAAGAGTCAAATGAAAAAGGTAAAGTCTTATTAAGTTAAATTACAACATGATAATAATAATAATAATGTCCTCCAGACCGAATTTCGGTCAGGGCGGCCAGCCTCAACGGAGACTAGCCATCGGTGCAGGATAGAATTATAGTGTCTAAGTGTGTGCGCATGCACACTACTCTCTCACTCTCATAGTCCGATGTGACCGTAAACCGACACGACCGGAGAAAGATCAAGCGCAGAACCAACGGCTTAACGTGCTTTCCGACGTACGGGGGTGAGACACCGCCAACTTCCTGACTCCGGGCAGCTACTGAGAATTGTTTGACGAAAAAACTCAACAACTGATGTTACAACATATTGATGTGACTGCTGGGGGTGGTTCGGTAAGAGAATTCATCACTTTATTTCTTCCATTGTTGAATTGAAATTAATGCTGTGGGTTAGGCTTTTAGCCTATCCCATAGAGCATGTATGGGATGGGCTTGGAAGACAAATTAAGAAAGGAAATCCTGCCCCTGCTAATTCGAGAGATCTTAAAAACTCATTACAAGAAGAATGAATGAATGTAGTTAACCTCTCAGTGAATTTATTGATAACTGTGGCTCCACGCGGTAGAGCCACGCTGCAGTTATATTATGGTTGTAGAACGAATGGGTCGGGGTAGGACGACGCTCTCACAGAATACCAGCGCAGCTTAATGCTGCTGTGTTTTGTGTGATGAGTGTAGGGAAGCGGAGACCCTTTTTACTGAAAACGAGGCGTTCGATGGTGACAACGCATTTGCATTTTAGTTCTTGAAGATAAATGTACATGCCTATGGGCTACAGCATCCACTTACCATCAGGTGGACTGTGTACTCGTTTGTCACGCTTATTCTATTAAAAATGAACAACGTTATTGGTATATTTTTAATCTACCATGTTTTTTTAAAACGGACTTAAGGGGGAATCTCCAATACCTCCGCCATACATTTTTTTTTGACATATACTTTAAACACAGACACTATTTGTTTAAAACTAATCATTTTATCACTTTTCTACACTGAAATGTGCTCGAGATTGACTTTATTAGGAAATAACTTACAGTATATATTAAGAAAAACAATAGTGAAATCTAGGACAATTTTGACACTTCTTTAGTAGTGTGAGTGAATTTTGAAAACTTGACAAGCAAAACCGCCAAAAACATAGTTTAAACATTGGCACGCTAGATGGTGTGTAGACGATATTGTTGTCCAACAAATACCATTATACGTAGGTTGATATTATGCATCGATGCCGTACCTCCTAACCTTGAACTAGATGCACGAAGAAAAAGCGATGCCAAACTTCCTTGTCTTGTTTGACTGTAATAAAATTTAAACATTCTAAAGTAATTCTCGATTGTCAAGGGATAGGATTTGCGCGCGGAATTTCTTGCGATTTATATTATATTTTTGTATGATTTTCATTGATTCAATTTGCAATATTTCTAGTATGTATTTGATTCCAATATAATACAATATATTGTATATTATTGTAGGTATAGTAATTAATTATTCAAAATACGCAATTTTGTTTTCGGTGGTATTAGAAATTCAAGTTGGCCCGTGATTTCAAATCTCGTTACAATACTAATTACCTATGTCATTCGTGTCCGTGTTGAGTATAAAACTACAAAATCAGTGTTTTGTTTGAATATTTTTTCAACAATAAATAAAATTATAAATCGGTAATCCACCAAAGTAGTCACAAAATTAATTTTACAAACATTTGCAAAATATAGTTTTGCGGAGTTACCTATTACGTATTTTGCAAACAGTTTCAGACAGACACACATTATTATTAGTTTGTTTTATTTTGTTGTAGTACCAAGCTCAAGGTCGCGTCGTATCGTTTGTTACGGTCCTGGATTTTTTTTAGTTGATTTCTCTTTGGATAATAGATGAAAATAATGGTTATGTATTTAATATTAATTTTGTTTTATTATGGTTATTAGATTAATAATTATTAATTTATTAATAAAATGTTTATCAATAAAATAATTATAAATATTAAACTTTATAAAAATAGAATAGAAATAAATGTAAGTATAAGGTACGTTGGGGTAAGATCGGTGATGGGGCAAGACCGTAGGATTCAAATTCCCGGCGAATTATGCTATATTTTGAAAAGCTAACAATATGCTACACGACGCCATTTCATCCTGCCCCGACCCTCAGTTCGCGCCAGTCACTCCGGCAAGTGGGACCTGTGCTGCGTGGCATTTTATAAAACAATGTAATTTTTGTATTATTTTTGTCCATCCGATCTTTCCCTATCACTTTTATTTACGATTTTTAGCGAGAACATGGCTTCTTTTGTTATTATTTTGTGTGGATACTAATTTTTATGAAGTTATAGCTAAATAAAGCTGGTCCATGCAGGAGTAAGATCGCTGTAGGCCGAGATCCGATGTTTCCCCTCGTGAGTGAAGATCGGATGAATATTATCCGATCTTTGCCTGTTACAAATATGGCAGTGGTTGTTAAACTTTCATTGGTCGTGTATATTTTTTCGTTGATTACTCAAGTGACTATGGGACTCAGTCTCGTTAGCAAGTCTGTATATTTAAAAGTAATAAAACAATATGATGGTTTTATTACTTTTAAGTACACATTAAAATACATTTTTTTTATAGGATAAGGGTGACAAAGGAGCACACAGTCCACCTGATGTTAAGTGATTGCTGCGGCCCATAGACATCTATATCTATTCTCTATTACAAATCAAAATGTAATTTATAATAATTATTTAAAAAATAATTTATAATAATAAATGCCGCTTTGTTAAAATATTTATATCTTCCTTAACTCCTGCATTATCCCAGGGCATTTCGCCAGTCCTTACTGTTATTTTTTTTTCCCATATAAAATCAAATGCATCCGATCTTTCTCTTATATTGAGTAATTCCATCTTATGTCATAACAAAGTTTGAGAAACATAAAATTACAATTTCTTTATATCAGGGATAAGATCGGATGGCAAGAAACAAAAAAAGAGAAAATCGTTTGGAACATTTATGTTTCTAGTAATTTATAGATCATATTGAAATATGTTTTTGAGCGTTAAAGATAGGACAAATCTCTTTTATAAACTTTTTTCTCTAAGTAGTAGAAGTGGTTTTAAATTTAAGTCCGGTCTTACCCCTTAATGGCCAATTTTTCATTATGCATATAAAAAAGTATGTCTAGTTTTCGCACACCTTTAAAGCAGAAACCGTTGAATTTACACAAGCAAAAGATTCTCAGAGCTAAACTACGTTTAACGATTAACGGTTTGCTCCATGTTCCATAAATCTGACGTATACGAATGTCGAGAAATTAAAGTTTTTGGCAGACTCTTCCAACTATTCGAAAATCCGTCCGGTATTACCCCAACGTACCTTATTATTTAAAAATTTGTAAACATAAAATAAAATACAAACACTCACGCCTGTCACCCAGAGGGATAGGCAGAGACTACGGACTTCCATTTGGCCCGATCCTGACACACTTCTCTTCGCCTCCTTTACATCCATATATATACGCATACACGCTCGTCGGTTAAGGGTACTCCTAATCTGGCCGATTTTCAATGTATCGCCGATTTGGTCGATAAATCTTCGTCTAGGGCGTCCCTTCCCGACTTTGCCGTCCATTTCTGAAACATAAATTTGCTTTGTCACTCTTTCCTCGTTCATTCTTTTTACGTGACCAAACCACCGAAGCATTCCTTTTTTAATCCTAGTCACAACGTCATCTTGCAAAACCACACATTTCTCTTATCACACTATTTCTCACCCTGTCATTCAGATTCAGTCCTAGCATACTACGTAATGACCGCATTTCTACAGCCTTTATTCTACTCTCATGCTTCTGCCATACCCAACTTACACTACCATACATTAAAGTAGAGACTAACACACCATTATTAATTGCTATACGTGCCTTCTTCTCCTTCGTGGTAAACATGTATAATAACTATGAGAAAGCCTTTGATTCCGTCGAAATTAGGGCGGTGCTGCAGTCCCTTCAGCGGTGCCAAGTTGACTGGCGGTATACCGAAGTGCTGAAGTGTTTGTACAGTAGAGCTACGATGGCTATCCGAGTACAGAACCAGAGTACGAAACCTATCCAATTGCAGAGAGGTGTAAGACAGGGTGACGTTATATCCCCGAAACTCTTCACCGCTGCATTGGAAGACGTTTTCAAGCTTCTGGACTGGAAAGGATATGGTATTAACATCAATGGCGAGTACATCACTCACCTTCGATTTGCCGACGATATAGTCATTATGGCAGAATCGCTGCAGGACCTAAGCACCATGCTCAATGACCTCAATAGTGTCTCCCAACGAATAGGTCTTAGGATGAACATGGACAAAACAAAGATCATGTTTAATGTCCATGTCACACCTATGCCTGTAGTTGTTGCGAGCACTAAGCTCGAAGTTGTTGACGAGTATGTTTACCTGGGACAAATAGTCCGACTAGGTAAGTCCCACTTCGACCGAGAGGTAAATCGACGGAATCGACTCGGCTGGGCAGCGTTCGGGAAACTACGACACATCTTCTCGTCAGACATACCTCAAAAGCTTAAAACGAAATTGTACAACCAGTGCGTGTTGCCAGTGATGACTTACGGATCTGAGACGTGGTCCTTCACTGATGGCCGCATGAGGAAGCTTAAGGTCGAAGTCGATGGATGCAGGTGGCTCAGGACCGTGCTTTGTGGCATTCCTTGGGGGAGGCCTATGTTCAGCAGTGGACTTATGAAAGGCTGTAATGATGATGATGAAACATGTATACGAGCCTTAGTAGCTCAGATGGTTAGCGCTCACTGCAAATTTCACACTACGCGAGAAACCCGAGTTCGAGCCCTACCGGCACCGATGAATTTGTTAATTGCACCGCGGCGGACATTTTCTTTTCTTGCCCTAAAACTAATCTCAAAAAAAATTATCAACAAGTCAAATGATTTTTGTTTTACTAAAAGCTTTTGTAGTTGTGTGTGCTTTGAAATTAGGAAATATTTTTTCACCTTCCTGGTAATTATCGCATACTAAACCGTGTTTTAAATTTGTTGTTATCTCTTGTTTATGAACTTAAAATTGCAATTAACAATTTCATTGGTGCCGGCGGGGATCGAACCCGGGGTCTCTCTTGTACTGTGAAACTTACAGCGAGTGCTAACCATCTGAGTTACCAACCAACCATGGCACATTTTACAAATATAACTTTTATTTTTATAACATAATCGTAAAATACTGGTATTCAGTTGAATCCGGTTTGACTGGGAGCCGAACGCAATATAGTTGGGAAAAAAGCTAGGCAGATGATGAATCGTACATAATATATTTCGTAACAGGTGGCGTTCTGTAGGTCTGCCTATACAGAAAAAAGGATAACATTTTTTTCATTCACGCCATCTAGTGTTCGATTTTCGTAAATGTAGGGACTAAGAATTCACCCACGTCAGTGTGTGTAAACGACACTATATTCAATGACAGATGTTATTTTCGGACTTTGTGTTGAATTGTGTAGATTTTGAGGCAGTGATATGACCTAGTAAAATAAAGTATAATGTCCGAGTATTGCGATTGCTACTTCTACGACTTAATAATGTTCCAATTACACAAAAACCCAAATAAACTAAAAAATTATGACTTCAGCGCCATCTTGTGGGAATATGGCCGGGAACAGACCGTATGTTTCACCTTAAAGGGTTTTTTTTATGTTCATATTTAAAGTCTTTAGCTTTAAAGTCAATTACTAAATTCATCCTGAACTGACATACGAAAGCGAATTAATAAACATGTGGTAAAATAAAACGTAAAAACAGAACTGTGTGGCATATTTATCGCAATGCGCCTGTTACATATGTCTACCGATATCTTACACGACACCAGGAAGTCACCTATCACCATACAGCACCGCCTGCACGCCTAACAGCAGAACGTGACTCAATTCACTGTCACGTAAGTGAATTGAGTCAGAATATTCAACATGGTGCCATCAGGAATTCAACTATCTTACAGCTTCGCCCGCTAAGCAAATAACGGCACGTCTTTTACGTGACTTAAGAATTTTCAATATATAGTATAAAACTCAGGGTCTAATTGTTAAAACAGAACAGCACATGTGCTGGAACAGTTAGAGATATTAAAAAATAATAACAGTAATGTTGCACTGCTGAATGAACAAACAAATGTTTCCAACTCGCCTCTCTTAAACATGTTTAAGCCTGCTCCTTGATGTATAGCCTCGCAACATGGTCGTTTGTCACCCTCACGGTGCGGTGGTCAGCGTTTGGTTGCGTGGTTGTAGGGTAGGCGGACGTTTCGCAGTAGTTTGTTGTTAATTTCACAGCAAATATCGGCGTACGTCAGGTGGTGATTGATCGCATGACGTAATCGCTCGCTACGTAATTGGAGCGTGGTTGCGTCAGCAAGTAGTATAAATAGCAGTAGTTTCGGCTCGCCGCTCACTTAGCGGCTTGGCTCCGCAGAGTCTACTTCACCTGAGGATGCCTCGTGTAGAGGCGAAACAAGTGTATTTTCGAGAGTGGTGTGTCGTGCCTGGTGTGCTGGTGCTGGGGGTGGTAGTGCTGCGATTAACGGCGACGGATATGGTGCGCGCGATTGAGGGAGGGTGGGAGGTCCCTTTAAAACTGGGCAGGACACATCATTTTCTTTCTTTACGCGGAATTAAGCAAATTAGTTTATAACAACCCCATTATAATGGATTTCCGCAAAGTAACGCCTGATTCTATCAATTAGAACTGTAGTAATTAAGTTAATTTATAGTAGTTAGATTGTAGTCCATTGTTGCTGTGTACTCACCTTGTCATAGTAGTTAAATTAACTTGTAAGTTAGAAAGTATAAGCTGCCGCAAATGTAAGTCGCCTGCGCCCGCGCGATCCCCAGGTGTGCCACAGTTTTTGTTGTGATTTGTCGGTCTAGTAGTATATATAGGAGCCGTGCGATTTCAGCCGACCAACAATACACCGCCCTGCGCTTGGGTTAACTGGTTCTGGGCATCGACACGTCACATATTTGCGTCATCGTACCCTGAAACCAGTTTACTCCCCTTTCCGGATCGAAATGAATCTCTTCGGCGTTTTCTGGTCAGGTCAGGTCAGGTCAGGCGACTAATAACTTAAATTGAAAATTTAAAAAACCCCCAATATAGAAGGAACTGATGAACCACCTCTAAAAACCTGCTTTTAAATAAATAAAACATGCGTGAGTGTTGTGGAACACTCGGTTGGAACGTAGTTCCTGTCGTAGTATATTATTATTGATAAATGTATTATACTGAGTTATTTGTATTTCTTAACACAAATAAATGAACTACTAACGTCTACTAGAATAATGCGTCATTTAGAATAATATTTCTTTCATAGCAAGATAAGAAAAAGTGCGTGAGAGATGGATATTATTCCATCTCGCTCGCACTATAGAAAGGGGGTCGTGACGGGAAAATCTTACACTTTTTCTCGTCTAACCCCAATTCGTTAAATTCGTACCGTGCGATAAGGAACTTCGTTCCAAAAGAACCGCACCCAAATAAGTTCACCCGTTTAAGAGATACGGTGCCACAGACAGACAGACACACATAGTGATCAGACTTATAACATGGTCCCTCCTTATGCCACGGGGGTTAAAAAAAAAAGACAAATTAATAAAGCAAACCAAGAGAGGGGTCCCGGTTGCGTTCCGAACCGAGATACACTCATATACGCTAATGGTGACCACTGTGAAGTTTAAGCCGGCATAACCGTTTGTTGGTCCCGCAGCGGAAAGTATCCATGAGGGTACCATGGTGATGTTTGGTGGCAGGGCGTCGCAGGGCGCGCGAGTGCGACTGGGGCGCGTGGCGCGCGGCGTGGTGCGGCGCGGCGTGCGGCGCGCTGGCGGCCGAGCTGCACGCGCTGTGGCCGCTCGCGCGCCGCTACTTCGCCGGCGACCTGGCCGGCGAACCTGCTGCACCGCAGCGACACGCCGACCTCAAGGTGACCGCTCTTCTACATACCCGCCTACTTTACACATCATGTACTAGTCCGTCCACGACTGGATGCGTCAGCAAATCCGCCGTAGCGACACGCCAACCTCAAGGTGACCGCCCTTGTAGATATACCCGCGTACTTTACATATCGTGCGCTAGTCCGTCCACACCGTTTGCCGCAACGATACAACTACCTCATCGTGAATGCCTTGAGGATGTGCCCACTAGTTACTTTGTAGTATGCACGATACTATGTACACGCCCCTAGCTGCCCCAACAAAGGTAGACTGGACTAGGGCCCATCAGTAGTCCGATCGACGAGCAGCAGGGGACGGGGCCCAAAATGCCTATGGACAATTGACCTACACAATAGAGATAAGGCTAGGTAAATAAATAGTACGTACCTGGTTCCGAAGCTAAAACCGCCCCAAGGCTCGGTCAGGCCGTAGGTAGGTATAGGTGCATGTAAGTGGTGTGTAGTAGTGTTTATATATGTGACCTGACCTAACTGAGGTGATCGGGCAGCGGCCTGGTCCCATGCTGCCCCACAATGCTGCATCACTCCAGCAGGCGTTACCAAGTGACAACTTCTTTCTTCATTTCACTATTTCAGTCTATTAACTTTATTGTACACTATTTCAATCCATCAACTTTATTGTACATTTAACTAACTTCAAACTCAACTAAATTCAACGTTCATCGTAATCAAAAACGTAACACACGGAACGACTAATGAACGGTGGATCAAAGTTCACTTCCGTTTTTACACAGCAACAAATTATTTCTAGAACCGAACGTGACCTTCTCTAGGGTCACAAAGTTCCGCGTTACAAACAACAAACTAAATTCCTTCGTACGATGTTAAATACTACGCCGCAATAAGAATTCAAAATCCGCCTAGCTGACACGCAAACTAGCTACAGAGTCAACACACAAAAGGCTCTTAACGCGACGGTACAATTGCAACGAAATTACTCAAATTCAATACAAGCCTCTTGTCATGAACGTACAACTCAGACAAACTTACTCGAGGTGGTCTCCACGAAACCCCAAATTCAATAGCGAATTAAACGCGCACAAATACTTAAAATCTAGACCACAAAACCAAAACTGGTCGCGCGAAACCGCTGCAGCGGTCACCACAAAATACGTTACTCGATCGCACCGCTGCTCTCAAGCTACTGGTCTCGCCCACGGGCGCCGAACGTTGGGAAGCCGCATACTAGATTAGAATAGATTGTGCGATACTAACTAGGTCAGCCAAAACGCCGCAGTGGCACACATACCTCAAGGTGAGTATCCTGAGGTTGTACCCATATACTTTCTTTGTAGATTGTCCGCAACTGCGCCGGCAACTACGCTGGCAATTCCATCATAGTAGCACAGTTACCTCAAGGCGAGTGCCTTGTTTTGCCTACTTTCTTTGCAGACTCAGTCCAAAAAAATTCTTTTGTTGTTGGCGGCACTTTGCGTACATTTCAAGTAAAAAAGGGTTTTAAGAGCTGACAGTGCGCCGCAGCAGTTCCCGTTTACTTTCTTTGTAGATTGTTCGCTACTGCGACGTGCAAAAAAAAGAATCATCAAAATCGGTTCACCTAGAAAAAAGTTCTGAGGTAACACACAAAAAAAATACAGTCGAATTGAGTACCTTCTACTTTTTTGAAGTTGGTTAAAAAGAATATTACCGTGGGTTACAGGAGATGATAATCGCGGCGGTGGAGTCATTCTCGGAGCAGATGCGCGCGTGCCTACTGGTGGGGGGTGCGGGTAGCGGCGCGGGGGGCGCGGCGGGCGGCGCGGGCGCGGACGTGCTGCGCGCGCGCCTCGTCGCCAACCTGCGACACCTGCGCGACGCGTACGACTCGCTGCTCAAGCTAGACCTGCCCTCGCAGGTATGGATTTCTTTACTAACCCTTTAGTTCTACTTCCAAAGCACGAGTAGAAATTTATAATGTACTAATAGATTGTGTTTTTGTGGAATAATAATAATTTTGACAGCTGCATTTGACAGTTCGATCCCTCACGGAACATAACGGACTCTATTTATGTTGCTTACAAATAACTGTTTCAGATCCGAATGCTTGCCTATATACAATTTATGCATGTAAAACCCCCTGCCCCTGACGATACAGCAGAATGCCCTAGTGTGGGAAAATATTAAAAGAATAATTAATAGGTCGGGGAAAAAGTTTCTTCATATTTTGTTTGTTTAAAATTGAAGAAAAATTTCTGGTTGTACTGTTTGTATCTGGCTGCTTTTAATATCAATACATATAGGACATTAAGAAGAATTAAAAAGTAAAAAACACTTACCCGCCATTGTTTAATTGTTTTTTTGTCCGCCAAAAAGAGTGAATCTAACCATAGTAATAATAATAATAGTAATGTTGCTGTTGCAGGGTTGTCACTGTCTTTTTGCTTAACAGCTAGGTCTCATTTAGTTTTATAAGTAGTTGTAATATTTCCAAACCTTTCTCCATTTAAAGCCTCATATATGAATACGGGTCCGATGATGTTGTCACTGTGTATAGCTGCCAGAAAATTTACCGAAAATCTGTACTGATGGGCTGACTCCCGCCAAATGTTGGATTTTGGGTGCCCAATGGTGCAGATTATGCTGGTTCCACATGCCGTTTCTGGTGAAATGCTTTCGTCAGTCCAACAAATTTGGGAAAAAAAGTCACTGTCCTCTTCAATTTTACTCAGTAACCACTGACAATAATTCACTAGTTTGGGTTGGTCTTCGAAATATTGTATTACATTTTTAGTTAACTGGATTGGGTTTTGTCGTGTAGGCGGTCGATCAGAGCGTTGAGACATAGGATCCACTGGCTGGTTTTCGCGGATGCGCTGAAGAGCTCCTACAACAGTGCGAGAATGTGTAGGGCATTGTCTTGAATCGCCATATCTCTCACGATATGTCCTTATCGCAAGGGCGGCATTTTGACGACATTCTCCGTAAATTAGGATCATGTCCGCATATTCAGCTGCTGTGTGGTTCGGATGTGTATTTGCCATTACGGTCACAAGCTTACACAAGCACTAATAACACAAAAAAAGCGTCCGTATCGCAAGAGATGTAAACGTACCTACTAGATTAGAAAACTAAAAGAAAACAAAGCCTCTTTATCGCAGCACTGTAATCTAATTACTATCATAATTACACAAAAATTAATAAATAAAACAATAGGTAAGCGTCTTTTTCGCGGAAAAGTTTTTAAAAATATTAGTCGACGTAATTATGCGCACTAGAAAAGCAGAAAAACGAAGAGACATAGGGATGTCTCTTTCCTTGAATAGTATTGTTTATTCGTTTTAATTTCAATGATGCGATCTTATGATCCGTGACCTCGTCAAATGACCGCTGCGCGACAGTTCTCTAAGTACAGGTTGCTCTAATATGCTATTTTCTAAAATTTTAAATAAATCTGTAAATAATAACGTTTAATGGAAATATAATTTCTTCAAGTTACAATGTGTGCATTTCAGCCTCTTAGTATAGTGGAGAAAGTGATATTCGACTACCGTGTGCACGGCATGACCGTGTTTTTGCAACGCGCCCACAAACGAGTCAAGAGTCTCGCTGAAAAAGAAACTTGGAAGATTGAAGAGTTCTCAGACTACGGTGCTATTACTAATCTGGTAGGAAAATTTAGTATTGATATTTATGTTTTTATGGAATTGAAAACTACAGTTAATAAGCTGAATATTTTTTTAAATTTATCTCTTAACATTTTTGGCAGATCAAGCGAAACACATGACCAATAAAAATGCCTTAACTAGTAGTAACAATGCACTTAGATACGTGATTGCTTATATTTTAGGAACGAAGTTCCTTATCGCACGATACTAATTTGATGGATGGGGGCTAGACGAGAAAAAGTGTAAGATTTTTCCGTCACGACCCTCCTTCTTATAGTGCGAGCGAGATGGAATAGAGATATCCATCTCCTTCGCACTTTTTCTTATCTTGCCACGAAAGAAATATTATTTTAAATGACGCTTCATTTTAATAGACGCTAGTAAGTCATTCATTTGTATTTCTTAATCAATAATATAATACGTTTATCAATAATAATATACTACGAAAGGAACTTCGTTCCAACCGAGTGTTCCACGACACTCACACATGTTTTTTTTTATATATTAAAAAGTTATAACTTCTCTTTTTCAGCCGCACTTGCTTGAGACGTATATGAACGAGGCATTATCGTCGATACACAAGTGCGTGTTGAACAGCGGGCGACGTGAGAATCCTCTGCTAAATGAGGGCAGCGAGCCCTCAGCGGCTCTGCAGCGACACACGCAGCAAATACTGCTCGCCTACGTGACCGTACTGCGCGAGTTAGCCTTGCATCATGAAGACCAGGTTTGTCTATAATTTTTTAATTCATCATCATCATCATCACACCATGTCAACAATTCATTGTGTCACACAAATACACTTGTAAGTCACTTGCACTGATTAGTCATTTACACTTTACACTTGTGAGCCCGATGGGACGCTTTATACGCTGTCCTGGGACATTCGTAACACAAACGGACACACTTTTGTTAATTGTTATTGGTGGTCAACGATGTTGGTTGCACTATTGTAATATATTTTTTGTAGCTAATTTAAATTAAATTGTGTAAATAGTTTGTTGATCCAATTAAAAAAGACTTTTTTTCGAATTTTGTGTGGCAGCCTTTTGCGTAATATTCGAGAGTCACGTACAAGGGTAAGGGTGTGCACACATTATAAAACGAGACTAACAGTCGTAACATACTGTTAACATCGTCATTATAATCATTTTTTTTCCTTGTTTCATTATCATTCCAGCTTACCACAGTCCACTGTTCAACATAGGCGTCTCTCTAGATTGCTTCGTAATATTTGTAATAATTGCCATGCTTGGCAGGTTTTGGCGACGGCTGTTTTTTTATTTTTATTATGAAGACGCTGTCGCTCTTCTGGCTTGTTTCCCTCTGTCGTCTCCTATAACACGCACGGGACGCTATGTGGTAATGCACATTCTTACAACCGATGGGTGTGACCCGTGTGACCTTTTAATGCGGCTTCTTACCCGTAGGTGAAGTGGAAAGCGGCCCCGACTTGATTAAGTGACGACCTGGCTCAAGACTACGTTTTGTGGCATTTCTTGAGGAAGGTCTATTTTCAGCAGTGGACTTTTGAATAATAATCATTAACAATGTGGGTGTCTTCAAGGCAAGAGCAAATAGGCTTTTGTTAAGTCAGTGCGTTTTACTATCTTCGCCTGCATCATCACTTAACATTAGGTGGGATAGTAGTCAAGCACTGTACTGTGTACAGTAAAAAAAAACCAAGGGCCCACGGTCTAAGAAATGGGAATGTACAAAAACTGGGTGTCCACAAACAATAGTTACACTTGTGTTGTGTATAATATTGTTACACTGCCGCTACTTGTTAGTGGACTTAGCGCGTAATGAACGATTGTGGAAGAAATGGGAATGTAGAAAAGCCGGGTGGCAGGACTTCAACAACACGAGCCTGTCGGTGGCGCTGGACCAGCGGCTGGACGAGTCGTGCGCGGGGGGCGCGGGGGGCGGCGCGGCGGGCGGCGCGGGGGGCGGCGGCGCGCGCAGCTGGCAGCAGCGCCTGCTCATCGCCGGCGCCAACGCGCACTACACGCGCCGCCTCACGCTCAACAACATCCTCGAAGCATTCCACACGTGAGATCCGCATAGCGATTTTTTATTTATTTAATTACTTTAAAAAAAATATCGTACAATATGTTTCAGGTTATAGTCAAAGACTTCTTTGTATACTACTAGACGGGGACTACTGTACTAATACATTGCGCACTAAGTTACAGTCAATGCTCCGTAACTCCTTTAGTCGACTGTGAGCAGACGAGAAGATTAGTTCATCTATACAAATAAATAAAATTGAAGTGTCTGTAATCATAAAATAACAGCTTTTTACTAAATGCATACGGTACTTATAACAAAAACACAATTTTTAAAATTTTTGTCTGTCTGTCTGTCTGTCGGTCTGTCTGTTTGTTTGTTCCGGCTAATCTCCAAAACGGCTGGACCGATATTGACGGGACTTTAACTGGCAGATAGCTGATGTTCTAAGAAGTAACTTAGGCTACTTTTATTTTAGAAAAAAAAAATTAAGGTTCTGAGCAATATAATTAAAACCCTAACACGCAGGCGAAGTCGCAGGGACAACCAGTTGTTTCCTAAACCGTGAACCATATTTTCCACACTTGTAACACTGATTTTGTTTAATGTGACAAAAAAATATTTTTATGTGCGCACTTTGTCGATGTGATTTGAAATTTGTTTCAGATAAAACTGAACGCACATTTGTCCGCGCCGTACGCGCCGAATTTTAGAATTCGTTGTATGAAATCATATGAAACCTCGCACATTACACCCGCACCGTACGCGCTGAATTTTATAAAATGCGGTAGGTATACGATATCGAAGGACTAATGCTGATGGCGTCATATAATGCGGCGCGTTTGACGCGTGTTGATACTCAGTGTTGTTTAATGTTGCCAATTTAGTGAATTTTCCACTATAACTGATGGTTTTGACTTACATGATAATTTTTGTATTTTTATAACTTTTAATTCATTCGTAATTAATTATACATAATTTGAATTTTTTTGCATCGATTATCAATATGTATACTTAGCGATAAATTATTTAAATACTGAACTAACAAAAAAATAGTTAAATTTAATTCAAACACCCATTTATACCTACTTACTATTTTATCAATAAAATACTTATCTCAAACATACAACAAGTCTTTTCTCTGGTTCAATTAGCCTTCTAAATCTTGAGTCTTCCATAGAAAGATATGGTTTTAGTATATGTAACAATTCTTGAAATTTCTTGTATGTTAAATGCAAATATGGAAAAAAGTCTTTAAATAAAGTATATCCCCTTCTCCATACAATTGCCCTTTTAAATTAGTGTTATGAATCCAGATTCTTCTTTTTCTTCGAATTTTATTTTCTTCTTCCACTGCCAATAAGCAGGCTATTACTGTATTTCTTTTCATAGTGTTTTCAAGCGATCAATTTTCCTGTACCGTTTCACACCAGTTGTTGGAAAAAACTATAAAAGTTGTTGGTAATACAAAAGATTTGCGAACGACGCGGACGATGCGTACGGGCAAATGTGCGAGGCCATCAGTAAAACTAGGCGCGTACGGCGCGTACGATGCGTACGGTGCGGACAAATGTGCGTTCAGCTTAAGTATGTAAATAAAAATACAACAGCGAAATATATTTACTTTGCCAGCTACAGCTACCAGACTGTGCTCACATCCACGTCCGCGCTATCCACAGTTGTGATACAGTTTTAGTTCTGAATTTTCGGTCTCATATTATACATAGAAGTCTTTAAATATAATCCGCCAAACTGTTAATCAGTTTGTCGGCAGAAACTGCTCTTGTTTGCATTATTTTAATTGTACATTTTTTTAAATAATTGCTGTTGTTTCCAGAGATTTAACCGTATCTTGTTTTTTTTTTTTAATTATTTTTATAATTTATAACAGTTTCTTGTAACTATTTAGCGATTTCTTCTAATTTTTTATTAAATCTAAAGGCTCACTTGCTAAAATAATTAACTATTTTATGAACTTATAAAAGTTGCTTGGTAACTGCTCTTGTATCTTTAAGCTAGCGTACTTGTATAATTAAACTAGTGGTCGCCCAGGCTTCGAAATTTGACCGTAAATTTTTAGTTTTGTACTGTAAGCTTATTAATTTGTAACTCTTAAGATTATACAGCGTTACTTTTCAAAGAGTAGCCAAATTATAAACTTAAGTTCAAATGTGTAATAATGATATACCGTTATTGCAATTTTTGAAAATACGAGTAAATAATCAATCTACTTTTATTTGAAATTATCTCAAATTGAATGTGATTTATGGGCAACAACATTTTAGCCTACCAATCAGTTAAAATAATGCATTACCCCAGGCTTTTGAATTTAAAAGTTAAAAAGGACAGAATGTTTGAGATTTTTTTTTAAATTAATTTTTCTTCACCATTTGCCTATATTAGTTATTCTGAACCTTCTCTGCAAATTTGGCCGGTTATTGCAAAATAACCCTGTATGTAAGTAGCATCACGAAGATATCTTTTGCTCTGTGATACGAAGGTAGTTGATGTCTTGTATATTTTTTATCAGTCCTTGACAGACTTCTGTACTGGTGGACGTGGGCTTTTTTTTTTGGCAGATTTGCCGTAATCAAACCGAAACAAATAGTTGCGACCTTTAACATAACTAGTGGTCGCCCCGGGGTCGTAATTCGACCGTAATTTATAAAATTTTTGATTTTGTATGTTAAGCGAGCTGTATTTCACTTTGAACTGAACATTAATATATAAAACACAGGTATCTAATATACAAAATATAAAATGTACACTTTTTGCCATGACATACACCACACTCTACTGATAAACGAACATTTGAAATCACACAAACTTCACAGTTTGCAACTTCTTTAGTCAATCAGTAATTATTTGTTGGCAACATTTGAACATTCTTCGGAATTAAATGTGCAAACGATAGTATGTTAATGTGGTTGAGCTTCGCGGTGTATTATTCGGCTGTATCACGAATGGGTTGGCTCGACGGGGAAGGATCACTATCTCAAAGAGTGCCAGTGTGCAATAGCAGAATACGGAGACCCTTTTTATTGGTAAATTCCTGAGCGCTGCCAATGTCATTTTAAAATTTGATTCTTAATCGGGGATAGATATAGGTGTCTATGACTCACATTTTAGATTTTTATTGATACCAAATAAAGAAGCTACCACATATCAGAACCTAGCATCAGAAGAGTAAAAAAATAATAATAAAATAATTTTGTTGTATTTTAAAATTACAATTTTACATTACAAATCACAAGGACTGTAAAACGTCTGCATTGCATTAAGTTCATTTTGTATAGTGGACTTTAATTCAAATATAATTTTCAGTTCTAAAGTTGTATGTTGCACTTATTAATTTTATATTTTTATGCTTACTGGCAGGACATAGAAAACTCTATCGATATATAATAAAATATAATCTTATATTTTATTTTGTACATATCGAGATCTGTAAATGAACCTATGTTCACAAAATAAACAGATTTGATTTGATTTGAAGAAGTGTAAAATAACGCTCGGGAAATTTAAAGCGATACTTGATTTCTAACAAAATTAAATATAATGTCTCATAACATATATTATATTATTATGACTTGTTTTATGTATGGATTAAATTATTTTTCCTAAATAATTATTTAAATGAAATTATAAGTTAATTAAATTAAAATCATAAAAAAAATCGTTATGATAATAAGAAGGTAATTTTACAAAAATTGCCAATATTTCATTTAATCATAAAAAAATTCTTCTTTTTGTAGCTACGGGCTCCCGAAACCAACACAAGCCATACAAACTACAAAGGACGCATTGAGCACGCTGGAATCGAGCATCGCGGAGACATATCTGGAACACAAGGGTGACCCACTTGTGGGCACGATAGAGCCCAGCATGTACATGGGCCGTCATCAAACTGACGCCGAAGCTTTGGTCGACGACGCCCGCCCTTATGTCTACGAGATTATTAACAATCTTATTGCGGTGCATGCAGAGGTGTGTAACGTTTGATTTTTCCTTTGTATAAATAATTGAATACTTATATGTAATGTTCCAGACCATTTAATCAGAATGAACGGCTCGATTTTGATTGGCATTTAACTTGATGTCTAGCTTTTTAGTTGAATTACAACAATAAGTTGACGTTAATCTTTGCTGATCGTGTAGTGGCGGTGTAAGCATATTATTACCCCATATCGTCCCGTGAGTGTCGTAAAAAGCTACAGAGGGAAACCAGACGGGCAGTAGCGTTTTCCTTTTAACGAATAAAATATGTTTTTTTTATTACTAATATTCACTGGAAACTCAGCAAATTTTTAAAATCTGACAACACTGTCATGTGCGTCGGTATTTTTTGAGCCTTGTAATTAAATTTTATATTATTTTTTGGGGGATAATTTTTTATTTATTCTCTGAAAAGTATTACATGGACAGAATCACATCTCGATACAAAGCACCCTCGGACAGTTTCTTATAATATATTGTATATTATAATAAATATATAAGAGAATCTGGCATGAAGCGAAGTTCAAGTCAAGGAAAAGCTATCAAATTTGGAATGTCGCGATTTGAAAATTGTAATGTCCAGACATTCCATAATATCTTTGAACGATCATTTATCAGAGGCGCAATCCCTTCAAAAAAATGTTTAACCCTGACTTGTACTTGGGACAGGAGTTATATTGTATACCCTCTATATCTGAATCAATAAAGATGTCTGATTTTGAGATAATAGGTCTATATAGGTAGGTAGGTAATAGGTAGGGTGAGATAGTAGGTAATCTAATACGTTTATTATATACATTTCTTCTTAATCACGTGCAAACGACTGTGAATTAGTTTTCACTTTCATTTTTTAAATTGTAAAAAAAGTCTGGCCCTGGTCTTTATACAATATATAAAAAATAGGCAATCACACATAGAATACTATTTAATTTTCTATTTTTTTAAAGATATTTTTGTTAGTTGGTTCAAAACAACAACTTGCACTTCGAATTGCAAATACACTACAAAAAAAAATCATGGCGATGCGTTTGATATCTACTAGTAGTTTCTGTGTATGTGACAATTGACATCTGACAGTTCAAATTCCATGAATAGTTCACTGTTTTTTTTTAACTAAATGGGTGAGACACCTTAATGAAATTGGTTAGAATAATTGATTTATAAATCATTTTGAACCAGTAAAGTATATATTTATTTATTTTCGAATTCCACATATTTGTCTTAGTATTTTAAAGTAGTATCATAGATCTGACCAGAAATTATTTACAAAATATATTGACATTATAAAGTCTTGCTTGTACTTTTGCTTTAGGCACTTGCTTTATGTAAAAACTTTTTATGATACCAATCAATCCGGTTTCTGATGAGGTTTAAAAGTCTATTGGACCAACTAAGGTTTAAAGTTAAAGTAGTAGAAATTTCTGAAATCTCATATAACTTTTCCTGTACATTTCATATGAAGTGGCTTTTTTATGCTAAACCAAACTTTTTTACCTGTTATCTATAATTTTTACTGCAAACAAACACAAAATTAGTTTCGAATTTCGAATTAATACATCTCATTGTTTTATTTGCTTTGAAAAAATAAGTCGATTTTTGGGCACGTTTTTTGCGTGAGTGTCCGTCTAAGGACCATATTCTATTTCTGACAAGTAAAACCTATGCCTATTGCTGTGCCACGGTATAAATATATGTCAGTATAGTTACAGATTGTGTGAGATTTTTGGTCGAAATAGATTGCAGATGTCCATGGGCTGCAGAAGCCATTTATCATCAGATTTTTAGCTCATAGTTTGATACTTGAATGTTTTAAATTTTAAAAGTTTAATTAAATTTCGTTATATTACCGGATTTAAAATAATATAAAAAAATATTTTCTTATAAAAGAAACTTAGAATAGATATCAACAGATGGCGCTATGATCGATTTCTATCGCGCTATCATTTGTTCAAGAAAGATAAGTTATACATTGGATTTTTTTGTTTTTGAGTCATCTTTGCGCAGAGGCAATATCGTAACCAATGAGGTTAATCCGAGGTGCGATTATTGCTAGTTGAAAACTTTACCAATACCCCGCCTTGTGGTCGTGAAATACCGACCGCTATGGCAATTTTTGTACGGCCGTAAAGGCCTCATTTATTAATTTTACATTATTTGTTAAAAGTTGAAGAGTAGTCATGGATTACTCATCTATTTTATTTGAGGATGAGAGGGAGTACCTCATTTTACCTAGCGAGAGGTACTCACGAGATACCCCTCATTGAAGTGAGGAATTACTAGTCTGTGTATTCATCTCACAAGGCGAGTCGCCTCCTTCCTAAAGTTTTTTGAAACGATGATATATTGTTACCATATGTATTCATTATATTTATAATAATATTATTATGTTACAACAGGCGTTATCAGTGGACGCAAATAAAATAAGAGATCACAAAAAAGTGCGCATGATTTTATATTCACACTCGTATATGTGAATTGATTGTTTCAAATTCCATTACTCAAAAATTATTTTTGTTGTTTATTAATCTTTTTCCTCAATATCGACACCTCACTCATTTAGTTTTGCTGCAAAATACATAACCTACATTGAACTATCTTTAATCGAGTTGTTCGCTCATTCACTCGAGCCACTATTTTTTTTTTATAGGGGAGGGGGCAAAAGAGCATGCGGCTCACCTGATGGTAAGTGACTACCGCCGCCCATGAACAACCACAACACCAGGGGGATTGCTGTTGCGTTGCTGGCATTTTAAAAAGGAGTGGCTCTTTTCTTGAAGGTCCCTAAGTCGTATCGGTCCGGAAAAATCGCTGGTGGTAAACTGTTCCACAAGGAAGTTGTGCGAGGAAGAAAACATCTTCTAAATCGTAAGTGGTGGACCGCCAATCATCCAGATGTTGTGGATGGTATCGGGAGTTATGCCACGATGTGCGTTCGGAAAATTTGGCGGCTAGGATTAATCCCAACAATTCCTCAGAGCACTCCCTATGGTAAATGCGAAAGAAAATGCAAAGAGATGTTAAACATTTCTTCGCAGCGCCAATGAGTCGAGCCGATCGGACTCGGTTGTCGACGATTCGAGCCGCTTTGCGCTGGATGCGGTCAAGTGGAAGGAGCTGGCACTGGGGAGCCCCCGCCCAGAGATGGGAACAGTATTCCATGTGAGGCCGAACCTGCGCCTTGTAAAGTTGCAGGCGTTGTGCCGGCATGAAATACTGTCCCGCTCTGCTGAGCACGCCAAGCTTTTTAGAGGCCAATTTGGCCTTTTCTTCCAAGTGACCACGAAACTGCACGTCACTCGGTATGTCGACGAAAATATTCATATTGTTAGTGATAAGCGAGGTCGTGAACGAGTGAGTGAGGTGTTTTAATGTTAATATTCGAGTAACTCTTTCGATTTGCCATCATGAGGATCTCAAACAAGGCACCTTATGAGTGAGGAACACATCACTACTGAAGAGTGAAAAGGATCGTGATTTAGGCCTTCGTTAACAATGACATCTGGTTTCGGGACGTCAAACATCTCCTCACCATGCCCTTTCATGTCACGGGGGCTTCGTTGGTGCTGTTAAGCGCCCGAAATGTCCGAAATTTAAGAAGTTAAAATTAAATGCAACAAAATTCGTATCCGTCGTGTAATTATTATGATTTCGTAAGCTGCACTGCAAGTAACCTCCGACTTTGCGCGCAGCTTGCTGCAAAGTCGCAAACTGCGAATTAAAAATCGAAAAACCCCAATTAAGATCACCATCTTTTGTCTACACGTTTTACTATTTTAGGCCGGCCACATACATACGGAATGCCGTTTCGATATTCCGATATTCCGATTCGGGATTCAGAACGCAGCAAATCCATATAAAATCAAGGACCCGTCATACACAAACGTTAATTTTCCGTACGGAATTATCTCAGATTTGAGATTCCGTATGACCGCCTGTGCCTTCGGAATCCCGCACGGAAAAAGCTGCTCTGAACGCAAGTCTTCCATAGATTGTGTATGAGTCGCAACACACATTCGTAAATTCTATACGGACTGCGCTCAGTGTTCGTCGCACGACCGAAGCGAGTAGGTATGTTATGTACGTTTTTACATTTAATCTTATATGTGTATAGCTTTTCGTAACCTTATATCTTATTTTGTTTAATAATTCGTCGAAAGGGTTTACACACATCTATATTTAAAAAATATATCTCTGGATAGATAGATCTTTTTACATAATATTGACTATTTTGCAAGAGTTACTCTTACTTTCAAGTATGGCGCTGTTATAGGGCGTTTTGGGAAATTGCAACTTAAATGGCAATGACATTTTCATTGACCGGCAGGGAAACTAACTGGGGTTGCTTTTTTGACAACAAAGAGGGTATCTGCGGAGTTTCTCTCGCAGTTTCTTCTCCGGACTGCTGCACCTCATATGAAGCGATAGTAGATTAAAAACATGTAGACGTTTGACAAATGAAATTTTAATTTTCTATGTCGAAAATAAAGAGTTTTGATTTCATTTACGGTGAGCATACCGTGGATGAATGAATAGACTAGGGCTAATGAATAGGGCGGTTCAAAATAAACGGTTGAACGTGCAGGTGGACAGTGTGTGCGGCGCAGCGTCGACGCGGTACGTGCGCGACATCTGCGAGACCGTGTGCGAGGAGCTGGCGCGCCTGGCCGCCTGCGCGCCGCGCCACGCCGCCGCACACGCCGCGCCCGCCGCCTTCCAGGCGCGCCTCGAGTACACGCTGCTGCGAATCGCCGTCGCCGAACACCTCACCAGGAAGGCCGAGTGAGTAAATATACTCGTAAACATACGCCATATTCCTCTAATCTTCTATATAAATCAAATTATACAGGTTTGCACTTGTACGCGCATCACGGAAAAACTATTGAATAGATTTCAATTAGCTTTCCTAAGTTTTATTTCTTAGACACTTGGCCCATATCAAAAAAAAAATTGCAATAACTTAATTTAATATAAAATTATTAAAGTTTTAAGAGACAACGATTTTTATAAGCACTACGTGTACAGTGATGTGTTTTCTTGACAGGCATCCGTAAGAGAGTGGAAATCTCTCCTACCTTTGAATCCTGATAAAGTTGGGGCCAGCCGCGCATTATTTGGGCGAGCGACCTGATTCTGCTCAGTTATACCTTGATCAATTACTCCCCGTAGTTTCCTATAGTGTTCACAGTAATTTTTCACCGTTAAATAACTAATTTTCATATGATTCGTTTTCTCACAATTGTATTTATATATTTATTATTATTATTAACGCGGATAAAGTCGCAAGTAACTAGTTATCTATGCATTGGTCTCTAAATATTGACCCGTAATAAATTTTGGTGTTTAAAATACCTGAACCGATACACAAGAAAATTTTAATGTGTATATGACATGAAACATTGGCCTTTTCGTATTAATTAAGAAGGTAATGGAGCGGGAAAGGCCACGCTGCTCTATTCCCTTGTCAGATTACTCGAAAATACGTGGTTCCTCATACTTTACTGCGGAATTCATAGGAAATCTTGATTTCTATGGCTTTTTTATAGTATAAGGGTGACAAACAAGCTCACAGTCCACCTGATGATAGTTGGATACCGAGGCCCATAGACATCTGCATCTATCCTCTGTTCAGAATCAAAATGCAGATGTGTTGTCGACCCCAAGAACTAAGTTGGAATGCCTAATTTCCAGTAAAAATGGTCTCCGGTTCTCTACACTAGCCACACGAAACACAGCAGCATTGGTTTCTATGCCTTAAAATGTATTTTTAGTTTTCAGGCTTGATCTTACCCTTGAACGATATTAATAAAATTATATTTTGCCTTTGAATACTATTTTCTGGTAAAATTTCGTACCTTCGAAATATGGTTAAATGATCATCTTGAAATATTTAGACCTAATTTATGTAAAAATACCTGACTGGGCGACAACCTCACATTTACGGTAAAAGACTTATGATATTGTGATTGTTAAACCACCCTTAGGTGACGATTACGACGAACTCCTATTTGAGAGAGACTATTGGGTTGATGTTTTTTTTCTTTTTCAATGAATATAGACAAAAAATAAAAGTTTAATAATACTTTTTTTTCCCAGAAATTATTTAATGGAGGCTCTCGCAGGACTACCTCCTTTAGAAAACGAAGAGGATAAGAAGTAAGTGGTTCTTTTTTTTCAAACGTTTTACGGATTCTGTTTTTAGTAATCGTATTGATTACATTTAATTTATTACTTTCAATTCTAATTTTGTTAAGTTTATTATTCGTTATTAAAATAAGTTTTAATGATAAAGTTTTGAATTTCTTAGTGACTTGCATTTTCTAGTTTTGTAGATCAAGTCAATATACCTAGTACCTATAAACAATTAGTTTTTACCACAACCACTTTACACCGACTAGAGATCTTCAAGGTTGCGATGCCAGGACTTTGCTGTAATCTAGACTTGCTATGGGATTTATTGATATATTCTTTTAGTCCTTAAGCTGACGTGGAAAAAATAAAAAAACAAACTCACAGTACAAATTGTAAACATCCTCCTTTTTTGAAGTCGGCTAAAAATAACTGGTGTTAAAAAGGAATATAAAGAGAACTTTATAAAATACACGACATATAGAAATTACACAAAGGGCATTGTTAGTCTGAAAACAAAAAGAAATCTACATATTTAAATAAAACTGTCAAATTAATGTTCATTTCAAATTAAATTCGAAAGAATGTAATTAACAGAGAATATCATTATTTTCCGCTAATAGCAGAAGGCGCTTTTATTTCTTGCACATTTTGATTTCCTTTGAATCAATCATATTTTACCAGTTTTTGAAATCAATAATTAGGAGCAATATCATTTTTTTACACCTTAAAACTAAGGGTACATATGACGGACTTAAATGCCTGACTGACCGAGATTGCCACATGGCATTTACTCCTTGGCATTAAAGATAAATGTTAGTAGAGGTAAAATATCTAAATGTATAATCAACTAAATATAATAAAAAATATATAAATCTACGAATCATATATAATCTTTATATTATTGTAAATACATATAATAAGTCTTTGCATTTACATAACAATATCTTTAACGAAATCTACAACCTTGTCTAATTTTACTTAAAAAAAAAAACATCAAATATAAAATAGGTAACCATCACTCGCATCGTAAAAATTTCAATATTTAATGTTTTTTTATAGGATAGGGTGACAAACGAGTACACAGTCCACCTAAAGGTAAGTGGTTGCTGTCACCCGTTAGGACTAAGATGGAATGCCTCTTTTCTAGTAAAAAGGGTCTCCGGTTCTCTACACTCACTATACGAAACATAGCAACGTTAAACTGCTATTTTACGCTGGTATTCTGTGAGAGCGTGGTCCATTCCCGGTCGAGGCGAACCATTCGTGCTACAACTATACTACTAATATAGCTGCAGCATGGCTCTACCACGTAATAAAACTGGCACTTTATAATTTACTCTGTGGACAATTTTTTTTTTAATTTACTTACTTTTATTATTTTTTTAATTGGCTGTGTTGGGAGGTATCGCCGTCCTATCTATTTCTGCCGCCAAATATCAGTACTTGCACAGCTGTGTTCCGGTGTGAAGGGTTAGAGAGCCAGTATAACTGCAGGCTGTGTGGCATTCCATCTTCTTCAGCGGTAACATCACATCTGTAGCCTTCTTTGTTTGAAGTTGGCTGTAGGTGTCCATGGACTGCGGAAGTTACTACTTAATATCAGCTGGATTTAAAGTTACTTTGTCGCTTCAGATTTGCAAAAAAAAAAACATTTCATCAGGTTAGTGTGGCCTTATGAATCTGCTTTGTATTTTTTTAAATAAATTTGACACTAATCCAGCTAAGAATATTCTGTTTGCGATCAGAAGATGTCGCCCCACTATAGTTGAAATCAGCCAGGAAAAACACAAGTCTTGTTATTTTTATTTTCCTAGTGTGGACTAAATTTATTATTTACAGGAGAATGGACAATATTATACAAGGATTTAAAAAGAGAATGGAGCTTCAACTGGCGAGTCTTAATTGCAACATGGAGACTGTTTAATTTTAAATAAGTCACAATTTTAAAAATTATATTATTGTGTATATGTGAAATACTGATTATATTGTATATTTACCTAGTCTGTAACACATTTTATTAATGAACGTCATTTATTTATAAGGACTATTTAAATAAAATATTTATAAGTAAGAAAATGTATCTATAAAAATAAAAGTCATAGATAATTTATCGACGATTTTCATTCTTCTTTTTGCTTACTCTCGTAACTCTGTAACAAGTAATAATATATTTAGAATAAAAATGAAGATAGAGTTTCTAACCGTTGTGTAACATGTAAGAGAAAAGTAATATTTTCCTAAAGTCACAACTTGCTGGTATATTCGGGTTAATATGTCGTAATCGTCTCGTGTTTATGATCGATCGGGCGTCGATTAATATTCGATATATTTTATGTCGATTATATTTTATTTGTATATCGATTATATCTTATTAATTATGTGGGTACCCTACCCTGATGATGTCATGTGACAATGGCAGGGTTTTTATAGTCAATAAATTAAAATACAAGTGAGACAAGTAGAGATCATCTAATTTAAAACTTAAAATCTACTTAAACCACAGAATACATAATAGTACAAGTAATTAAACAAAATAAAACGGGCATATAAATTTAGATTTTACGATACTTAATATGCTAAATGTAACAAAATCTATCAAACATATAAGACCGGCACGTACAGTTTTAAATTAGGCAATCTCTGCACATATTGTGTCATTCCAATTACAAAAATGATGTAGTTTCATAGTGACAATAATCGCAATTATAAATTACATAAAAATATTCTATTTTATTTTCTATTCTAGCGAACTATGATAGATTACCTCTTTTGCCATCTTATGTAACATTGCCGTCATAGCCGGACCCGTCTCCGCTACCATTTTACGAAAGTAGCCTTTTTTGTTCTGTAGTAGTATATGCGGATGATCAAATTCCATCAAACGCCCCGCATCCAACACCAGTATCTATACAAAATAACAGAGTTACCTTACTCAGTCTCCAAATAGTAGTGCTTGAACTAGTGTGTTGCGGTTTGAAGGCATATTGAGAGCCAGGATTGTAATAGGGAGGTGACAACACATCTATAGCCGTCTCTGTTCATAATTGGTTGCAGATGTCCATAGACTGTATTAGCCACTTACAATCGGGTGGACTGCAAGTTCGTTTGTCACTAATAGTTTTATAAAAAAGTTAAAGAAGTGAAGAAGATTTAGCTATGAGTCGCGCGAAAAATAATTGAGTGCGTATTACCTTTTGGGAAGACAGGTTGACAGGTGGTCAAGCGGAACTTAGCTAATGAGGGCTAATAATTTTCTGCTCACCAGATGTCGCTAGTTGACACTGAGTTAAAGTTTTTTGTTACTCAATGTCATTTAATTGCCAAGTTATAGTTCGGCCGTTCAGAGAATGCGTTCCTGACACGTCGCGATTGAACTGACGATGTAACTTTGTAATAGCGTTGCAGTTACGATAAAAATATTTTTGCTGGTTGTTTACCGTTTTAACAATTGATGAGTATTAAAACAACATTATTATATCAATAATCAATGAATGTTATAATTTTGTGCCAAACTGAGTGTCAAATAACTTGGTAAACAATATTTTTCTAAATCTATGCTGCGTTATTACAAGGTTATGTCAGCGCTTTATATTTGTAGTGCTGTGCTAACAATAACAGGCAATAACAGTATCGTAATCTGTTCTTATACAGTTATACTTTATAAAATAATACGTTTTGTTTTTCTTTTTAAGAATTTGAAAATAATGGACTATAAGATAACTTTTATTAAATATAAAAATAAAACTACGACCAAACCGAACGCGCGAAAGAAAGTAGCATTTTTATATTTAGGTTGAAAATGGTAACCCCAAATGGAGTTATGGGCCGCCATTTTGTGACGCTAAAACAGTCGTCTGTTGTCGTTTCGTGCGCATAGACCACGTTCTTAAAGTGTTTTCGATCTGTTTTTATTTGATTACCCGGCTTTCGTTTAATGGACTGTTTTTGCTTTTCAAACTGACATCGGCGCTAAATCGGATTTCAATTGTGTTTTGTATTGCGTTCTTTTTACTTTTGGTGCATAATAATGCCTAAACGTGGACAAACATTGAAAAGTGGAGCCCGTGAGTTAATCATCAAGCTGCAAGATTACTTTGAGCGAGAGCGGCAAAATGGCGGACCCCTGTTACCTGTCGAACAAGTACAAGAACGCGTCTCTCAGGCGCTTGGAGTTAGCAAACGAACGATAACGAAAGAAGAAAGAAAGAAAAGTTCGGCTCTACTGGCACGGAAGATAATATTTTACATACTCCGAAGAAGAAACGTAGAACTAAACACGTGACAGATATTGACACCTTTGACGCCGATGTAATCAGAAATCATATATTTGGTTACTATTCCAGAAATTAATATCAACAGGAAGAAGCTTTTGGCATCGTTAAGAGAAGCTGGACTGTTTAGCGGGGGTAAAACTGCTTTAACCAAAATCTTAAAAGATATTGGTTTTTTGTATAAAAAAACAGACAAAAGAAAAATTTTATTAGAACGATACGATATAATTTTAAAACGGATAAGTTTTTTGAGAGAAGCAAAAAATATTGATAACTGGGATAATGTCGTGTTCATTGACGAGACATGGCTAAACGCCAATCACACGGTTTCCCGTTCTTGGACGGATGATACACAAGCGTCGACGTCGAAAGTACCAATGGGTAAGGGGGCCCGTCTGATAATATGCCACGCAGGTTCTGCAAAATACGGCTTTGTGGAGAACGCGTTACTGGCATTTCAATCAAAAACCACAAATGACTACCACGAGGAAATGAATGCCACTACATTTAAAGAGTGGTTCCAGAACGTGCTTTTGCCCAGCCTACCAGAGCCTTCTGTAATATTCATGGATAATGCCTCCTATCACTCGGTTCAAATACAGAAACCACCTACCCAAGCTAATAAAAAAGAAGAAATGGTGGCTTGGTTACAAGCAAAAGGCATTGACGCAAATATGCAGATGCTAAAACCAGAGCCAATTAAATTAGTTAAATAAAATAAAGCGGCAAATGTGCGATACGAAATCGATGAACTGGCTCTGGATTACGATCATCGCGTTCTAAGAATTCCACCGTATCATTGCCAATATAACACAATTGAGCTAATCTGGGCTCAAATAAAAGGTTACGCCGCCCGCCATAATACTTCCCCGCCATTCAGCACGAAAAAGATGATGACCCTATTAAAAGAAGCCTGCGGGGAAGTCACAAGAGATGACTGGGCAAAGGTTGTTGAGAAGACTAAAAACCTGATTGTGGAACATTTTGACTGAGATATCAGGATTGATTCTGTTATTGATAATAATATAATTATACATGTAGGCGAAGATGATGATGAAGACACCACCTCCTCAAGCGAATCGGAGTCTGATTAATATTCTGTACGCACATTCAATTTAATGTACTTTATTGCATAGAAATACAGATTGTAACTTTGAAACAAAGAATAAATAAAACAATTTTATTATATTAATATTACCTTTTTTTGCTTTCCACTTAAATTACTAAAATATAAATTTTAAATGATTCCGCCAATTTAAAACGAAAATAATCTTAAAAATAACGCGGCGGTTCATTTTGGAGGAACGGTAACGAACTCAGTGTTATGTTGTGCCCATCACTAGTCGTGACTAACTGATAGGTGTCAGGAACGCATTCTCTGAACAGCCGAACTATAGTTTTAATAAAAGCTTATCAGTTTCAAAAGTATTATATTAATACACAAAACAATGCCTCAATAGTTTGCTCTTTAACTTTTGCACATTTTTAACTTTTTTTATACTTTTCTACTTTGATGAATATCTGTGGTTTAGTTTATTTATTTTTAATCTTATTAATGTAAAATATAGTTAATACCACAGAAAGGAACATTAACCTTTACATTTTCGCACAAATTAACTTCCCCGCTATGATATCTGTCAAACATAGAATTATTACGTAATAATTCTATGCTGTCAAATATTATACAACACTTTTAAGTAACGCCGCCCTGGTGGCAGAAAAAGTCGTGGATGCACTCATTAATTTTCACATCTTTAATTAATGAATTTCCGCAAAATAACACCTGCTTCTATTAAGATTAAAGAATGTAATGTAAGACTTATTTTTACATTGATTCATATTATAGACATCTACGTACGAGGCGATATATATAAATATTATTATTAAATATAGTTCAGGAGCAGGGAATAATAAATAATTCACGAGCATTCCTGCTCCAGAACTGTTAGACAGAACCTGCTGTGCTGTTTTACCACGTGTTGGCGGTCTGTATGACTGAAATATTCTTTTATTTGTCAGGCGTGCAACCATTGATATATTATATTATGTATACGTAAGTATATTAAACTGCAATGCGTGTACGTTACCTCTCAATATTTTCATTCATCTTCGATCATGTGGTAAAGCACTTATAATTGCAATTAACAATTCCACTAGTGCGAATTGGGATCCAACTCAGTTTTCTTCTATAATATTATATATAAGATGAGCGGCCACTAAACTCAACATTATATAATGGGTAATTATTACAATCAAAGTTCATTAAATTCCAGGGAATTATAGTACAATTTTAACGGACAGCGTTTCTGTAAGCGTTTAGTCAAGTATTGATTGCATTATTGAATAATCAATACTTCACCGCTACCATATATTATTATCTTTGCACACAGTTTGCACTGATAAATTTTAAAACTGTATCAATTCCATTATAATACCAAATATTCGAACATAGTCGACATGGATCTAAAAGTAATCTATAACCAAAGAAACTAAAGGAAATGGCTGAAAAATATGGCCTTTCCATTACTGCTACGGACTATTAATAAAAGTTGTGAAATGTGATGTGAACTCACTTTATCCGAGTCGATGACGGTGTTGAGCCTGTGGGCTATAGTGATTACGGTACATCCACTAAAGTGCAGCCTGATTGCAGTTTGAATGAGCGCGTCGGTCTGCGCGTCCACGTTGGCGGTCGCCTCGTCCAGCAACAAAATGCGCTCATTGCGTACAATAGCGCGCGCTAGACACACCAACTGGCGCTCACCTACACTGAAGTTAGTTCCACACTCGGATACTTGTTTGTATAAAGCACCTGAAAGGTTATTCATTAAATCCATGATAAATTTTCAATTTCTCGAAATGCACCTACCCTCACCACATACACCCACCCACATACATACACAAACACACTTCACATCATAGGTCACTTTGTAATTTTGATTTTGAAATTGTGATTTAAAATTTAATTTGTGTCGGTGGGATTCGATCTCGGTTTGGTTAGAAACTTTAATCCCCTGATTTATCACGGAATTCATAAATACAAACATTTTTAGTTAGGTTTAAATTATTTTTCTTTAACTCGTTGAAGGATTAATTTTGTTTTTGCAATATTGTGTTATTTCCAATGGTTAAGATGTTTTTAAAAGTATAGATACCTCGTACTCGCTCTGGAACGCCAATACGAAAGTCAGGTAATTGCCCGACTAGTGTTACAAATAGCCAGGATAATTTTCTAATGATGAGTTTTAATAAATTTAATTACTAAAATTTGTATTTTTGTTTAATTATTTAGTTAATGACATTTTATTTATATCCAGCAATTTTTATACTATTGGAATATTTTCTTTCCCATACTAGCCCTTATGATAAGTTAGGTAACAAATCCCAGTAATGTTACTTGTAAGTTACAACGTTCAAATAACGTTCTTTCTGCGGTTCTCACTTGTACTCATACGTGTGCTCCGCGCGAAAGTCGCAACGAACTGATTGAAATTACCCCAATTACGCTACACACGCGATAGCGGCAGGGCCGATCTAGGGAGCAAGGAAGGTCTTGCGCTCCTGCCGCCCTGCCGCCAAAAATAGAGGCAATTAAGGGTCATCCCCACTCCTACACCTTAGATTGCCCGTCAGTAGCCGCCTTTAGTGTGTAATCCGTCTATCCTTTTAATTACGTCTCTGACTAATGGACGATAACATGCGTAATCCAACAAAAACTGAATTTTCAATTTTTAACTTCAGTCTAATCGGGACCAGTTTTAACTCAAGAAAGAAAGCAATAGGGAAACGTGATAGGAAATTAGTAAATCAGTGAAACTTTCAACGTCACATTTCCAAGAGTTGATGTTTTATTTCGTCACAGTTAGCGTCGAACCCAAGCACCCAAACAGCACACAGTACAGTACAGTCCACAGATGACTGACGTCAAGACTGTGGAGATTCTATAGGGACCCGCAATCTTAGTCGTCTAAAATTTCTTTTGAGAAAGAACAGACCGGCTCTGAGCTGCACGCCTACTCAGGGGTCACGCCTACATCGTTGTTCCCGAACCCAACGTAGTACGGTATTTGGATCTGTGAATAGAAGGGCATTAATTGGTTGATCTCTGCTGCAGGACGGGCGACGAGGAGCGGCCGTTCTTTTTGAATTGGTCCCGATTAGTCTGAAGTAGATGTCAGTAAAATTTTTTTGCCTTTTTACCATACACGTTATTGAATGAAAATTGCCTGTATTTTTATATAATAATTAATAATTATTATTTAAAATATATCTTTGAGTTAACTAAAAAAGGAAAAACGTCCCTTAGCTTAGTTACGCAGAGGGTATACTGGAGAGGAAATGCGGAGAGTACTTTCTACATTCTTCCCATTTGTCATACACGTATAACATATGTGTATCATACATATAATTATATTTTTTTACCTACACCTTCTTCAATGTTAAGCAACTCGACATTGCTTAGAGCGTTTAATAACAGTTCGTCGGGGAACTCGTTAAAAGGATCCAAATTTTTTCTCAACGTGCCACTAAATAAGACTGGCTCCTAAAACAATAAAGATAAGAGAATTTAATTATATGTAAATTATGCCAGGCGTAAAATAATTAGACAGGCGACTGTAAGAAACGCCGCAGGTACTGATTAGTAGTAGTATGTATGTGGTTACACAGCTCAAAGATGCGAAACGTCTGACCAACGCCATATATAATATATTATTTATGCTACGAACTTTCGCCTGCCTAACGTGCTGGTTAAGAAAGCCATAAAATTTTGCGATTTCACCCTCACGTCCCGCACGGAGACCGCGGCGCTGTAGCACGGCGGATGGCAGAACTACAAACATAACTCGCTCGGGGTGAATGTGCGGTCAAACAGCGTGATCGCGACGACAAAACATGCTATTTCATTCTTACCAAAAAATCATACCTACTATGTGAGAGGCTCATCCTGGCTCATGTCCATCTATGGACCTCCTATCAACAATATGGTATTGTTGATCGAAGACTTTTACGGACTGATGAAGATGTACATGTAGGTAGGTATATAAAATTATCAAAGGTATTGTTACACAAAAATATTAACCACGTGAACTCAGGTATAGGGTGCTGTCCCTAATTCCTAGGTTGCTGTGAAATTGTATGTTCCCGACGCACCACTAACTTGTTTAATTGTAATTTAAATGTTGATTTATCACGTGCTCGTTGGAATAGGAGAACGATAAATAAGACTAAAGGTAAGTTTTATCGAAGTTAATTTAATATATTTTCAATTCCCGACGTTTCGTGTGATTTACAACACCCACAGTCACAAGGGGAGGAGGAGGGGAGGACTGTGGTCGTGGTGCCTACGGATGGATGCGTGCCTACCACAGTGTCTAACGGCGGCTCTTCACGTTGGCCAACACACTGGCCAATGTGTTGGCCAACAACGATGGCCATCGTGTAGAGCGGGTGTTTAAGCTACGTTGGTACGTATTGGAACGATGGCCCACAAGTTGGCGCGAGATCCGTCTGGTGTCGGTTTTTTACAAAAGATCAAAGGGTTATGGCAGAGTATTGGCCGCCGCGTCCACACGTTGGCCGCACGTTCAGTTTCACAGAGTACTTTTATATATACTTTGCTACGAGCTCCCAGAGTGAATGCACGCACCTGATTTAAATTTTATATGCACGCAATAGTGTTTACATAACGGCAGTAACAATCACCAATGAAAAAACTTTTCGCTTTATAGAGCCCTACCAAGCCAAAAATTGTTTGTAAAACACAAGTCTTTTTAAAAAAAAAAATATTATTATACACTAGGATTTTCTTCTTTATCGTGGAGGCAGTTTAGAAACATAAATTGCATAAGGACAAACATCCAGACCCGGAGAAATTATGTGTAGGCTATACAAATACTTGTTCCGTGCGGGATTCGAACCCGCGGCCCCCAGGGCAGCAACTCATTCCTAAACCACTACGCCACGGAGCCGTCATGAAATAAAATTTCTTTTTTCCATTTCTTTTTGATCACCCTTATCTTATACACATTCACGTTGTAGTGATTAATGTATTAATTTATTTATTGATGTATTAATTGATTTATTAAATATCTTAAAATCTATAATATATAATATATATTAAAATCAAATTAAAAAGTAGGATACTAAAATCATATTTTTACTGTCTTTATTATTCCCTATTAGTTACTTTATTTCGTTAATAATACTGTAATTTTTAGCTATGGAAGAGCGAAGTCACCTGTTACAGGCATTATTTTGGTTACTAGGTGACCTCGATCACTGATCATATAATGTTACTTTAATGTTTGACGAAATAAATTATTTATTATTATTATTAAGTTCGCCATATGTACTACATTGTGCATGAAAGTGTAAATAAATAAATATATTCTATAATTATATAATAACCTTCTTTTTAAAAGGTTTTGTTTAATAAAAAATTTACAACAGTTTCATAGACAGGCTTCGAATATTTTCCAGGCCTTAGTTAATTATACCTATGCCTAGGTGTGTTAATGTTTATATAGTTTACTTATCTGTATAACGTTAGTGTATAATAAATAAATATTAAAAATTTATATTAAAAATTTTAATATTAGAAATAGTGAAAATTAAATAAAAAATAGTGGTATGCTGTGAATAAATAAACCGCAACAGCCGTTAGCGCTTCAATAATCATTTTAATAGATTCGTCCGCACATTGGCATGAACCGAAGTAAACTGAACGACATTCCAACTAGGCTTGGGCAAAAAATATCGATATATCGAAATATCTATATTTTTAAATAAAAATATCGATATATATCGTCGATATCTAAAATCGCGATATTTCGATATATCGATATTTATTTTAGAGTATCGAATTCGTATCAATTTCGATATATTTTAAAATGTTGTATTATTTTTTTCGTCGTCCAACCGTCAGTAAATAAAATTTTTGACCTTATCTTTACATCATGCAAATGTTGACGATATATCGATATATCGATATTTATCACGCGATATATATCGATACTTTTTAAAAATATAGATTCGATATATATCGATATATTTTTTCCCTTTGCCCATCCCTACTTCCAACGTGTGGACGTGATCACAATTTCGTGGCCAATAACTCTGCCAACACATTCGCCACTGTGTTGGCCAACGTGAAGAGCCGCCGTAAGAGAAATAGATATTTAGATAGTACAGACATGCGGTACCTAAATCCTGTCCTCATACAATGCTATGGTGAAGGCATTTTAAATGTATAAATATACCAAAATGTAAGTATGACAGAAACTGTGAATAATTGTTTAATAATTCTACCTGAGGAATAATAGATATTTTTTCTCTTAAATCATGTAGACCAATTGTAGATATGTCAATGCCATCAATTCTTATTGATCCGTCCAGATACGCCAGTCTGAACATGGCTTGTATTATGGAGGACTTCCCAGCACCAGTTCTACCCACGATGCCGATCTGCAAGCAATTCTCTTATAGTAGTACATAGTTTATTATTATTATTTTTTCATATTTATAAATACTTCCTTTAATACCTTCTCTTGTGGACGAACATCAAAGTGTAACTTATGAAGTACGTTGTTGCCATCAGGAGTATATTTTAAACTAAGGTTGTCGAATTGTATAGCTCCTTCCGACGGCCAATCTTCAGGAGGTGTTTTATCAGCCTCCTGCAATAGGAAAATTTTAGTAGTACACACATTGAGTTATATGTACTACGTACTAGAGAAGCCATTCCAAACAAAAATTGTGTCCTACTCTATGTATTCGCGCATGCGCGGGAGTAGTAGTCGCGCATGCGCGAAGACTTTAATTTGATATAAAATAAGATAATAATATAAAATAAATATAAGAATTTAATATAAAATATCTTAATTTAATCTAAATAATCAATTTCTAAATAAAATGTAATAATAATCATTTTATGTAATTCACAAATCTTCAATTAACGCAATATTTAGTTTGTACGGATTGCAGTACAGTTCAGTTGAACATAGTCAATGTTCGGAATGGCTTCTCTAGTACGTAGTACATATAACTCAATGAGTACACATAGTTAAATAGTTTTTTGATAAAATAAGGGTGACAAAAAAGCACACAGTCCTGTTGATGGTGAATGGATGGCGTGGCTCATAAAGCTCGATTAAGAATCAAAAGGCAGATGCGTTGTCACCCCTGAGGACTAAGATGGAACACCTCAATTGCAGTAAAAAGTGTCTCCGGTTCTCTAAAAGCACCATACGAACTACAGCATTATTAAGCTGATACGAATGTAAAGTTTGTGGTACGACGCAGGCCGAGTATACAATAAACGTTCCATTATCTTGTACATTATTGAGTTTATTATGGTGGTTAGATGTGGTTAGGTATCACGAGGAGGAAGAGAAAATCTCATATAACTAACGCACAGTGATAAAATAACTCAAAACAAAAGATTAAATTAGTTGTCAAAATCAAACTCGATAAGAATTTTTTTTTCTTCTTACTTTATCAGCCTGTTACTACTAGATTGTTTATACCGTCATATATTGGATGCTGTGAAGACTTTATGGCCTTTCTTGATTTCGTGTAGTCGGTTTTTACGACTTCTGTGGGACGAAATCAAATGATCGATTTTCTTACGTCCCCACCACAAGTAATAATGGGCGGTGGCTACAATTGCTGCATAGTATTTATAATTTGGCAAGTTTATATTTTTAAATTTACTTGCAACAGGGATAAGCTCGGATAAAGTGTCATAAGCACGAGTCGATTACAGTGAATATAGTGAATATACTCGAAATAAATTATTTATACTGTAAGATGTACAGGATTACAAGATTTAGGTACAGATTATGTAAAGGATTACAAGGACTCTATTAAAACGTACAATTACCAGTGCAGGTTCCTGTGGCAGTTTTGTATATTCAAGAACCCTTTCTACACTAGTCATTTGATTCTCCATCTCCGCTGACTGCCGCATACCCCACTGGAATATACCAGTTAGAGATATTGACTGAGTTATAACAAGGCCGACATTGCTACCTTCGATATCTAAAAATAAATGATGAAATTTATATTGAGGCTCGACCAGTACAGAGATATTAAGTTACATTTGTGTTTCATATTCTATCCATTTAAGTGTGACTTTTATTCGAGCGGATTTAATACGAAAATTACTAACGCTAAGCATTTATATGAAAGGCTTATATTATATAATATTATACTACTAATAAATTACAACATACACTGATCTTACGGTGCGTACACATTATATAACATAACATGTTACAGTAATGTGGAGGATGAAAGTTATAAAACGTGTTACATAATGTGACACAAATGTTATATAACTCGAAACGCTGAACGACAAATGACAATGTCATACGACAATGTCATATAACGTTGTTATATTGCATTGTTATTCGCATGTGTGCAGTATTGTTATATGTTGCAATGTTGAATAACAATGTAACATAATGTGGACGTGTTATAAAACAAAAGTTATACAACATGTTACTTGATCTGTACGCACCCTTACATTTGTTAATAATTGATATTTTAATACATTATTATTAACATTAGACAAATACCGGTTTTCATCAAGCAACTGAACGTGACGCAGATAATGAACAGTAAACAGATAACATCGAGGAAGTATCCAAAGGCTCGGCTGCACGCGATGAAGAGGTACCAAGCCGCGCTATGCAGGTCTTGATGGCGGTCGAACTCTTGCGTAAGCAGCTGTTGCGCGCCAAATGAGCGGATCGTTGCAAGACCCAATACCGTGGCGTTCACGTGACCAAATACTGGACTACGAGCTGAGAAGTATAACTATACTAAATTAAAATCAAAGAGCTAACACGTAGTGGTTCTTTAATCTTAAGGTAGAGTTACGCTGCGTTGAATATCTTGCTATAACCATAATAATGGCGAAGGGTCAGTAGCCTAATAGCAGCGTGCGGACCGCGAACTCGAAAGGTCGTGGGTTCAAATCCGACATTTGACTACTGTCGTGAACCACTTCTAACACAAGCATTTTAATCTTACCAGAAGTGGTTAAAGGGAATATTAGTAATGTTCGATTTACTAGTATTTAAAAAAAATGGGTCGACTCATCCGAAGAAGGATCACGCTCGCTAAGAATACCAACGTGAAATAGCAGTGAAGTGACAACAGATCGGAGGTTTTAATTCATAATAGAGGATAGATTTAGGTGTTTACGGACCACAGCATCGAATTACCATCAGGTTGAGTGTGTGCTCGTTTGTCACTTTTATAAAAAAAACATGCGAGAGTGTAGTGGAACACTCGGTTGGAATGAAATATATTATTATTGATAAATGTGTTAAGTTATTGATTAGCAAATATAAATAAATGAATTAGCTGCGTCTATTAAAATGAAGCGTCATTTAAAGTAATATTTATTTCATGACAATATAAGAATAATGTGCGAGGGAGATGGATATTATTCCATCTCGCTTCCTTACAGCCGCCAGGGCCGTCTACAATACGTCAGAAGGGGTCGTGACGGAAAAATCTTACATTTTTTCGCGCCTAGCCCCCCATCCGCCAAATTCGCACCGATCTATAAGCAACTTCGTTCCAACATTATAGAAATACAAAGTAAAAAGAGAGTTGCCATTATGGGTATTGAAGAAATTATAAGATACATTACATAATATGCCATCAAATAAAAAAAAAATACCTTTCATCTAATTTATATCAACAATAATAGCCTTACTAATAAATCGAACATTTTCGTTAGCTATGATATTGTTGCGCGCCACTATTAATGTCTTGTACATGGCAACACTAGTTACACTAGCGCCCTCTACTGTCGAGTAAAAGAAAGTGTTGCGCGCCACTATTAATGTCTTGTACATGGCAACACTAGTTACACTAGCGCCCTCTAGCGTCGAGTAAAAGAAAGTGTTGCGCGCCACTATTAATGTCTTGTACATGGCAACACTAGTTACACTAGCGCCCTCTAGTGTCGAGTAGCAGAACTAGGAGAGTCGAGATCCTTCCAGAAATTTCGGGACCGATATGTACTCGAACATTCTAGATATCGCTAGAAGGTTCTGGAAACTATCTGAGGCTCTATATAAGGCCGGTATAGACCACGACCGGGGCAGTATTGAATTGGCGATACAAGAGAATACTTCGAAGCAAAATAACTGCGAACTAAAGTGATTGTGTTTCATTATTAGTGTAGATTGTAATTAGTGTTGTGTAATTAAAAAGTCAATTTTGGTAATTCACTCGGCAGTTTTTAATTATCTCGAACCCCAAGCTCGTAACAATATTAATTGCAGTTCTTAATACTTACTGATCCCTTCTAGACGTTTAATAGCGCTGGTAGTGCGCACGTATATAACACGAAAAATGTAGAAAATGATCAGAGACGTAGTGATAGGTATTAACATGGTGATATCAGTCATCAGTATTACCACAATCACTCCCACTAGGTTTAAAATTATCTGAAAATAAAATTATAGTGAGATAACATCTCTTGCATGCGTTAAACGTAGCAGTCAGTTTTTCTGAAGTCATCAGTGTCATTCGGTCAAGTCAGGTAGTGTTAGTTATTATACTGTTACGCGCCACTATTAATGTCTTGTACATGGCAACACTAGTTACACTAGCGCCCCCTAGTGTCGGGTAAATGAAAGTATTGCGCGCCACTATTAATGTCTTGTACATGGCAACACTAGTCACACTAGCGTCCTCTAGTGTCGAGTAGCAGAACTAGGAGAGTCGAGATCCTTCCAGAAATTTCGGGACCGATATGTACTCGAACATTCTAGATGTCGCTACAGTAGAAGGTTCTGGAAACTATCTGAGGCCCTATATAAGGCCGGTATAGACCACGACCGGAGCAGTATTGAATTGGCGATACAAGAGAATACTTCGAAGCGAAATAACGGCGAACTGTGTTTTATTATTAGTGTGTTTTTAGATTGTAATTAGTATCCGTAATTAAAGTGTCAATTTTGGTAATTTAATCGGCAGTTTTAATTGTCTCGAACCTCAAGCTCGTAACAATTGGTGTCAGAAGTGGGATCAAATATGCCGATTTTACCTAAAGACGACACGGAGGGTATCCGTACCCGAAGTCAACGCCAACAGGAGACGGACCAGAGACGATTTGGTAATGCAACGCCGCAAACGTCGGAGGGCCAGTTGCTAACCACGGAGGCTGGCCCGTCAGCAGCTCCTGCATCTGCAGCACCTGACTTGGGTGCTCTGATGATGATGCTGCAGGATCAGGCTCGCCGACAGGAGGAACAGGCCCGCCGACAGGAGGAACAGGCCCGCCGACAGGAGGAACAGACCCGTCGGCTGGAAGAGCAGCTGCAGCGCGGTATGGAAGAACAGATGCTCCTCAGGAAGGACCTTCACGCTACCTTCGGGAAAGAGATAAAGGAGGTGAAGGATAGGGTTGCTCAACATGACAACCGCCTGTCGGAAGCTGAAACCCGAATCGACCAAGTGAACAATCGGGTTGACAACGTGATGGCTGATGTGAAGAAAACGCTGGACGACCTCAAACTTGGGGATGGAATCACAGCTCCCGTGATAGCTACAACACCTTCGCTACGTGGATTCAAAGTGCCGCCGTTCGACGGGAGTTCTTCCTGGTCGGCCTACAAAATCCAGTTCGAGGCGGTCATGAAAGCGAACGGCTGGAATAAAAGTCAGGCCATGACTGCTCTCACCCTAGGCCTACGCGACCAGGCCTTAACTGTTTTGGAAGCGCTCGGTAAGGAAGTGACTTACGAGCAGCTCCTTGAGGCATTGGAGGCGAGATATGGCGATGCTCACCTGGAACACGTCTTTCGTGCGCAGCTCAAAGATCGCGTGCAACGCAGTAACGAAAACCTGCAGCAGTGGGCCCTTGAGGTGGAGAAGCTGGTTCGAAAAGCGTACCAGTCTGTACCTGTGCTCATTGTAGGGAACCTGGTGCAGACTTTCATCGACGGCATCCGCGACCTTGAAGTCAGAGCTGCTGTGAGGCTCGGGCACCACCAGACGCTTAAGGACGCCCTGACCCATGCACTGGAGGTGGAAGCCGTGCGGCAGGATCATCGTTCCCACCGCGTCAGGGAGGTTGCAGCAGCTACAGTTCAGGACCGCAATAAGGGCTATAACCCTAGGTGCTACGGCTGTGGGGAAAGGGGCCATCTTCGATCCAGCTGCCCTAAACGAACTGTAGAAAGGGAAGGTGATCGATCTCGACAGGGTAGTGCGGATAATAGCACCGCCCAGCAGCAGCAGGGAAAGGAGTAAAAGCCAGGACTGCGGGGCGGGTGCTGGCTGATGTTAAAAGAGCCCCAAGGATTTCGATCTCACAAACCCATGATGGGAACAGCCTAATCATCAAGGGCGAAGTCAACGGAACGCCGTGTAAACTGACCATAGACACTGGAGCCTCTCGCACGGTTGTCAGTTCCCAACTTATAAGTCGGTTCCTTGGGGACTCCGCATACAACCGAGAACGCATTAATTTGGTGACAGCCACTGGTCAGCGCATACCCGTCCGTGGAGAGAAGGAGATGGAGTTGAAGCTAGGCAACATGATCTACCTGCATAATGTCATCGTGGCTGATATAATGGACGACTGCATCCTGGGCCTAGACTTTATGAGGAAGAATTGTTGTGAGATCGACGTTAAGCAAGGTGTTTTGAAATGTGGACAAGAAGAACTTTTCGTGGAAGGGGCGTTACCAGGGAATGTGTACAGCCTTAAGAAGATTGTTCTTCCGCCGAGATCGGAAACGATTGTGCCGGTTAGTCTTCCTCGGAGTCCTGGGCAAGGGTAGACAACGACCTTCCATGGAAAGTGGCTCGAACCTTGGTCAGAACCACCGACATCTCAGGAGTACGTGTGTTGAACCTTTGTGATCAGGAACAGATTATAGAAAAAGGCACATTGGTTGGTACTAGTGAGGAAGTGGATTGGTTGCGTCGATGCGAATATCTATCGACCGGGACCCCCAGCAAGGATGGACAAACGATAGTGACCACACTTTTGGAAGACTGTCGCAGCGTTCTTTCCCCGAATGAAATGGTCAAGGCGAAGAAGTTGTTACTCAAGTACGCCAATGTTTTCTCGTCAAACGAAGCTGACATAGGAAAGACTGGCTTAGTTCAACACAAAATAAACACAGGACAAGAATTGCCTATTCGTCAGCGGCCAAGAAGATTGCCTGTAGCACGTGAAAAGGAAGTGGAAACCATGATTGAGGGAATGGTGAAGGATGGTGTTATTGAACCTTCATCTAGTCCATGGTGTTCACCTGTGGTGCTGGTAAAGAAGAAGGACGGCAGCATGCGGTTTTGTGTTGACTATCGCCGCCTGAACGACATTACAAAGAAGGACAGCTATCCCTTGCCAAGAATTGATGACACGCTGGATATGCTTACAGGCGTAAAGTGGTTTAGTACGCTAGATCTGAAAAGTGGCTACTGGCAGGTTGAAATTGACCCTAAGGACAAGGAGAAAACTGCATTCTCCACAGGAAAGGGTCTGTGGCAATTCAAAGTCATGCCGTTTGGATTGTGCAATGCTCCAGCAACGTTTGAAAGGTTGATGGAGCTTGTACTTACCGGGCTAATTGGAGATGCTTGTCTGGTCTATTTGGATGACATCATCATCGTAGGCCGTACGTTTGAGGAACACCTTCAAAACCTGGAACGCGTGCTCATGAAGATCCAGAGTGCCAACCTCAAGTTGAGTCCAAAGAAGTGCTCACTATTCAAACGGAAAGTTAGTTTTTTGGGGTATGTAGTGTCGGAAGAAGGTATCCGCACGGATCCAGAGAAAATTGCTGCTGTCAAGGAGTGGCCGGTCCCAAAAGACAAGACACAGATTAGAGCATTTTTGGGTTTGTGCTCTTATTATCGGCGATTTGTGAAGAACTTTGCAGATATAGCCAAACCTCTGCACAAGCTAACCGAGGAGAAGCGACAATTCTGCTGGGATGAAAGTTGCGATATTGCATTCCAGGAGCTCAAGAACCGCCTGTGCAAAACACCTATTTTGGGGTACCCTGATGCGGGCAAGGAATTCATAGTTGACACAGACGCAAGTGATATAGGACTTGGCGGTGTGTTGTCTCAACGGAATGGTGATCAAGAGATTGTGATAGTGTACTTCAGCAAGTCGTTGTCAAAGCCCGAAAGCAACTATTGTGTCACAAGACGGGAATTGCTTGCTGTGGTAAAGTCCTTGCAGCATTTTAGCAAATATCTTCTAGGGCGGAAATTCCACTTACGAACTGACCATGCTGCACTGAAATGGCTATTGCAGTTCAAAAATCCGGAAGGACAAGTTGCGAGATGGATAGAACTACTGCAGGAATACGACTTTGTGATCGAACATCGCAGCGGGAAATCTCATGGCAATGCAGATGCATTGTCAAGAAGACCTTGCCCTGAAGATTGCAAGCATTGTACTAGGCAAGAGTGTAAGGAAGTGGTATCTGTGAGAATGCTCAGGACAGACCAGCTCAGCAATGAGTGGAAGGACAGCCTACAACATGCACAGCAGGAAGATTCGGACATTAAGCCGATTCTGGAATGGATGAAGGCCAGTGCTCCTAAGCCCAAGTGGAATGACGTCTCAGCAATGAGTTCGACCACGAAAAGCTATTGGGCCCAATGGGACAGCTTGCTGATTCAGGATGGAGTCCTGTGCCGTAAATGGGAAAATGGTCGGGGAGACAGGTGTCATTTGCAAATGGTTGTCCCTAAAGCTAAAGTGCCGGATATTCTACAGCTGTACCATAGTGGTTGTTCAGGAGGCCACCTGGGAGTTAAACGAACTCTCCTGAAGATCCGAGAACGGTTTTACTGGGTCCACTGTCGTGACGATGTCGAAGACTGGTGCCGCAAATGTACAAGTTGTGCGGCTGTAAAGGGACCTCAAATTCGTAGTAGAGGCGCATTGAAATTGTACAATGTTGGTGCACCATGGGAGAGGATAGCCATTGACGTTGCGGGGCCGTTTCCAGAAACTGAAAGTGGTAACAAGTATTTCATGGTAGTGATGGATTACTTCACTAAGTGGCCAGAAGTCTTCGCCATTCCAAATCAAGAAGCTTCAACAGTTGCAGATAAACTAGTTCATGAAGTCTTCTGTCGTTTTGGAGTACCTTTAGAGATTCACAGCGATCAAGGAAGGAATTTTGAGTCTCAAATATTCCAGGAAACTTGCCGAGTTATGGGTACTCAGAAAACACGAACAACTTCTTACCACCCACAATCTGATGGGATGGTAGAAAGATTTAATCAGACATTGGAGAGGTACCTAGCAAAAGTTGTGGAAAAACGGCAACGAGACTGGGACAGGCACATACAACCGTTTTTGTTGTCATATCGAAGCGCTGTTCACGAAAGTACATCAGTGACACCAGCTTTCGCAAACTTTGGGAGAGAATTGCGGCTGCCTGCAGACCTGATCACCGGAATACCACCTGATGCCCCACGCAGTATAACCGATTATGCAAATGACTTGCGGAACAAAATGAATGACATTTATGAGCACGTCAGACAGACGGGCCAGCAAACGTCTGAGAAGATGAAAACACGGTATGACCGCAAAATGAACAACAAGGGCTTTGATGAAGGTTCACTAGTGTGGTTACACAATCCAGTTCGCAGCAAAGGGAAATCTCCTAAGCTTCAAGCTAAATGGGACGGACCGTACCGGATTGTGACAAGGATCAATGATGTAGCCTACCGGATACAGAAAGGTGCCAGAGGTACTCCTAAGATTGTCCATGTGGATCGACTGGCGCGTTATTATGGGGCCAATAATGCTCGGGACGAGCATGTCTTAGGAGGGGGCAGTGTTACGCGCCACTATTAATGTCTTGTACATGGCAACACTAGTTACACTAGCGCCCCCTAGTGTCGAGTAAATGAAAGTATTGCGCGCCACTATTAATGTCTTGTACATGGCAACACTAGTCACACTAGCGTCCTCTAGTGTCGAGTAGCAGAACTAGGAGAGTCGAGATCCTTCCAGAAATTTCGGGACCGATATGTACTCGAACATTCTAGATGTCGCTACAGTAGAAGGTTCTGGAAACTATCTGAGGCCCTATATAAGGCCGGTATAGACCACGACCGGAGCAGTATTGAATTGGCGATACAAGAGAATACTTCGAAGCGAAATAACGGCGAACTGTGTTTTATTATTAGTGTGTTTTTAGATTGTAATTAGTATCCGTAATTAAAGTGTCAATTTTGGTAATTTAATCGGCAGTTTTAATTGTCTCGAACCTCAAGCTCGTAACAATACATTTATATCGGTAAAACTGATTATAGAATCTATGGTCTGAGTGTCTTTGGCGGATGTAGTTGCGTAGTATATCTTGTAATGTAAAATGTGTGATTGTGATGATTGTCTTTAAGTTTAAGATTAAGTTAATAAAAGTAAAGTTATTTTGTGTAAAGCTGTAAAGGTGATTAATAAAACATATAATAAAGAAGGAAGTTTGTTTAACCAATTACATTAACAAATAGAATATAATACTTTTTTAACCGACTTCAAAAAAGGAGAAGGTACTCAATTCGACTGTATTTTTTTATGTGTTACCTCAGAACTTTTTCTAGGTGAACCGATTTTGATGACTCTTTTTTACTTGAAAGCTGATGCTTCTCATGTGGTCCCATATAAATTTGATTAAGATCTGACCAGTAGTTTTTGAGTTATCCTTAATAGTAAATTAAATACGCATTATTTAATCGACTTCGATTACATTGATGATGTTCTCATTTTATTTATATTGAAGTCGGTTGTACAAAATTTTTAATTTTACCACTTGTTATTTAACAAAGTTCATAAAATAATACTTATTGTAAGTTTTTACTATACCAGTGGTTCGGAAAAAAGACCTCTGTCCTGTGTAGAACCAGCAAAAAAAACTAGCAGAAATCTTTACGACATGATACATTTATGCACAGAGATATATTATACAACGTAATTTGGAGTTTACAGTAAATATAAATTAAGATTTTCATAACAAAGACTTTGCCATGCGAAAATAAGAGTCTAGGTATGTGCTATTTAATTACTATTATGGTGGGTTGTTGTCGAATTTTTGACGGACGAAACGCAACCGTTTTCCCTACGAGGAAAACGGTTGCTGGAAACGGTCGTCGTTGCAACTGGTTAAGAACGATACTTATCCAACATGAAATAGAATTGCGTTTTCGTCGAGTGAAATGGTTGCAGTTTCTTACAATTAAGTCTATGTTTGTATACGAACGTGAAACCAAAGACTAAAATGTGTCGCGGAACGTTAAGGACGACGACGCGACGAGTGAGATAGATAGGGTAAAAGCCGGATAGTTGCCTCAGACGGATACATGCCCCGGTTTTGAATATACTATGTTAGGAATATAAGTTGGTTAGCGCTTGATTAAAATAAAAAGTGACCCCACGCAAGCCTCTGTACCGTGTAAGCCATCGGGAATACGCCCTAGTTATTTTGTCCTTGTGAGCGAAAATCTTCCGTGGCGAAACTTTGACTGGCGTTGAAATGATTTTGGTAAGTAATTTTTATTGAACATTTTTATTACTGATAGTGTTTTTGTTTCTTTGCATGCATTAGAGTTTAAATTAGATTGTTTATTATGTTTTACTGCTGAATAGTTTTTATTTATTTTGTAAATAAAAAGGGCAAGTATCCGCATCGAAAAAGATAGTCGCCCCACTTTCGCGGATAGTTGCCTCTAGAGTGACTATGAATTCCTTAACGAGCAAAGGCAGATTTTTTTTTAAATTTTTTGTTTTATTTTTCCAATTTACTGTGACTATAACTTGGTTTAAACAAAATAAATTCTTAACTGTTTCATATATTCATTCTAGGCAAGCAAAATGCCTCGCAAGTACATATCTTAATATTTTTATATTTTAAGACTTTAAAACTGAAAAACATTAAAAAATGTAAATTAATATTTTATGTTGTACTTAATAAAAGACCTCAGTAAATTAAAAAGACTTATAAATAAATAATAAGGATTACTTAAATTAATATAAATTTGTTTCTATCCAAAAAAAATATACCTATATCGAGGTGACCATCTCCGCACGACGCAATTATCCTCCGAAGCATTTTCTACGCTAGGCTATTATCCGCCAGCGTAGGCAACTATCCGTTTTTAAGAGGTCAAATAAAACAGGATGTATTCAAAACCATTGCTAATTTTGTTTACAAAAATAGGCTATTAAGAAGATAAAACACCTATATTTTGTGATACATATTGCATAATTTTCAGCAAGTAAATATTTTTTTTTAAATAGAGCGTTTTATAAAAAGTGGGTCAACTATCCGGCTTTTAACCTAGTTGAATCATTGCCTTCTTGACTGTATTTTCATTAGCGTAAAATAGAAAATCGCACCAAGTAATTCGAAGAGTGGTTTGTGCAACGAAGACTGTTTGAACCCAGGACGTAAAACGGTTTCATAGTCGCAGAACACAAAACGGTCTTTGTAAACGGTTCGTCGTCGCAACGCCCACCCCTAAATTACTATATCCATGAAGATGGGGCCGATGGCATAAGCTAGTTACTAACAAGTACCTATAACAAGTGTGTTAAAAATGGAACTGAGGAATAATACAAACAAAAAAAGGCAGGAAGGGCGCAAATTTATATGTGGTTATCGAATAATTTAGAAAAGAAATGTTACACAAAATTCAGTAAGTATTCATGTAATATAAAATTTTGATAAAAATTACTTACTTGAAAACAATCTAACATTGCTTGTGGCAACAGCTCGTCAACAGATCCCATGTCTTTGCTAAAGCGATTCAATATTCTGCCTGATGGATTTGCGTGAAAAAAACTCATAGGCGATTGTGATATGCAGTCGAACATTTGATCGTGTAACCTGTGAAATAATTCTTTCTTTTACTCTCTGTCTCCCTTTTTAGCATTTTTTACCGACTTCAAAAATGAGCCGGTACTCAATTCGACTGTATGTTTCTTTATGTGTGTTATCTCATAACTTTTTACTGGGTGAACCGATTTAGTTGATTCTTTTTTTTATTTGAAAGCTGGTGCTTCACATGTGGTCCCGTATAAATTTGACCAAGGTCTGACCAATAGTTTTGAGTTAATCTTAATAATTTATATTGAAGTCGGTTGTACAAAATATTTCATTTTAAATTATTAAGTAATGCATTACATTAATCCTTTTCAAACAGGTGAATATCATTGAATGCGGTATGACGTTGTAGACCCACCTCATTGTGTAGTAAATTATTACTCATAATATGGCCACCCTACAGGGTTTAGAAGACGTGGATGAGCCACGCTGCAGTTGAATTATGACTACAGTACAAATGGCCAAGTTCTCAAAGAATAACTACTTAAATATGTCTAAGATGGCCGGGGAAAGGATCATACTCGCACAGAATACCAACGTGAAATAGCAGCATAATGCTGCTGTGTTTCGTCTGTTAGATAAGTGATGCGAACCGAAGACCCTTTATACTGGAAATGAGGCATTCCATCTTAGTCCTCAGGAATGAAGACATATTTGTATTTTGGTTCTTTATAGAGCAATAGTGATAAAATCAACAGGACTTTAGAGCCGTGGTAGTTCAGGGGCTAAGCGCTCGCTTTAAGTTTCACAGTACGCGAGCAACACGGTTTTGATCCCCGCCGGCACCAATGAAATTGTTAATTGTAACTTTAAGTACTGATTTACTACGTGCGCTCTGTGGTGAAGGAACACATCGTGAGAAAACCTAAGAGAGAGAGGGAAAGAGAGAGAGAGAGAAAGAGAGAGAGATAAGAACATGTGAAATTCGCCCACACGCATTGGCTCAGCGCGGCGGACATTTCCTTTCTTCAAAAACCCTCTCAGAAATGAGAGGCGGCCGGTGCCCAGTCGTAGGACGTATATAGCCTACAGACTATGTACGTCCCAATGCTGGGCACAGGCCCTGTTAAAAGTTACAGTTAAAGTTAAACTTTAACAGTAACTATTAACAGTACTTTGACGACAGTGTTTAATGGTTAATATAAACAATTATTAGCTTCTCTGAAATATTTTAGATGAATAACATAATATATTTAAACAAGTTATTGCTATAAACGTATATTTACATCTGTGTATATAAAAAGTGTAATCTCATTAAGTTTCGGTAACCTTTGTGTGTACTTACTTTATAGAGGACTTCATGCACAGCGAAAAGAACAGAAAAGCTCGAAATAGGGCAACGGCTACGGTCGCAACTGTAAGAATGCCGAATATAACAACGTAGTGGTTGCGATACAAGCCTTCTTGTGACCATATTAAGTTGTCTATGGTAGGGTCTCCCGTCAAATGATCTTCAATAAGACTCCTTTAAATTGTAAATAAAAAGGATAGTGACAATAAATTTAGTAGCATATAACTTAAAGTTTAACTAAGTACAAATTTTACTCAATGGCAAACTTGGCGTTAGGATTGGTTTTAATGTCTTTTTCTATAACAGCCTCTTAACCTACTGATGATAAATGCTTGTTCAAGAATACGCCACATGGCATGTATAAGAAATCAATGTGCGATTGATTTCGGCATTTCGATTGAACCTCTCTTAATAAATCCACATAAATATGTTTGTGTAGAAGTAATAAATCTTAAATCGAAATTAGAATAACGTTTTTGGACACAGAAAATCAGTCTGAATTCCAAATTCAATAATTGTTTATTGTTTTATTAACGTTGTTTATTTTGTATTTATTTATTACAAGCGATTCGCCTCGTAACCTTAGCGAGGTTACACCTGAGATTAACACTCGGGTGTAATCTCGCTAATCCGTTAGTGTTATACCTCACTGTCGTTAGATGGCGCTCACATTGATTGTCACTTTTTTTATAGGATAAGGGTGACAAACGAGCACACAGTCCACCTGATGACAAGTGGTTGCTGCGGCCCATAGACGTCCACATCTATCCTCTATTACAAATCAAAATGTAGATGCGTTGTCACCCGTGAGGACCAAGATGGAATGCCTCATTTCCAGTAAAAAGAGCCTCCGGCCACCTGCACTCACCAAGCGAAACGCAGAGGTAAACCTCTACTTCAAGCTGGTTTTCTGTAAGGTCGTGGTACCACCCCGGTTCGAGCCGGCCCATCCGTGCGACAGCAAAAGCTGCCGCTTGGCTCTATCACTGTTTAAACTTGGCTCTTGTAGTCCTCTTAATTCTCTAATTAAGACTTACGAGAACTACAAGAGGACGTCTGCATCATAATGCGTTGCGTACGTTGCGTACGTGGGACCAGTCTGTCTCTGCCTTAATGTGGCGTTATAATTAGATTTACGATAGTCAAAGACCATTGATGATTTCTATTTAACGTTTTAAAAAAATCTTCTGGCATTGTTCTCTATCTGTTCGCAAAGCTTCATTACAAGCAGTTCAGCCATTTCGAACATTAGCCCGGACAGAGACCAAAATTTTAATAATAGTTGTTCATGTCTTAATCTTAGATAGCTTATATGCGTGGTAGAGTCACGCTGCAGTTATATTAGTTGTAGCACGAATGGGTCGACTCGACCGGGGTAGAGCCACGCTCTCACAGAATACCAGCGTGAAATAGAAAAGAAATGCTGCTGTGTTTCGTATGGTGAGTGCAGAGTACCGGAATGCGGAGATTCATTTTACTGGAAACGAGGCATTCCATCTTAGTCCTCACGGGTGACAACGCATCTGCATTTTCATTCTTAATTGAGGATAAATGTAGATATCTATGGACCACAGCGTCCAATTACCATCAAGTGGATTGTGTGCCCGTTTGTAATCCTTATTAAATAAAAAAAATAAAAGCTTGCTTATAAATACTCTAAGGTCTTAATATTTATTTATATAACTTTTTATTACACACTTTATAACATGGGATATAAAGGGTGGACTTAATGCCTTATGGCATTCTCTACCAGTCAACCCTGGAATAGCAAGCAAATAGCCCATATATGATTCATTGAAAATGATCCGTATAATAAATATCACCTTTATGATGATTACGAAAGAAACTTTAATAGTTTAAGAATAGTAAGTACCACAGAACATCGTACCATTTGCTTATCCAAAAGTCGCAGGCGCTAGCAAAAAACTGCGCGAGAATGAACATAATACAGACTATAAAAACATAAATGTAAGATGTGCCCGCTAAGAAATATTCTTTGTACACCGATCCACGGACTCTTCCTATGGCCTGTGCCTCTGCTTCTAGTTCTTGATCCTAAAAAAATATCATAATATTATAATATTTGGAAGATTTATATTAATACTTTTATTTAAAAGATCCTTTTTCGGTCTGGCATATGCCTGGGTTGGTAACATCACCTTAAGTGTTTCTGCCGCCATTTAATGCAATGCAATTACTGAACTGTCCCGTTTTGAATGAATAGCATGTGTCATTTCATCTTAATTCCTAAACGCAACATTGGGCCCCTTTTGTTTGAAGTCGGTTGGAGATTTGCAGAAGCCCACGAGCTGCATTAGACACTTACCTTTAGATGATTGCCTCGTTGGTCTAGTTGTGGTAAGCACGACTGTTCATCATGTGGTCCTGGGTTCGAATCCCGGGTCGGGCCAAAATCAATTATTGAGTTTTTCTGTTGAGAAATTGTCAGTAGTAGCCCGGAATTAGGAAGTTGGCGGTGTAGGCCCGTACCTCGGAAAACACGTAAAGCCGTCGGTCCTGCGTCGGATCTCTGGCTGCCACGCGTGGCAACTGTAATATCCCTCTTATCCATTCTATGGGGAGGCCTATTTTCAGCAGTGGACTTCGACAGGCTGTAATTAAACAAAAGAGTGACTTTCAATAAGTATTATTTATAATCTATATTGAATAAAAAAAAACCTATTTCTGTTTCTGCTGTAATGAATGAATAAAGTTGTAACTAACAGCAAAGCTAGAAGTGCCTAATATGATTGACAAGCGACGTCGGGTTAAGCTGACTGCGCTGGGGAGAAGCATGGAGTGACTTTGCAGATTTGGTGTAGACTCTTCTTCGCGTACTTCGCGAGTTTTATCTTGCATTAGTTGTATTATTGCTAATTCCTTTTCCTAAAATAAAGTAGTAAAATATATTTTAGTAAGTTTTAAATTACTGATATAAAAAATAAGGCTTGACCAAAAATTAAAATAAATAGATTCTATCTTTAAAAACTTAGTCTATCCAAGTCTAGTTTTATATCAATGTAGTTTAGCTAAAACTTTTTGCTTATGTAGAAGTCAGTTTTGAATTCACGTTTTTGAAATCGTAGCACACGTAAGTAGGTAATAGTAAGCTATGAAGTATTCTATTGGAGCTTTTTACCTTTTGTGAAAAATAATTCTTTTTAAAGTAGTTATAGAACCAATAACTACATTTATAAATTCATAATAAATAATATTATTGTCCACCAGACTTTTTTTATAGGATAAGGGTGACAAACGAGCACACAGTCCACCTGATGGTAAGTGGTTGCTGTGGCCCATAGACATCTACATCTAACTTCGATTACGAATCAAAAATGCAGATGCGTTGTCACCCTTGAGGACTAAGATGGAATGCTTCGTTTCCAGTAAAAAGGGTCTCCGGTTCTCTACACTCACCATAAAGCGTTAAGCTGCTATTTCACGCTGGTATTCTGTGAGAGCGTGGTCCTTTCCCGGTCGTGCCGACCCATTCGTACTACAACCATAATATAGTTACAGCATGGCTCTACCACGTATAGAACTACAATTAAATTACGTATTAAATTTTGGTAACGGCGCCCACGCCCAGTTTCAACGAAAACACAGAATAAATAATGACGAAAACTAGACATCTACGCAGGACGAGAAAATAATTGTGATTGTGCCCGAATGTAAGCACAGGCACAGGTGCACTCTCTATTCCCTCACTTTCATAGTACGATAGGCCATCAATCCGATTCGCCGGAGAGATATCACACGCAGAATCTACGGCTTTGCGTGCTTTCCGAGTCACACTGTCAAAATGCATTTATTTATAAGAAAATAAAGATATATGCCTGATTTGTGTTGCGCTGTTGATTTAGGTAACACTTCTGAGGTAGTCCCATGTAACGAGAAAAAATTTCACGACAAACGTGAAAAGAGCGTGACATCGGGATTGTGATATTCGTTTTTCGACTTAAAATTAAAAGAAAAATCAATTAAAAGCAAAAGCTGACTTCATATAACTTAAAATACTACAATAATTCCTTATTCTTACGTCAATGCTCAGATTAATTTTTATTACTAAATTTATTTTACTAATTAATAATGCAATAATAGGAACATTACATATTAAGTATAAACAGAAGTGATAGTTACGTTCAAATCTTCAAAAGTTCCTTCGGCGAGAATATTGCCTTTATCCATTATAACGATTTGGTCCACGGATTTAATGAACTGTATTTGATGAGTCACTAGAACCACTGTTTTATCTGATAAGTAGCTGTAATATAAACTATAATATAATAATAAAAATAGTAAGTAACTGTACCCGGCATGCGTTGCAATCATTTTTGCCAGAAACATTCGAAGGCGCACAGTCAACTCACCTAAATTTTAACATTTAATAGAATGAAGGGGACAAATGAGCACGCAGTCCAACTGATAGTTACCTTAGTGGATACTGTGGCCCATAAACACCTACAATTATCCCCGATTAAGAATCAAAATGCAGACGTGTTGTCACACCAGAGGGCTAAGATGGAATGCTTCGTAACCACTAAACTGCAATTCTGCCATGCCATGCATGGATTAAGCATCTTTCTTTTTACCGACTTCAAAAAGGACTAGGTATTCCATTCGTCTGTATGTTTTTTTATGTATGTTACTTCATAACTTTTTCAAGGTGAACCAAGTTTGATGATTCTTTTTTATATGAAAGCTGATGCTTCTCGTGTGGTCCCATATAAATTTGATTAAGATCTGACCAATAGCTTTTGAGTTATTCTTAATCCTTAATAATTCCATATTGAAGTCGGTTGTATAAAATTTTTAATTTTACCATTAAGCTTAAAACTTTTCTACTGACTTCAAAAAGGAGACGGTAATCAATGCGACTGTATGTTTTTTCGTTTTCTTTTTACGTGTGTTACCTCATAACTTTTTTCTGGGTGAACAGATTTCGATGATTCTTTTTTTATTTGAAAGCTGGTGCTTCACATGTGGTCCCATATCATCAAGATCTGACCAATAGTTTTTGAGTTATTCTTAATAATTTATATTGAAGTCGGTTGTACAAAATTTTTAATTTTTAATTATTAGATTTAAAAAAGGAGGTGGTGTACATGTGTACGTTATTGTATGTACGTCTACACTTGAATTGTGAATCGATTTTAAGGATGTTTTATCAATTAGGTTACACTTCAGGAGTTATATATGTTTAGAGAAAAATTCCACCCCTAAGGGTGTAAAAGTAGCATGAAGTTTTTTTTATAGGACAGGGTGACAAACGAGCACACAGTCCACCTGATGTAAGTGGTTGCTGTGGCCCATAGACATCTACATCTATCTTCGATTAAGAATCAAAACAGATGCGTTGTCACCCGTGAAGACTAAGATGGAATGCCTCTTTTCTAGTAAAAAGAGTCTCCGGTTCTCTACACTCACCATACGAAACATAGCAACGTTAAACTGATATTTGACGCTGGTATTCTGTGAGAGCGTGGCCCTTCCCCGGTCGAGCCGACCCATTCGTGCTACAACTATACTACTAATATAGCTGCAGCATGGCTCTACCACGTATTAAAATGTTATTATTGACCCTTTTCCTGTTCCATGTACCATGAATCATATATGAATATTTCGATTGTTTAACTATTGTATCTATATCGCGGACAGGGAAATTGTTGAAACGACATTTTCTTCTTAAAACTAAACTCCACGTTCCTACTTAAGTCGGGACTTTAACACTTCCATACATTATATCTTAGTTATCACCGACTTCAGTATGTGAAATTGTTTTATAACTTTTACTTTTTATTTAAAGATTAATTTTTGAGTTTTCCTAGATAGCTAAATTATTACCTTTTAATGCAGTTCTCAAAAATATGTCTTGCCACGTGTGTATCCACCGCTGATAATGGATCATCTAAAAGATATATATCAGCCTGTGAAGAAAGGCGTCCTAAATTAACCATTAATGACAGATTAAATTAACAAAATATGAAGATATATTACCTCTTTATACACAGCTCTAGCTAGGTTTATTCTTGCCCGTTGGCCCCCACTAAGAGATACTCCTCGCTCACCAATTACAGTTTTATCTCCATGAGGAAACAGGGAAAGGTCTCTTTCGAGTGCGCACACCTTACACACTTCCATATAACGAGTTCTATGAAATGGCTGACCAAACAGAATGTTTTGTCGGACTGACCCTGCAAATGAGGTAGGTAGCACATTAGCTAGTAAATATTCAGACATGAGTAATTTCTCGAGAATTTTTCTTGTTTCTCTTTCTTTCGTTTTTTTTAACTACTCTAAATCCGACAGAGCTTACAGCTTAAAAAAAGTAAAATTACAGCCTATGTACGTCAGGCCTCGTCTCATTTTAGCCACTCACGCTCTCATGCTCTCAATGTTTCACATCATATCTCAAACTGTCAAGTCCGCATCTGAATATAGGTCTCCACCAAGGAGTGCCACAAAACATTCATCGACTACCGAAATGTCTTACCAGGTCACCACTCCCTCTAGTGGAGGGTCCCTACACTGTAAGCAACTAAAATATAGTAGGGGATAACTATGATATAGTATTATTTGCAGATGACACTTCTTTAATTTTCAAATTAAATCTACAATTACTAAAATATGACGAAGTAAATAATGCTATATCTAAATTAGTAAATTGGTTCGATGTTAATAATTTGCATTTAAATGGCACTAAAACGAAATGTATGAAATTCATGACTCCAAATGTCAAACAATTAAATACTAATACTTATCTTCACGCAAAATCCCTGACGGGGTAGCCAGAGAGAACAGATCGCCAAGTGTCACGATTCTTACATACCTCTTTCGCTTCTTTCAGATTCATTATCTTCTTCATACATGCACGTCTAGGTATCCGAGTACTCTTGACCCTCCCCTCTTCGAGCAATTTCCTCGATGGTCTTCCAAAGTTAGTCTCGGTCTACCTCGAAACCTTTTAATATTTACTTTCGCGCTATATATTTTCCACCATTCGGTCTTCACTCATTCGCTCAACGTGCCCAAACCATCGAAGCACGCCCTTATCAATTTTTGTGATAAGGTCATCTTTCAAACATGCCATATTGCGAATCTCTTCGTTTCGCTTTCGGTCGGCCATGGTAACGCCGCACATTTTACGAAGAGATCGCATCTCCACTGCATTCAACTTGCTTTTATGCTTCTTCTGGCATACCCAGGTTTCGCTGCCATATAACAAAGTCGGTACCAACACTGCGTTATGTATTGCAAGGCGTGCACTCTTCACTACGCCTTGCCTTTTGACTAACGCAGTCAGGGCACCATTGACTTTGTTCCCGGCAGCGACACGCCTGTCCACATCTAAATCATATCTTCCATCCCGGCTAAAAGCACTCCCCAAGTATACAATTTCATTTACCTGTTCTAGACATTCCTGATTTACCCATATTTCACACTTCGTTCTCTCTTCGTCCCTTTCAAATACCAGAACCTTAGTTTTATTAGCATTCAAACGGAGACCTTTAATTTCACATTCCTCTTTCATACACGTGACTAATGCCTGCAGTTCTGCCTCTGATGGTGCAATAAGCACTGCATCATCAGCATACAGCAGACAATTTACTTTTATGTCACCCAATTTCACACCCAAACAGCTATCTTTCAGCTTCTGTAAACAGCTGTCAAGATACAGTATGAACAGCCAGGAAGACATGACACAACCCTGTTTTACGCCCGTTTGGACGCTAAACATGGGTGACAGGTCATGCCCTACACAGGCTTTACAGTCACAGTAAAGTGACTGCACAGCCCTTAGCAATCGACCATCCACACCATACCCCGGCAACAGTTCCCACATTTTCTTCCTTACAACCTTATTAAATGCTTTCTCAAGATCCACAAAAGCACAGAAAATCTTCTGGTTAGCAGCCAGAAGCTTTTCCGTGATCATGCGGAGAGAAAACATTTGATCCGTGCATCCTCTTCCAGGTCTAAATCCGCATTGTGCCTTCCATAGAAATCTTTCCGATTTCTCTTGCATCCTACGTGTCAAAACTTTCGAGTAAACTTTACTTGCTAAACTGGTCAAGCTGATCGCCCGATAGCACCCGCAGTCAAAATGTGAACCTTTACCTTTATATAAAGGCACAATGACTGCGGATCGTCAATCATCCGGGACATCCCCCGTCCGCCAGCACAAATTGCACAGCAGATGAAAGCTGTCCCAGACGCGAGGCCCACCATACTTGACCATTTCAGCAGTAACTCTGTCTAGTCCCGCAGCCTTACCACATTTCAAACTTCGAATCGCACGTTCAATCTCTTTCATACTGATGACCTCAGTGTCATCGAGGTCCGGGTCTGGCGTACCAGTCACGACATCATCCCCGGATCCCTCACTAAGATCATCACACGCATACATTTCTCTATAAAATTCACTCCATCGCTGCATGACGTCCGATTTTTCTGAGGACGTCATTAGTTCTCGAAAGCACTTTGTTCATTCTTAAGGCCGTCGCACCACTTCGGGTCCTTCCAACCTCTTTCCAGAAAAGTTTGGAGTTCTCCTTGAAGTTGTGCGACAACCTTTCGTCCGCTTCCATTCTACACCTTTCACGCACTTCCTCAATCAATGCTTTCGTGTGAACTTTCTGCAGCCTATATCTTTCTTTCATCTTCTCTCTCATATCCTTATCATTACTAGAGGCCAAGTAGTCTAACCATGCTTTCTTCTTCTTCTTTACAGCTTCTTTCACTTCATCATTCCACCATGCATCTCTTCTTTTACTACTGCCTCTTTTTATTATTCCACACACTTCTACTGCTGCACTTACCATTCCATCCCTAAGGTTCTGCCATGTTCTTTCCACACATTCTTTTCTGCCATCGATTGTGTCAAGCTTTTCGGCTACCCTCGCATGATATTTGTCCCTAGTATCCGCTTCCTGAAGCTTCCAGCTTCGGATGCGACAGACCGTATGTGGTTCTTTTACTGCCGTCCGGTAGCGCCAACCCGCGAACAGACCCCTAAATCTACTAATCACTAGATAGTGATCCGTTCCCAGGTCAGCACCCCTGAACACTCGCGTATCCATCACCAATTTTAAATGGGGAGAAACTGAGTCTTGTAGATACCACCATTTTTCTTGGAATCATACTAGACGCGAAGCTTCAATGGAGCCCCCATATATCAAAACAAGCAAGCAGACTTAGTTCTGCAGCATATGCTATAAAAAAGATTAGAAGTCTAACCAGTGTTGAAACAGCTAGACTAGTTTACTTTAGCTATTTCCATAGCATAATGTCATATGGTATTTTACTATGGGGACATGCAGCTGACACTGAAATTATATTTGTTTTACAGAAGAGGGCCATAAGAGCAATTTATGATTTAAAGCCTAAAGAGTCGCTGCGACAAAAATTTAAGGAAATTAATATATTAGCTTTGGCCTCTCAATACATTTATGAAAATGTAATGTACGTACACAAAAATAAAAGTAGTTTTACAAAAATAAGTGATATTCATTCTGTAAATACTAGGAACAGACACAAGCTAGTAGTACCAGTTACTCGACTCCATCGAGTCAGTAATTCATTCTTGGGGCGATGTATACGCTTTTACAACAAAATTCCAGAAAATATACCAGAAGTTTGACCTGCTCAAAGTTCAAAAACTTTATTAAACTAAGTTTGTATAAAAAGGGTTATTATAATATTAAGGAATTTATGGATGATAATAACCCCTGAAAATGAGGTGATCGCTACCAAGCTATTTCTAATTTGTTGTGTTGTTAATTTGTGTAACATCATGATTGTAAGCAGTTATTTAAAAAAAAAAAAGGTTTTTTCCGAACAGAGGTTTTTTCCGAACCAGTGGTAATCAAACAAAAGAGTGACTTTCAATAAGTATTATTTATAATCTATATTGAATAAAAAAGTTTCTGTTTCTATTTCTGTTTCTATGTACATTGAAAATAATGCTTAAGTCAACAGGTATGCAAAAAATGGGACCCGAGTAACTTGATTCCTGCCGTCACCACTGAAATTGTTTATCACAATTTTGCTCTCTTACCACGTGCACAACGATGATGGTCAACATTATGGTATATAAGTCCGTCAACACGCATTGGAGCTACGTGGCACAATTCTTAAAATCCTATCAGAAACGAGAAACGGCCTGTGCCAAGCAGTGGAATCTATGTCACCTGTAGGTTTCCTCTTTTTATTACTTTTATCGGCGTTAAGATCTATAGAACTTAAAGAAATGCTTATTGTTTAGTATCCGAATAGTGCCTGTTCTCTTCTTTTTACTTTTACGGGCGTTAAGATATCTAAAACATAAAGAAGTATACCAGTATCTCACCAACAAATAACCATGGATCCTGACTAGCGTAACTCGCAGTGCCGGTTACTTTCATACTGCCACTAGAGGTGGGTAATTCATTGAGCATCATGTGTAAAATTGTGGATTTGCCTGAACCAACCGCTCCTATTATAGTAGTAAGCGAGCCTGAAAAAATCTGTGCGAATGTTTTTTTTTTGATTGTTGATCTGTAGCTTTTTAAAACAGTTATGATTGCATCTTATGTGCGTTAGAGATGTCTGCACTGTCACTGTCAGAATTTCACTATCATCAGTTCGTAAGAGGACGCATGTTCGAAGGAAAGAATGTCATTATACTAATAGTTACGATAGCGACGAGACAAATTGGGCGTATACGCTGTGTGAAATTATTTGAAATTCCACAGGCTTGCAATCTTTTTTTTTTAATTTTTTTTTTATAGTATAAGGGTGACAAACGAGCACACAGTCCACCTGATGGTAAGTGGTTGCTGCGGCCCATAGACATCTACATCTATCCTCTATTACAAATCAAAATGTAGATGCGTTGTCACCCGTGAGGATTAAGATGGAATGCCTCATTTCCAGTAAAAAGGGCCTCCGGCCACCTGCACTCACCAAGCGAAACGCAGAGGCAAACCTCTACTTCACGCTGGTTTTCTGTGAGGTCGTGGTACCACCCCGGTTCGAGTCGGCCCATCCGTGCGACAGCAAAAGCTGCCGCATGGCTCTACCACTGTTGAAAATCTGGCTTAAGTTCATCATCATCATCATCATTACAACCCTTCACATGTCCACTGATGAACATAGGCCTCCCCCAAGGAATGCCACAAAGTACGGTCCCGAGTCACCTGCACCCTTCGACTTCCTGCATGTCTTATCAGGTCGTCATTCCATTTAGTGAGCACACCCTACACTTCGGCTACCGATAACTTAACTTATTGGAACTTAAATTAACCAAGCGTCATAAAGCAATACCCGTTAAATATTTAAAGAGAATTTGTTGGACAAATTATTAATATTTGATATTTCTGTATAGGAGTAGATTCATTATAAATTGCGGCTGAAAGACTTCTTATACATAAAAGAGAATAACTTAGTTGGTAAATATCACGAGAATATAGTATCTTGAACTATATCAAAAGTAAAAAGAGCTGACAAGACGGTAAAGCAAAACGTGCAAACATCCATAAAACATACTTGACTTAGATTATTGATAAGTCATCGCGCGCTCCGATGACTTATCATTAATCTATGATACTTGATACCTTTCTGACTTCTAACACGACATTTTTTCCATAATTAAAACTAAATACTAACATTCAAAGTGATATCCTTGACGTCTTCTTTGTCTGACGATTTAATCCAGCGACAAAAAGCGTTTTCGAATTTAATAGCAATTTCTTTTGAAGCCCGCTTACCTAAAGTTATTGAGATATGTTTTACTATTCTTAGAAGTTTAAAAAATATAATAACATTAAAATAGATCTATTAAGTTACTTTTTTCCTTTGGACTTCCTTTTGAAGTGCTCGGATCTGGTAGAAGTCTAACAGGGGAATGTTTTTTCGTGGCTTCTATAGGATCGGCTGAAAGAAGAATTACTAATTACTATAATGTGGAACCCCATGTAGTGACATCGTAAAATAATTCACTAGCCCATATAACTCCACGAGTATCGTAAGAGGTGACAAAGAGAAACAAACCGGGAAATTGGCAGCAAGGTCTTTATAATAACAACAAAAAAAACTGCGATTACTTACCGGTCTGCTAAGCGCGGGAACTATGTCAAATTTATCTCTTCTACGAAGCAATCTATGGGGGTGGCCTACGTTTAGCAGTGGACTTTGATAGGCTGTAATGATGATAATGATGATGAACGATATGCATTATTACACGTCATGCCTGTAAATATCCATTTAAAATTTGAGCTTTACTTTAATTTTAGTAAATAGATCAGAAGACACAGATACATAGATATAGTAGTGCCTGTAGGAGTCGAACCCAATTTGATCGTATACATATTATGAAATTTATGGCCAGTGCTTGTCACCTCAGGAATTCATAAAAGTAGAAAAAAATTTAAAAAGATAAAAAATGCTTATTAAAACACTTCTTTTATTTTCATTAGATCTCTCAAAGGTGTTATTCGTCAAGTACATATTATCATTGTTAATTATGTAGTCAGTTAAGTTTACCGCTAATTAGTCTATAATGTTAAATGTTGATAATATCTATTCTGATAAATCACTAAACATTTCATTGAGTAGCTTACGAATTTTCTAACATTAAGAAAACCCAAAAATGCACGCCTCAAGAGCGTTTCATTAAATTTTGACGAAAAAAATTAAAATAGTGACGATAATTTTTACAAGAAAAAAAAGACAGAGATCTGATCAACTTTCATTAATAAATTTTAAACGGTGTTGAGTTCAATAACAAAAATCAATAGGGATCCTCCTTAGAATATAAGCTTATTTAATACCACATAGCTTACATTTCTATTAAGCGAGAAGACTCACCGACGCACAGACCAACGGACGGCAGTCAATATATTTTTTCAATTACATTTATTGTTATGTAATCTAAAGTGAATTAATTAGAAAATAAAGTAATCTTGTATTTCAGTGTCTGTAGTTATTGTAACGTTAATAATAATATGGATTTGATGACTAGCTAAAAGTATAAGAACGATTTTATGTAGCGAAATTGAAGTATGGCCACATATCGAGAGATGAGCACCCCCATCAATATGTGCAATATGAAAATTAACATTAATTATATAAGATTGTATCTTACTTGAAATTGTTACTCTTTTTTTTGGTTTCTTTTTTTGAAATCTGGTATCAGTTGACATCTGCTCGCCAGTTGGCAGGTGACATTCCTCGCTCATTAAAAAGTCACGGATTCGCTGTATCGCTACGTGCATTTCTGCTATCTAAAATAAAACATTAAATCTGTCTACTAAGTACAATAACAAACGTTTTTAATAGTTCTACCTTTTTATGTTTTTCGGTAAAGATTATTTTCTCCGACAGCTCGTGGATGATTTTGGTTCTCCTTAGGTCATTCGTACGAAAACTAAAATGCTTTTCCCACATTCGGATTTATCTAGTTTCCAAATTAGCTAAATAATAAAGGAGGCACTCGAAAAAAATTAAATCGAAGTACTTTATTCCCAACAGTACCTATACCGCGTGGTAACTTTTTAAAGACACGGACTTTTTACTTGAAGATTGTTATTATGTTTCTATTGCGTAGTAGTATTACTTGAAACTTAGGTAAGTTACACTGGCCGCTAAGTCACGCGCTCTACTATTTAATAACTTTGTTAATTTAATAACAGTTTTAGTTATAAAGACAGTACATACTTGTCCAACAGCCTGTGGAAAAAACAAAGTCATAGTTTGCCTCATGATATTGTAGTAGCAAGTGAGGAAAAAAACGTTCTCCACAGTGATTCGGTTCACGTAGGTGACATAGAGAAGAACGGTGATGAATATGCTGAAGCGCGCCGTAAACATTATGAAAGACATGATCACGCCACGGATGTACGACGACATTTTGATACTTCGTATTTCTTGCCTGTATGAATATAATATTAATTAAAATTCTGAATGATTTACCAAGAAATTTTAGGGTCTTACGTATAACTGCTACTAACTTTAAACAAAGAAGGTAACAGTATGAAAATAGCAGCTTAACACCGTGAGTGGTAGCTCAGATGGTTAGCGCTCGCTGTTAAATTCACAGTACGCGAGCAACCCGGTAGGTGTATTACGTATCTTGCAGAAGGCTAGCGATATCGAATTAGAACAATAATTTCTGATAAATCGCAGATTCGTATTACGTACTAGCGATAACCAAGCCCTAGCTAAGCAAGATCTTCTTCTGCAAGATACGTAATACGCCTACGGGTTCCATCCCCGCCGGCACCAATGAAATTGTTAATTGCAATTTTAAGTGCTGATTTACCACGTGCTCGGCGGTGAAAGAAAACATCGTGACGAAACCTGCATGTCTGAGAAATAAGAAAAAAAATATTTCGAAGAAATGTGAAGTTCACCAATACACTTTGGGGCAGCGCAGCGGACTCTTCCTTGCCCTAAAAACCTTTTGAGAGGAGAACTGTGCCCATCAGTGGGACCTATATAGGTTGTAACTTTACTTTAATTTATTACACTGCTGTGTTTCGTATGGTGAGTGTAGAGAACCGGAGATCCATTTTACTGGAAAAGAGGCATTCCATGTCAACCTATCGTATAAAAGAAAACTAAGGCGAAGATAATGTCTCACAGCCTGTTATTTATTTATTTATTTACTAAAAATCTTTATTGCACATAAAGTGTACAATTGGTGGACTTAATACCTTTAGGCTTTCACTACCAGTTAACCACGTTATCATATTACCTCTTCTTTTGTTTCAAACTGGAATATAGCACTGAATGCTAAGCAAAAATAGTTAATAGGGTGATGCAAATCCAGTTAATCCTTGACAGAATAAGCAATAAATCAACTGTCAAAAATACCGAAGTAAGTACTTAGTTATATTTATGAAAATAATCATAGTGCCTTTAATACATTATCCCAGACAGCATACACTTCACAAGGACAAACATCCAGACACGGAAAATTTATTTGTAAGCTATACAAACACTTGTTCTGTGCGGGGTTTGCACGCGCTGCACTCAGCGTTGCAACTCAATAGTACGTGGTAGAGCCATGCTGCAGCTTTATTAGGAGTATAATTGTAGCACGAATGGGTCGGCTCGACCGGGGAAGGACCACGCTCTCACAGAATACCAGAGTAAAATAGCAGCTTAATGCTGCTGTGTTTCGTATGCTGAGTGTAGAGAACCGGAGGCCTATTTTACTGGAAAAGAGGCATTCCATCTTAGTCCTCACGGGTGACAACGCATCTGCATTTTGATTCGCAAAGTGGATATCTATGGGCCACAGCAACCACTTATCATCAGGTGGACTGTGTGCTCGTTTGTCACCCTATCCTATAAAAAAAAACTCATTGTTAAGTCACTGCGCCATGTAGCCGTCGAATTATAAACACCATATAAATTATAAGTATATACCGTCGAACAGTGTCGATGATGCTTCTAAATGGCGCTTCCCAGGTGTACATTTTAATCACTTCAATGCCCATTATAATTTCTTTCATTAATTTAACTCTTTCGTCCGATTTTATTGCGGTGTCACTTCTGTAAAAAGCAGTGGAAGTTCCAAGATATACTGAAAACAGAAAGTCATTGTGGGATTTCATTTAAAGAGTCAAAGCAAAAGGAAAATCATTAGATTGCGATTGTGGTTTTGCAACTGACCCTTGATATCTTACAAATATATGTTTGTATGGCGCATTGCTAAGAGTTACCCCGCAGCTTCCTTATGGATATAACACTAATGGATCTGCAGGACCGGGGAAAAACCACGCTCGGATAAAATAGAATACTTACGGAAAATAGCATTGTAATGCTGCTGTGTTTCGTACGGTTAGTGACGGGAACCGAAGACCCATTTTGATTTTTAGTGGGGATATATATCTATATGAAACAGCATCCATTTACTGTCAGGTGGACTTTGAGCTCGGATAGATGATCATTTATTAGCTATCACACAGTATGCCACTATACTTCTTACGTAGTTGATCAAAATCAGACAACAAAAATAGTTCTGCGCCACCCTTTTATACGCGCTAGAGCCATGCTGCAGCTATGGTAGTAGTATAGTTGTAGCACGAATGGGTCGGCTCGACCGGGGAAGGACCACGCTCTCACAGAACACCAGCGTAAAACGGCAGCTTAATACTGCTGTGTTTCGTATGCTGAGTGTAGAGAACCGGAGACCCATTTTACTGGAAAAGAGGCATTCCATCTTAGTCCTAACGGGTGACGACGCATCTGCATTTTGATTCTTTATTGAGGATAGATGTAGATGTCTATGGGTCACAGCAACCACTTACCATCAGGTGGATTGTGTGCTCGTTTGTCACCCTTTCCTATAAAAAAAAACCTGCGTCTATCGACTACCCATTAGTGGCCACCCATGTAGGGTGGCCACTAATGGGTACCGTTCGCTTACCAGTCCGAGATTGCCACTCAACATACCTTTTAAAAGCTCACATTAAAATTCGCAAACTATTGTTTATTTTAAGTTAAAAATTCGTATTTATATAAAAAAAAAACACTACTAAAATATTATTAGAATTTGGTATTTACGTGAAACAACGAATATCGATTTTGCGGCTTTTTCAGCGCTGATGTTTGATGTAGTAAGTAATTAGGGCAGAGCACAGTGTAGTGCTCTTATCTCCGGATTCCGAGTGCAATTTTTAATGCTATCTACCCTGTCCCCTGAAACTAATCGCCTGATTTCGATGAAACTTAGCACAGATAATCGGCGAAGTGAAAAGTGCATAGATTCATTTTCGTGTCCCTAGTTGTTTTTATTGACGTAACTCTCTTATTCTTGATGTTATAATACATTTCATCATTGTTAGATGGTAGAGCCACACTGCAGCTATAATATGGTTGTAGCAGGAAAGGACCAAGCTCTCATAGAATACCAGTGTGAAATAGCAGCCTAATGCTGCTGTGTTTCGTATGGTAAGAACGGGAGACTTTTTTTTACTGGAAACGAGCATTTTAGCCCTCAAGGGTAACAATGCATCTGTACTTTGATTCTTAATCGAAGATATATGTCTATGGGCCACAGCGTCCACTTACCATCGAGTGGACTCTATATGTATTCTATAAAAAAATACCGCATCCAACTTGTTCGCAACACAGATATTTAGCTACCATAGAAAATAAATAAAATTTTCTTACTTTGGAAGGGAACAACAGCCACAACGATAAGCGCTCCATATACTGCAGGCATACCCATTTCTCTGTACAAGTATACTGTCATTAACTATAATATGAAGATGTTAATTTATTACTGAAAGAAACTCAAATAAAATAAAAGAAATCTTGTTAATTTGAACACAGTATGTTTTACCAAGGTTTCAACGGGACCTATCCAAAGGTAATGGATAAATGAAGGGCCTGTATCGAATCGGTTCACGTCGTTCGCCATTAGGTTTACTACAAGTCCTGCGCCGCTTTCCGACATAGATTGGAGACTCACTTTTAAAGACTGAAATTGAAAATCCTTGTATTAAGCCGCGGTAGCTCAGGACTTAAGCGTTCGCCATAATAAGAAGGCGGGCCACCACGGTTCAATCTTCGCCACCACCAATAAATTTGCTAATTGGTGATGATTTACCACGCGCTCAGCGGTGAAGGAAAACATCGCGAAGAAACATGCATTTCTGAGGTGTATTTCCACCAAGACGCACTTGGCTAATTATTTCATAACCCTCTCGGAAATAAGAGGAGTCCTGTGCCCAGAAGCGACGTATAGACCCTGATACTTAACTACAAAAATGTTGCGGATTTAGGAATGCTGTCATAGAATTCAAAGGTTCCAATGTCTTTCAGAAACCACAAAAGCGATATATATATTTACGTATGTTCTTTATATAAGTAGGTATATAGGTTACGTCAGGTTTCAACCCTGACTTAATCGAATTAATATTTTTTAGTGATTAAAAAAGGATTCCTAGATTCAATGTACTCATATCTAGACATCCTGAATCTTTTTTGTACCAAGTAATTTTACCTAAAGAAAATAATTGTTCGTCTTGCCTTGTGGTACCGGCGTAATAGAATCCAACCTGACAGGGATGGCAGATAAAGGTCAACAGCGGTATCCGTCTGCGGAGCTAATTTTCCTTAAGGATTATAACGCCCACCACAAAGAGTGGTTGTTCCCATAAATCGACCATGCTGGAAGTGCGGCGCGCAAAGCTGAGCCATCCCAAACCTTTGGGATGGCTCAGCAAATTATCAACTTGCCGCATTCGACTCAGTGCAACGCAGAACCAAGAGGCTTATCGGCGACAAAAAGCCGGTGGAAACTAAGCATCGCAGCTTAGCTCACCGCCGCCAAGTTGCTTGTTTGTCGGTCTTCTACAGATTGTACCTACTTCGGAGAGTGTCACCATGAGCTCATAACTCCATCTCCATTCTCCTCCTATCGGAATACCAGACGTACTGCAGGTTACCATCCACACTCGATTGATATTCCGAATATTCGCACTAAGCGCTATAAATCATCTTTCATAATGCGCACAGTCAAGGAGTGGAATACCCTGCCGGCGTCTGATTTTCCGACCTGAACCTCTTCAAGGTGCGTGTTAACAGGCTTCTCTTGGGCAAACTCGCTCCATCGTAGACCTCATCCTAGTTGAATAAAAAAAAAACCTATTCCTTCCCGTGATTGATATAAGAGGCAACGACAAGAGTTTAGGTATAATATGATCACCTCGATGCCAAATGTAAGATTCCCAAACTGGTGATGGGAGCACCGTCAAAGGTGCGAGGTATTTGGTACTGTGATCGCAGATGGATTACCAGCATACATGGCGATTGTGGAGTATTAATGAGAGATGAAGATTGTTAAATAGCAATGTGTTTTAAGAAACGAAAAAAATCTAATTAAAATAACGTTAAAAGAAATGTAAAAAAATATTTTAATTGTAAGAAGGAATTGATTGCATCATATAATTCTAAAATATATTTCATTAGTTAAGTACAGTAGTTTAATTTGCCTCGATTTCAAAAGTTTATTGAATTGAATGAAAAACCATTTTTGCAACAAATTCCGTGTACACATTTCGTTAGGAAATGACATGTCCCTTTCTCTATATTTCGAAATTTAATAGAATTTATTTGCTTTTGACGTATTTTAATACTAGGGTTTGTTAACCAACCTCGTGTTTATACAACGCAATAAGTAATTTACACAATTGTATATATTCAGAAAATACACGTTACAAAAGTTTACGCAATATACTTTTCCATTAGGGAAAATTAGAATAGCTCAAGGTGTTTGAAAATATTTATCTAAATTAAGTTTTTAGTATAGTTCACTTCATTTCTTGGTATCAAATTACTAACCATATAGGTCCTACTCATTATATTCACATATAGGAGAAACTACTTCACTAAACACTTTCTTTTTTAATTTTTATTGGTTTCCAATTTAAAAAAAAATCCTTATTTTTTATTAAAATAATAATATTTTTATGATTGTTATACCGATTTTTTTAAATACCACTCAACACGCAGAAGATTATAAGAGAAATGAAAGCGTTGAATGGCCGAACCATGATTATGTTAATAATCCTATCGAATTTAAGCCAGACTTGTGAAGATAAGTTACCCTTAGATATTATTGATAACTTGGATAACGATAATTGATGTTTTTTATTTAGTTTATTTAAGTATAAGTAATCTTAAAAGCAATTTGATTTTTAAATTTAAATTATGATTTTGATGTTCAATTAAAGTTTAAAAATGAATCTAACATTATTATTATTTTGGGGGAGGGCACAAATGTTTATTCTATCTAATAAAAGAGGGTACAGAGGGGGCTTAGATCACTAAAAGATTGCACATGTAGAGCTTGAACGACGCTATCTAACAATTCAGTTTTGAAAATAAACAGTAAAATATAATAAAAATAAAATATACTTTTAACAATTAAAAATATTCCCCGTAGTACAATAAAGAGATAAATGTCGAATGACCAAAATAAAAAACATACATATTGTTTTTATCAAATAACATTCTCCTAACATGTAACAACTTCGAAAGCTGTTATTGTGTTTTCTAATAAACTATGCAATGTTTCTAGGAAATATAACGTTTTTTAAACATCGAACGCATAACATAATCTAATATATAAAATGTTTGTAATGTTTTATTTGTTCGTATTTTATGAGCTGCTATACCGTTCATCAGATTGCGCTAAAACTTTGTAAACTAATTGCTTGCACTTGCGCGAAGGTTATAGGCATCATCATCATCATCATCATCGTCACATTCATTCACAAGTACCGGTAGGTGAAGTGTGGGGCGATCCCCCACTAGATGTAGTGACGACCTGGTAAGACATGCAGGAAGTCGATGGATGCAGGTGGCTCAGGACCTTGCTTTGTTTCATTCCCTGGGGAAGGCCTATGTTCAGCAGTGCACTTTAACTGTAACTGTAACTGTAACAGCACTACTATTATTCATTTAAAAAAATAAAAAAGAACTACTAAGTCATCTAAAGTAATCCAACGGTAGAGCACAGGTGTCCTCTCCTTACTAAGTTGTTTAGAGTTCATACGAGTGTTTATATCGCGGAAATATTGATTATACTTGATTTATTTTTAATCCGCAGATATGTATACATAGGTTTTTACGAGCAGAAATCAGTAGACACCGAATCAATCAGTGGAAATAGAATTCAGATTTTTCGTTTACTATGAACATAAAGGCGAACACCGTACCCCTGAGCTTCATCAGATCTTATATATCATTACCATACATTTTAGGCATAAAATACATACCTTCCTATAAATAAGGCTACATACACCTACTCTCATTTTCATTCCTATATGCATGACACCCATCATGAAAGGGTGCGCCACCATGACATTAGCGGTACTGCAAAATACAACACCAAATGCAAAAAATACCGCCTCTCCCCAAAGCACTCCACTCTCTCTATCGTAGTAAGAAAACAACCGAGAGAGGTACGTTGAATCAACCCTGTAAATAAAGATGTCTCGGAACACTATCAATGTGTAATGTGGCTAATAGAATTTAATAAATTAATTTTATTGTATTGTCATTCTTACGTGCTATTGTATAAATCTTGAGCTGGGCTGTAATATCGTAACAATAGACCCAAGAAAAGCGGCTGTTGTAACCTGTTAGAAAATTAAATTGTTGTAAATAACAAAAGAAATAGTATTTCTGTTTCTTTTATCCGAAAAATGTTAATTGTATTTAAATGTAAATTGATCATTAATAATATTAATCAAATATAATATTTTTTTATGTATTTTTTTTTTCATAGGCTAGGGTGACAAACGAGCAAACAGTCCATCTGATGGTAAGTGGTTACTGTGGCCCATAGACATCTACATTTATCCTCGTTTGCGAAAAAAATGCTGATGCGTTGTCACGCGTGAGACTACACTCACCAGACGAAACACAGCAGTGTTAAGCTGCTATTTGACGCTGGTATTCTGTGAGAGCGTGGTCCTTCCCCGGTCGAGTCGACCCATTCGTGCTACAACTATACTACTAATATAGCTGCAGCATGGCTCTACCACGTATAAATGTATAAAAATAAGCAGAGTTAGCTTTCCTTAATATCAATACTTATTATTTGAAAAATATGTTCCTTTTTTTTATTTTTTCTATGTTAATTTTATTATCACCTTCATCATATAATTAAATTCTGTCCATCGATATTCACATGATAAGCATCTAACACGATTATAAGCTCTCCATTAAGGACGACATAACGTTCTTCAACTGTCGATTAGCTCGTGCACCGCATTATTATTTTACTAAACTAAGGCCGTTTTACGATGGATTGGCATTGGAATCGACAGTTTTGCAACCTCAGATTTGTGTAGTGTAACGTAACACATACTCGACATACAAGCCTATGTCATATACGATGTGCATCAGCATCACGTCGGCGTTACAAAACTGGTTGTAAAGCATGAAAATGTATATCAAAGCAAGTTCGTACGCTATGTAATATTTGTGCAACTTCATTTGAACACTTTTATTTGCAACGTATTGTCGCTTAACGTGAGACATCTTTTAACAATTATTTTATTTTATTTTACTTAAATAAAAAAAGATATGTGGTAGCTCAAATGGTTAGTGCTCGCTGTTAACTTAATGATAATTTTAAGTGCTGATTTACCACGTACTCGGCGGTGAAGAAAAACATCGTGAGGAAACCTTCATGTCTTTTTATAGGATAGGGTGACAAACGAGCACACAGTCCACCTGATGGTAAGTGGTTGCTGTGACCCGTAGACATCTACATCCGTCCTCAATAAAAAATCAAAACGCAGATGCGTTGTCACCCGTGAGGACTAAGATGGAATGCCTCGTTTCCAGTAAAAAGGGTCTCCGGTTCTATACACTCACCATACGATACACAGCAGCATTAAGCTGCTATTTTACGCCGGTATTCTGTGAGAACGTGGCCCTTTCCCGGTCGAGGCGACCCATTCGTGCTACAACTATACTACTAATGCAGCATGGCTCTACCACGTATAAAATCGAGCCTAATGTCTGAGAAATAAGATAAAATAATATTTCGTAGACATGTGAAGTTCGCCAACACGTTCTGCGGCAGCGTGACGGACATTTTCTTGCCCTAAAACCCTCTCAGAAATGAGAGGAGGCCTGTGCCCAGCAGTGGGACGTATATAGGCTGCAACTTTAAGTTTAAAAAAGTGATAAGTAATATATATTTTAAAAATCATTACTTCATTATTCGTGTACAAACCAAAAAGTAACATTAAGTTAAGTAACTGTTAACAGAACTGTTTGTGATACAAAATAGTAGCTCCTTTTTTATATTTTATTTTTAGGACAAAGAGTAAATGTATAGGACACGTTTTTAGAACTTTTAGAGAATATTTCCTGTAAATCTTCTTCCAGGAAATCTTCTTAAATCGACTATTTTAAGATATATGTGCAATAGATATTTGCTAACCGTATCAAAAACTCCATAGCTGCAAGTATTAGACCATAAAGCATAAGTTCAGCGCCAAACACTTTCATGAGTACTTTCCATAAACTAGGATTGATATCGTCACCTCTCATGCGGCAGTATTCCAGTTCATGATCCCAAGCCTTTTGCATTGCATCACCTATTTCAAATATCGCTTTAAAATTTTTTTTATCGAGAAATTTTTTAAAAATTGGAACTGGTATTTGAAACTAAAGAAAATTAAGAAAAGATGAAAAATTTCTCCTTTTTTGTCCTCATTACTCCTGCAGCACGGCTAGCATCGGGCTGGGGACAAAAATATTATCCACCGATTATATCCACTGACAAGGGATAAAATTATCTTGTCCCTATGCCAAAGCACGGCAACGCGGAGAAGTATATCACCGTTTGACATAACGAGTACGCATATATCCCCCGTCCGTAGCATGGAGCCAAATGAAAGATAAAAAATATGCTTTTTTGACATTTGAAACGGACAATTTTATCCTAGTTCATTGGACGTGGGTTTAACTTTATATTCATACAAAAAATCTATCTAATTCTAAGTCTATCTCCTATTTTATCTACGGTGGATATTATATCCATCGGTGTGCCCATGCTCGAAGGGTGGATAAAACTAAGCGAGTGGGTAAATATTTTCTCCTTTCCCCGGGGATAAAATTGTCTCCTGCTCATACTAGCCCTGCTGGGCTGGCATGCGGCACGGACAGGCGGGATTCGTTATGTCAAACGGAGATACGTATACTTTTCCCCGTTGCCGTGCTTTGGCATAAGTCTTATGTCTTATGGGATTTTGCTATGGGGAAATGCGGCTGATTCAGAAACTATTTTTGTTTTACAGAAGAGGGCCATTAGAGCTATTTACAATCTAAAACCAAGAGAGTCTCTTAGAGATAAATTTAAAGAAATAAATATATTAACTTTGACCTCTCAGTATATTTACGAATATTTAATGTATGTTCACAAAAAAAGATAGTTTAAGTAAAAAAAGTGATATACATTCTGTAAACACTAGGAACAAACACAAGCTAGTGATGCCAGTTTATCGACTCCATAGAGTCAGTAATTCATTCTTGGGGCAATGTATACGCTATTACAACAAGGTCCCGGAAAGTGTACAGGTTCTTTCTATTACCAAGTTTAAATGTTTTATTAAGCTGAAACTGTATAAAAAGGGTTATTATAGTATAAATGAATACATGGTTGATAATAACCCCTGGGAATGAGTTAGTCGCTTCCAAGCAGTTTCTAAAATAAATTTTGTAAATAGTTCGTAATCATTTATATTGTAAAATTTATTTTAAAAAAAGTCCCGCTGGGTTTCTTGTTGGTTCTTCCCGGGACAGAGGGTTTTTTTTTTTCGAACCAGTGGTAAAGTAAAAAACGCGCCAAGTGTGAGTCGGACTCGCGCTCCGAGGGTTCCGAACAAATCCGTAGGTATATAAGTTTAAAATTATTAAAAATATTTTTATTATATGATGTAACTAAAAATTTATGCTTTTTACAATTTTTCCTTTATCTGTGCTATAATACGTTGCTTCGTACCAAATTTTAAGATTCTGAGTTCACGGGAAGTACCCTGTAGGTTTTGATTCCCTGATTCCCTTGCGAATGTCGAAAATTTGCGGCATAAACTGCTGTATCTTTTGATTGGGTTGGCTTAGAAGTGTGATTTTTTCACAGCTCCAAGGGACAGTAGACTTGAGTTTTTCGTATAAATTTCAGCTTGATACCTCCACGCGTTCCTGAGAAAAAGGGTCTTAACAGACAGACAGACGGACGGACAACAAAGTGATCCTATAAGGGTTTCGTTTTTTCCTTTTGAGGTACGGAACCCTAAAAATGACTTTCAATAAGAATTACACATGTAATGTATATTGAATAAAAATTATTCTATTCTATTCTATTCTAAGGACAAGATAATTTTATCCCTTGTCAGTGGATATAATCGGGGGATAATTTTTTTGTCTCCAGCCCATGCTAGCCGTGCTGGTTTTGAAAATTACGACTTTACTGGGGACATCGATAAAACATTAAATGGACTAATGATAAAATAATTTATTACCTAATGTATCAGACTGATGCTCTGGCAGGGGAGCGTATAAATCATTTTCTCGAATGTCACGACGGTAACCGAGCTTAAACGTTTCTAATGTCCAGCTGAAAAAAAAAAACCGCTTTTAATACCTTTTCTGTAATAATAGGTCTTTACCTATGAAATTGCCGTTCTGCAGTATTGGTCATTTCAATTCAAAATAATTTTTGTTTGGGTAAGAATCTTAATTTCAAATTAATTTTTATTTTAAAAACATGGAATTTTTTTCTCAAAATTAGTTATTTATTGATTAACGTTATGTTTTCATCGCATTTGAATCTTTTTCGTTATCATGGATACGTTAAAAATTCGAGTAATTATGGAATATGATACGGTTTTAGTAGGTTTAGTTTACGGAGCGAATACGACAAACGAACGCACCATCTGTTATTGGATTGCCCGCTTCCGTTTTGGAAATTTCGACCTGAAAAATGAACCCCGTGGTCGTCCGAAAACTTTGGTCGACAATGACGAATTAGGTAAAGGCGATTGCGGAAGCTGATGATACTCAATCTACGGCTGAATTAGCAGCAACTTTCGACGTTAGCATTAAAACAATATTGGTCCATTTGCGTCAAATTGGCAAGGTAAAAAAGTTTGACAAATGGGTACCCCACGAACACAATGATCGCCAGCGCGAAGTACGCGTCGAGACGTGCTTTGCACTGTTCAACAGGCACACAAACGAAGGAATTTTGAACCCCATTTTTACCTGCAACGAAAAATGGATTCCGTTTGACAATGCTCAGTAAGTTGGCTGGATCCTAGTTCAGTACCTAAACAATGCCCTAAATTAAAATTTACGCCTAAAAAAGTGATGGTCACTCTTTGGTGGTCTAGCGCCAGTGTGATTCATGATAACTTCTTACCAAACGCGATGAGCAATATATATGTGATAACACTACAGATGTGTACTGTGAAGAACTAAACAGAATGATGGAGAAGCTCGCACGTCTCCAACCAGCTTTGTTCAATCGCTGGTTCCCGCTGCTCCTACACAACAACGCGCGACCTCATGACGATGACCGATTGCACAAAAAACGGTCTCCAAGTTACAAGAGCTGGGGTTGGAAGCTCTCCGTTATCCGTCGTACTTACCTGACCTTGCGCCTGCAGACTTCTACTTTTTCCAGAATTTGGATAACTTTTGGCGGGAAAAAAATCAATACCCGTGAGGCAGTACAAAATGCCCTTGAAGAATTTGTTGCCTCCCGTCCAGCTGATTTCTTCAATAAGGGCCTCAATAAATTGAACTGCATTGGCAAAGATACATCGATTTTACGGGTGGTTATTATGATTAATAGAAATAAAAAATATAGAAAAAATTACGTTAACTTATTTCATAAAAACCGCAATTTTATAGTTAAAGATCTAATATATTGCCTAAAATTTTATTTGCTACCATCCATCCATCCATTACAACCTATAAAAATCCACTGCTGAACATAGGCCTCCCAAATAGATTTCATCATAGGGGGGACACTTTCACACTTTTAGAGCCATGCTGCAGCTATATTAATAGTATAGTTGTAGCACGAATGGATCGGCTCGACCGGGGAAGGACCACGCTCTCACAGAACACCAGTGTAAAATAGCAGCTTAATGCTGCTGTGTTTCGTATGGTGAGTGTAGAGAACCGGAGACCCTTTTTACTGGAAAAGAGGCATTCTATCTTAGTCCTCACGGCTGACAACGCATCTGCATTTTAATTCGCAAACGAAGATAGATGTAGATGTCTGTGGACCACAGCAACCATTTACCATCAGGTGGACTGTGTGCTCGTTTGTCACCCTTATTCTATAAAAAAATCATAGGGGATTTTACCTTAGTTGCCGCGCTTGGCAGGCGGGTTGGCAACAGCATTTTTTTTACTATTTTGAGTTGATATCACGACGATGCTGCTGCCAATCACTTGTTTCAGTTTCCCTCTGTCGCCTCTTACGACATTATCGGGACGTTATGGGGTAGTAGATCTTACACTGCCACTACACTGTAATATTTGCTACACTATGCACACAATACCCAAAAGTTAACGCAGAAAAGAGATTCGCTTTGTAACGTGGATTGATTTTTCTCTTCTGTTTCGGTCCTGTATCCATATTTGGAGAATATTGAATATGCGTCAAGAAGCGGCTTTATTTTAATACGTCATGTATCACTTAAAATCATGTTGGTCGCGTCTTTGATAAAAATGAATGTTTGTTTGTTCGTATTTTGTGCGCTGTCATACCGTTCATCAGTTTGCGCTACAATTATGTCAACTAATTGGTTGCGCTTGTCCGCAGGTTATATGCATAGTACCTACAATTAAATTACAGTAGGTGGCACGCATATCCTACCGACATATTTATTTGAAAGTCATATTGTGTGATTTAATTTCAATGAATGTATATATCATTCCTAATTAAACAATATAACTAACTCTTCGGAATTAAGGCTCGCCACTGCACACTATCAGAAATTTCGTTTCAGCACTCCTAGAACCAATATTCCATAGGCGTTTCTCACCTCCATAATTAAATTTCTGATGGTGTACGGCGTCAAGTACAAAATTTATCATAAAAAAAATGTATGTAGAAAGAACTTGACTAGATAAATTTCTAACATCCGGTAGTATATATTCGGCGAGCGTTAGAAGTGGACGGTCGGTCGGTTCCTATAGTCTACGGAGTCTAGAACACAATCTAGAACGAGTATGTGCAGAGTGCCTTCCGGCGTGCGTCAAAATTTGCCTTACAGGTAATTTTTTATAATGCGCTGCCGGCCTTAATCATTTTACATAATTATGTAAATTGCACATGAACAAATATCTAGATCCGGAAAATTATTTGTAGTTGATCAAAGCACTTGTTCCGTGCGGAATCCCAACCCGCGGTCCTGTAGTGCCACAACCAAATGTTTAGTCACTGCACTATCGACCCTTATCTATACATATAATAAAACTGTAAATAACAGATGTCTGTACATTTTATATTTTTGTAATAAAAGTGATTGAGGGGTACTAAAAATAAGTAATTAAATACATTTCTACCATTTTTAGAATTTTCTGTCTGTCTGTCTGTCTGTCTGTCTGTCTGTCTGTTTGTTTGTTAACGTATCACGTTTAAAGTACTAATTTATATCATAAGAATAGTTAAGGAAATTCTAAAGTGTACCTTCGGGTTACATTTAGTCTTTATTTCATTAAAATCGGTTCATTCCATCAAAAGTTATGATAAATATTCTGAAGTATGGCTACGAAGTATAGGTACGAATTTGTTTAATGGTGGCGTTTGTTGAGTCATCAAGTACATTTTAAACTAATATCATATTATAAATCATAACATAATTAAATGATGTAAAATAATGTTCTATAATGATGAAATTATATCTAAAACGCAGTAAACAAAAGTATTGTATAAAGAACGTAATAAATATATTAAAAAATATATTAACCTTATTATCTAAATCTAAAGTACAATAGTTAACCCATTTCATCGATAGATGGTGGTGTTGCACAAATGTCATGCAAGAAGGCAGGTTGTGGTTTTTTTTCTGTAAATGACTTTTCATATTTGCTGTTAATCTTTACTCGCTGCCCTACTGTGTATTGACAATGTCATTTATTCTTTACCGCCGAGTACTTTACATGGTAAATCAAATTTTAAAAGAGCTATTAACAATTTCGTTGGTTTCGGCGAGGATCAAACTTTCTTTCTTGCTTACGATGTAGGCCTGATTTATAAGTTCTTTTAAGTTTTTTTATTGTATCAATCGCGTCAATTAATCTCTTTTATTTTTAGAATTGATTTTAACAGCGCCATCTATCCTTATATCTCTATACATGCGGTAATCACATGCTGTGTCTGATTCTGTACATTGTATAGTATATTAATTTGTGACTAAAATCATTATGGAGACTGAAACTCATTAAATAAGTACATTTTTATAATTTTTAGAATTGTCTGTCTGTCTGTTTGTTTATGAACGCATCACGTCTTAAGTAAACATCTTTTTTTCAAAGAAATTGTTTAGAAAATCATAAAGCGTATCTTCCAGTTCATTTAATCTTTGTTTTATTAAAATTGGTTAATTCTATCGAAAGTTTTGATTATTATTTTGAAATGTAGGTTTGATTTGTTTAAAGGCGCCATAAAACCTCAGAAATAGTAATAAAATGATTCCTTTTTATAAAAAATCGTTTTATTATAATATATTTATACTTTAAACACAGTAAACAAAAAATATGTTTTCCTTAAATTAAAAAAGGATGTCTTCCACGAAGAACGTAATAGATGGCGTTGTACGTTAACGAGTCCATTCAAGCTGAAAGAGCCGTGTAGGGTGTAAGCTAACAGCACAAACATCATCAAAAACAGATATCAGAAAAAAGATACGTACGCCCAAGCTAAATGTAGCAAAATTGCAACAAAAACAATATGTCATGATGTTGTTTTATACCAAGAATCCACCTTATATCAAATAACTTTCCTTTCAGTTCTAAGCGTGTTCTGTTCCCACTTCCCATTCCCAGTCAGCGTGTGTTATGCGATGACCGATGACCGTAAATAAAGCGCAAGGTCAAACTTCACGCGTTGCAGGAGTGGACCTCAGTACTGACTGTTTTGCACATGGCCAACGCTATGTTGCTTTTTCCCGCGTTAGTAGCTCCCGTAACATTTTTCTGTACGCCCCGGCTGTCTACTTCTAACGTCGTTTACACAGAAGTTCTATCACAAACGACTCAGAACTTTGAGCATAACGATTTATTTTGGTGCCACTTATTCATACAGTAATGATATAAATCTTTTAATATTCTCTTACCTAAACGTCAAATTCTTTAAGTAAAACCTATTTACGCGAGCTACGCCGCGGGCACAGCTAGTATCTAAAATATATCATTGTGATGGCGTGTTCTCTCTAATCCTACAATTTTATACGTGGTAGAGCCATTCTGCAGCTATATTTGTAGTATAGTTGTAGCACAAATGGGTCGCTCCGACCGGGGAAAGACCACGCTCTCACAGAATACCAGTGTAAAATAGCAGCTTAACACTGCTGTGTTTCGTATGGTGAGTGTAGAGAACCGGATACCCTTTTTACTGGAAAAGAGGCATTCCATCTTAGTCTTCACGGATGACAACGCATCTCCATTTTGATACTTTATTGAGGATAGATGTAGATGTCTATGGGTCACAACAACCACTTACCATCAGGTGGACTGTGCTCGGTGGTCTTTGTTTGAGATAGCTAAGCTACGAAACTATGTGACCGTTTCTACTGATGCTAAGATAAATGTAGCTGTGCGAGCATAGATTACTGATAAGTCATCGCGCGCGCGCTTATCAATAATCTATGTGTGCGAGGAAGATACGCAGCTCGAGCTATGCGATGTCTCGACAGTAGGGAAGACAAGGGGAGCGGCGGCCATGAGTTTTTTTTCACACATTGCCAGATATAAAATAATTAAGTCATTATTTGTAACATTATGTAATTTTATATTTTGTAATAATTGTAATTAATAAAACCACAGGTTACATATTCGATAGCATAAATGTATGTAACTATGAATCGTTTCTTGGTTGTACTTTTATTCATTACGGCGTGTTGTGGAGTAAGATTTATTATTTAGTTATGGTGCAGAAAAATATTATGCAGGCTAATTTATAATTGTTTACATTTTACAAGTGGTCTTAGGACAACTTCAATATAAATTATTAAGAATAACTCATAAACTATTGGTCAGACCATGTTCAAATTTATATGGGATCACACGTGAAGCACCAGCTTTCAAATAAGAAAAAAAAAATCATCGAAATCTGTTCTCTCAGTACTAACAGTAAAAGTTATGAGGTAACATTATGCATGTTACCTCATAACTTTTACTAAAACATTTTTACTAAACATTTTTAATAAAAAAAAACATACAGTCGAATTGAGTTCCGTCTCCTTTTTGAAATCGGTAGAAAATCGAGGTTGATCGTATCAGAACAGACGAAATCATTAGAAGTTTAATTGACACTTGTTTTAGTTGCAACTAAAAAAAATACAGGTATACTTCTAATTCTAGAGACCTGCTAAATGGAGATCGACTGAGCGTAGGGATTCTCTAAACATTTTTTTTTTTTTTTTTTTTTTTTTTTTTTATAGGAGAGGGGGCAAACGAGCATGCGGCTCACCTGATGGTAAGTGACTACCGCCGCCCATGAACAACCGCAACACCAGGGGAATTGCAGATGCGTTGCCGGCCTTTTAAAAAGGAGTAGGCTCTTTTCTTGAAGGTCCCTAAGTCGTATCGGTCCGGAAAAATCGCTGATGGTAATCGATTCCACAAGGAAGTCGTGCGAGGAAGAAAACATCTTCTAAATCGCACAGTGGTGGACCGCCAATCATCCAGATGGTGTGGATGGTATCGGGAGTTCTGCCGCGATGTGCGTTCATGAAATTTGGCGGCTGGGATTAATCCGAACAATTCCTCAGAGCACTCCCCATGGTAGATGCGAAAGAAAATGCAAAGAGATGCAACATCTCTTCGCAGTGCCAATGAATCGAGCCGATCGGAAAGGGCTCGGTCGTCGACGATTCGAGCCGCTCTGCGCTGGATGCGGTCAAGTGGAAGGAGCTGGCACTGGGGAGCCCCTGCCCAGAGATGGGAACAGTATTCCATGTGAGGCCGAACCTGCGCCTTGTAAAGTTGCAGGCGGTGTGCCGGCATGAAATACTGTCCCGCTCTGCTGAGCACGCCAAGCTTTTTAGAGGCCAATTTGGCCTTCTCTTCCAAGTGACCACGAAACTGCACGTCACTCGATATGTCGACTCCGAGGATACCGATACTGGCTGAGGCAAGAAGGGGAGTGCCTTGAAACTGAGGAGATACGACAAAGGGGTTCTTTTTAGCGGTAAACGCGCAAACTTGTGTCTTCTGAGGATTAAACTGGACTAGATTTAGTCGCCCCCAATCCGAGACTTTGTCCAGCAAAGACTCGACTTCAGACACAAGTTTGTTCCGGTACTCGGCGACGTTTTCCCGAGAAATATTGGCCCGGCCGGTGTATAGAGCATCACCAGTGCTGTCATCCGCATAGCAATGAATGTTACCAGTTAGCAACATATCATTGAT